TCCAGTAACAATTTGCTCTAAAAACGGCAAACGGTTTTGACGAGAGAGGAGCGAACTGCAAATTGTGACTCTTTGATTACAGTTGTTGTCGGTCAACTCATGAGGAACCCATTTTCCAAACTTTTGGACTTTGCCAAGTGCACGCAATTGATTGGAAATTGTTTTTTGTGAACAATTTAAAGTTGTCGCAAGCTCTTGTTGGGTAATTTGAGGATTTTGCACCAAAAGAGCTTGAAGAGCTTCTTGATCAAAATTGGACACACAGCCTCGACCACTCTTGTCATCTAACGAAAAATTTCCCTCGCGAAATTTCTCAAACCAATGCTGGCATTTTCTGGCGCTAACTGCATCTTGACCAAGAGCACTACAGATGTTTTTTGCAGCCTCACTTGCTTTTCTTCCTAATTGGAACTCGTAAAGCATGCAGTGCCGAATATGCTCTTCATCCGCCATCTTCTTAGCCCTAGTTTTGCAACAAAAACCAAACCAAACACAAACTTTTTCAAGCAAAACTTGTTAATTGCACTTCACACGTTCTGTAGATACCACGTGTTTGAAGGTTATGTCAATACAAGTCAACGCCAAGCAAGATTTTAAACGAATGTTTAAAAACGACATTAATTATTACTAGACCCAATAAATACTAGAAGAAACAACTCAAGTGAATGTGGCCACTTGTGAAGAAGTATGATAGGAGTGGGGGTGAGGGAGAGGGTAATGTTGGAGCCCTGTTTTATTTATCCATTAACCACTATTTGACTTTTAAAACTATATAGTACTTTAGTAAAAATAAAAAGTAGCTTCAAAAGTGCTAAGAACACTAGGTTGAGTCATTGCCAATCAATATGTAACAAGAAATGGGAATAACATTGGGGGGAGGGGGAGAAATAATAATATAAGAAAGTCAGTTTCAAAGTAAAAAGCATTAAACAAGATACAGAAGGCCTGCTTATTGTGACAAAAGAGTAAATCTATAATGAGTAAACAAGTCTAATGTAAAATCAAAAAATATAAAGTTAAAAACTTATAAATTCCAGAAGAAAAAAAACAACTGGGAGATTTTAATATCATGACTTTATGATTTCAATAAATAAGACCTAAAATATATATGAATAATACATATTGAATTTGGTAACTTGCAAAGAGAAAACTATTTCTTTTCTAGCATTCATAGAACATTTCCAAAAGTTTATCATATTTTAGTCACAAATCTCTATAAATTCAGTAAATTATACTATGTTCTCTGACTAGAATGAGTGTTACAAAAAGAACATTGTGCAAGGTAGAGTATTGAAAGACTAACTTCCTGACAGTCAAGGTTGCCTAGTGAAGTGTCAATAAGTGGGTTGATATAGCCTAGATCAGCGATCACCAACCTTTCAGACCTCATGGACCGGACCACCATGGTCTGCGGACCACTGGTTGGCAACCGCTGGCCTAGATGATGTCCCCAATATAGTAACCACAAGCCACATGAGGCTAGCTAATTTTAATTTTAGAGTAATTAAAATAGTGAAATTTAAAATTCAGTTCCCCAGATACTCCTAGCCACCTTTCAAGTGCTAAATAGTTCCATGAGGCAGGTAGCTACCATATTTGATAGTATAGATCTAGAACCTTTCCATCAATTTGGGAAGTTCTATCAGAGAGTACTGCTGTAGAGATCCTGGAATAAATATGGAAAATTTTGAACCTATTCAGAATCTAAAATATGTATGCAACAGCTTGAGTCCCTAAATTAGGAATTGGCCTATATCCAAAATACCAAAAAAACGAGTATCAACAAGGTTGTTTCTTTGACTAATCTTAACACACACACAAATATCTCAGGATGATACAGATATATTCTACTCATTATAATAGAATATATATATATATATATATATATATATATATATATACACACACACACACACACACACACACACACACACACACACTTTCCTGTCAAACCAGTGCCAACTTTTAAGGGTACATTTGGGTTTGGGGCAACTTTATAAATGGCCTTCTGCCAAATTCTCTTACCTTCTTAAAATCATGTTTTTTAAAACCACTTGATATCTTCAAAATAGAAGGTATGTTATAACTCAACTTGTTTCTTTGTTGACCTGTTCGTTATTTTTATACTAGAGGCCCGATGCATGAAATTTGTGCATGGGTAGGGTCCCTAGGCCTGGCCAGCAATCCGGGCCAAACTGTGGGGTGACTGGCAGGGCAATCGGGGAGGGGGGGAGGGGGAACAGCCCACTGGCATCCGCCTTTGCTGGCTTGGGGGCAGCTCCTGTGTTGAGCGTCTGCCCCCTGGTGGTCAGTCACATATTAGCGACCAATTGTTCTGCCATTTGGTTGACTTGCATATTAGGCTTTTATTATATAGGATACAAAACATTTATACTGTAACACTAGAAAAGAGATAATCTAAAATAGATTGTAAGTAGAGAGACATGCCTAGACTCTGGGTGTCACAAGAAAGTTTTAAGTTATAAATTAAGATTGACTTTGGAAGCCAATAAAAACCCCTTAGAGATGTCCTTGCACCTTGCTGATTCACATGGTTTGTGGCAGTCTTTTCCTAGGAGATAGCAAAGAAAGAACCTCAAGACATTTTGGGAACCCCCAGGACCTGAGGAATTCACCCAAATCTATAGGTATTTTAGGCAAATGTTGATAACTATGTGGTTTGGCTTCATTGCCCTGAGGGGCTAATTAAGGTTCAATCTAGAGATTCCTTATGAGATTCCAGCAAAGCAGATTTGAGAGAGCCTTTATGATCCATTAGTATTCTTGTTTTAACCAAATCAGTCTAAATGCAAACTGGACTGAATGAAGTAAATAGTCTTGATTTGGCTATCTTTAATAAAAATTAGGGTGATTTTAGGGGGAGGGGGTTATGTTTCAATGGAATCCAGCCCTGACTGTGAATAAATAAAAATAGAATCTATAATACACAGTTGTGGATATTAGCCTCTAGTTAAAGTTTTATTTTTCACCTACAAACTGAAGTGGTTCCTGATTTTTTTTTTTTCCTAGTATTCTTCCAAACCGATGTTTCATTTTCCTCCTTTGACTTGGAATTATTGAGAAGTAAAATTTTTTTTCTGAGCTTTGCACTTGCAAATTATAGCCAAAGAACCTGAGACAGCTCAAAGTTAAACAATCTTAATGACTGATGTTATGTAAACCATGCAGAATTTACATCACCAGATAGCCAAACTTCAGATAAGGAAGACCAGATTGTCACTGCTTGCTTCCATTCCAGCAAAAGAAACTAGCTTTACATCTAAAATCTTCTAGACTGACATGTCTTACAGAATCAAACCCTTTTTTAATTTGCTGTCATCATTAACCTTTGTTTTCCTTTTATTTCCTCTTGTTCAATACCTGACTGCTTGTTTACACAATATAGGTCTCACTTTGGGAGACCATCTGCATCTTGGCCTCCTTAAATGAGACTTAACAATTTAACTGAACTGACTACCTTAATTGAGTCAATGAAATATGAAGCAATCTGCCAACTTCACTTCTGGAATGATACAATTCCATAATAAGATGATGAATGATGCTTCGGGGATTCTGGCCTATCCCCTATTTTGAAAGAATCAGCTAATAGCTGCTCTGTTCCAGTCTCAAATCCCATTCCCTTGCTTTCTTTAGATCAGAGAGATCTCCATACTCTATGTAGGCTAGGACCACAGCTCTTGTCAGCAGGAAGCAGTTACTGAAGACAGATCATAATTTATCATCACCCCTAAAAGATTTTAGAGATGGAAGTCTGAGTGGGAAATGAGAGACTAGTAAGAGGTGACAAGTAGAATTGGGAAACAGTTCGTTAAATGGCCAAGCAGTTTACAGGCATCTAGAGAATCACAAAATCCTATCTTCCCTAACCAAGGACACTTAGTGAATGGTTTCGACTCCTCCCCAACCAGCGGGTAAATAGCTTAAATCACCCGACGTAGGGAGACAGCAGAAATCAAATTAGTGCCATGTGCCAACCGCACCCAAGGACAGATGTGAAATTAAGGGAATAGATCTCATTTTGACACATCTTCATAAAACTGATAAGTATTTTATTGAGATTCTCCCCTAAACTCTCAAACTTTAAAAACTCAAAACGCTCCACCTCCTATAGGTCCAGATTCTCTTCATGATCCTGATGCTTTGGAAATTACGTTAATCTCTTGGTATATGAGTGGCTATACTACTGGTTACAATATGAGTTTCAAACAAAAAAATTTTTTCACATTAAAAAAACAGCCCAGGCATAGAGCATCAGCCTGTGGACTGAATGGTCCCAGATTCTATTCCAGTCAAGGGCACATGCCTGGGTTGTGGGCTCAATCCCCAGTAGGAGGCGTGCAGGAGGCACCCAATCGATAATTCTTATCAATGATGTTTCTCTCCCTCTGTAAAATCAATAAAAATATATTTTAAAAAAAAAAACAATTCTCAAACGAAGGTCCCAGGGGGTGCTCTCCCCACAGAGAGCACACCTGCACCTTTCCCTTCCCTTTTTTCCCCAACAGGCATGTATCTCCTAAATTCTAAGGGACCCACAAAGTTCACAACCAGCGATGGACAGTGACAGCTTGTCCCAGACCTGAGTCCCTGAATCTGTCTCCAAGGACCCCTTTGCTGTAACTTAGAGCAATCCCATCTGTGCTCTCTCCTGTTGCTTCTTCCTAAGCCCTTGTTTCAGTCCCCACCTTGGATGGATGGATGGATGGATGGATGGATGGATGGATGGATGGATGGATGGATAGATAGATAGATAGATAGATAGCTGATAGATATTTTAAGCTCTCAGCAGTGAGCAAGCCTCCCCTGAGTTCTGTCCCCTCCTAATATCTAGCCTCTCACTGCATGACACACTAATAGAATTAATGTCACATGTTCTGCAAGTATTCACTAAATGTTCATTGATGTCCTGCACTCACCTACTCTTACACTTATCGCTTCCCATGCATTCTTTCTGATCTATATTTTCTTTCTCTTAACAGACAGTGTGGAGCATTCATTATTAAGACAAATGGGCAGCTCCAGTCCAGCTCAACTGATTTGTCCAGTGATCCTTGTGTGGCCAAGACCCAGCTTCAACCAACCGGCTAGAAGCTGCCCGTTGTGAAACTTAGGGTTAGTTAATCCTCACCATACTTATTTATTCCACTATAAACTGTCTAAATTTGATGAAATTTGCTTTTTCAGCTGTTCTACAAAATTATTTAGGTATATGTGGCATGTTGGTTTTTTTAATATGTTAATCTAATGTTGTGACATTTTCTACATATTTTATCCATTCCATAAATAATAACCACAATGAGAATAGTGAGATGTCTTTCATTTTCTCTGCTTTGTGTTATTCTCAACCTTTTACAAGTTATGTTGCATATTAATACCTATTTTAATATTTGGGATAAGAGTCATATCTAATTGTAATAGAATTTTAATACTTTAATGCTTTTTAGCATATATTTAATCTTAATGATTTAGTTCTACTGCTTTGCTATTTTGTCATTTAATAAGCTTTTGTCTAATATTTTTTTGTTACTGCTACTCTGTAATTCTTTTCTGCCATGGTTTTCAAACTTTGCTTTTTGATAACATTTTCCAAATATTAGAAATAACATCAACATGATCAGTCTTCTTGCCTTTTCATGTGATTATTATGACTATATTAAAATTCTTCTCTAACATTTGAAATAATGCTGCAGCCTTCCCATAAAAGAAGCCATTTGGTCTCAAATTTTACATAATATGGATACTAAGTTCCACATAATAAGTTCCACAATGAAATTTCTAAAGTTTTTGTTTTGTAAGTAAAAATTATTAGCACTGATATTAGATCTTCTTTTAATAGCACTATCCTGAGAGCACTTAATCCACTTCTTGAAAATAACTTTCTAACTCGTTACCTTTGCTTAGATTTTGCATACCCATTACAGAGAATTCAGCTTTCCTTATTTTTTTCTAAATGTTGAATTGTTTGGGGAAATATCCAAAATTTACTTTAACTATATTTCTTCATTTTTATTAAACATCCTTCAAACTAAATATCTTCATACACTAGGTTAAGGGTATAGTTTTCACTGACATGATTTAATCTCAGATCATGCAGTTCCAAAAGAATCTTATATCTATTATTAATAAAGTACAGTTTGTTATATTATAGTAAGACAAGCTTGTATCAGTGTATGTCTGAGTAGGGTTGTGTGTAAGAAGTTAACTACATCTTTTCTCATAGCTAATTGCATTCTCAGAGGCTTACCAAATTCCAATATGAATATTAGTACCTGAAATATGATTATTTGGATTCAGAGTTAGGAGTCCTTGTTCTCCAGCCCATATTTCTTGAATCTCACTCCCACCTTCACTGATGAACAGCAGACAGACTAGATAAGATTTTCTTATAGAAATCAAGGCTACTTACTGATAGATTCCTTTGGTGTTTATCAATAATAGCAAGTTCTGCTTTGACTGCTGCTAATTATAGTAGTCAAAAAGTTCTTTACTTTGCTGATCTCTGCTCCAAGTTCTTCTTGCAGAATTACAATTCAAATCAGGACACTTGAAACTGAAAGGGGCACCAAAAATAATTAAAATAATTCTTGAAATACATACTATTGACCAACAAAGAAGTTTATCATATAAATAAACCTATAAAATCATCCTATTCAAAGACTATTTTTCAAAAATGAAACTATAATAATACTAGAAGCAGAAACTTACACTGTCCCAGGAAAATTAATAGGTTACCCTATTAATATATTACAAAATGAATATAACATTATACTAAGATTAAAAAAAAATACATATATATAGTCTAAAGGGATTAGCCATAAGAGATAGGCCTGAACTCTGTTATTTTAATCCTTGAAACATTATGGTTTCTGGTTTAGGCACTGATACAGCTATATAAATAGAATTATATTTAGGTATAAGCCTGTTTCCTTTTGTTATAAACATAAAATCATAGAATCATATACTTAAGAACTACAGAGTCTACAACTGGGAAATAGTATTAAGATATTAGTCTTAAAATATTGATAACCCTGTAACTAAATTTGCTATATAATTACTAGGTAGTTCTAAAGAAAAGTTTTGGTTAAGTTATTAGAGATTGTTTAGAGTCCAGATAATATTCCTAATAAAATTTGTATTAACTTGGTTGATGGTGATAATCTGTTATAAAAGCATACTTAGAATATCACATTTTTGCTTACTATATTATTCCAAGGCAAAAATAATACCTTATGTTTATATAGCAACATTACAATTTATGAGCACTTCATATACATATCTCATTTTATCTACTTAATATTTTTGTGAGATAATCAGGCAAATTTTTATGAGAGAAGTAAGACTTAGAAAAGTTAAGAGAGTTGCTTAAGATGACAAAGCTATTGAATGGTAAGACCCCAGACTTCTAACACTAATTGTCACCTATAAGGAGCCAAGGGAGTGGGGATGGTGAGAGGGAAAGATCTTAAAAAACACAGCACTTTTCAGAAATTATTTTTGTCTCATCCAAGAGTTATCTTTTGTTGGATCACTAAAATTAAATTTAATACAAATTAAATCTTAGACACAAATAAAATATACATTCTAATCCCTTAAGCATCTGGAAGATTGAATCAGAAATTATTTCAGTTGTAAAATAAAGTGTGATAATTCTAAAATAAGCAAATTGTGATAAACATGAATCTAATCATGCTTTTATCAAATAACCTAAGTATGAACAGTTTCCTAACCAAAATAGTAAAAATAGAATTATCCTAGAATTTAGTTTAGATTATTAATCAAAAATTTTCTTTGAAGGTGTTAATACAACTCAGCATTCTGGGAAATATAAGAAGGAAGACAAGTTAAGAAAGACCTTCTAAATTAGCCAGAAAAATATTAATTCCTCTGATCACAAAAGATAGTGACAGTTGGTGCCATCTACCCTTTATATTTTGAGAACATGACACATTTCCACATTTTTTAAAACATAAAGTCCACCAAGAAAAACAAATGAACATTTGGTTGCTTTTCTTCTTTCCATTTTTCTTGCTAATAACTGCAATATAGGTATTTATCAGTTATTGTATAAACCGTCCATCTAAGGTTTGCTATTTGAGGGAAGGATTATTATAATTTGAGAGTTTTTTAATATCCTAATGACAAGTATCAAATTCATGCCACCTTTTATACTGAAAAAATGTGTGTGGTTTTAAGATGAGTGGCTCATTAACAGAATTGCCTACTGAAATCTCCTTAGCTCAAAAATTGCAACAGTGCCTAAAGTTAAAGCTATCCTCGTGTCATTGGAGTGAATTTTCTCACAACACTCATTTTGATAATTATCTTTATTTTACAGTCATTCATACGTGTGTGTTTTCTGGGTAGGAGACTGTTTTTGGAACTTCACAGAGTATCCTGAAGTAATGTGAATAACTGTGTAACTATACTATTTAAAACATTTTTAACCCTAGAAGCATCAAAGTCTGATGTTTAAAATTCACCCGTTGTGTTTAGGAATTACTCCTGACAGTTCCTTACCCTAGCATTGGCAAGTTGCTTCATTGACTGTTAGTAGGCATGCTCAGAGTCTTGGTAGATCAATAGAATGTCAAATGTGCCCAAATCATGAAAAGTACAATGGTGTATTATTAAACATCCCTTTTTAGAGAAATTTTGCTTTTTATTTTGGATGGTTTAGTTCATTTCCATTAATTATATAGAGGTTGCTAGTTTTTAGAACTACCAGAACATTTGATATTAAATTTCTGTTGTCAGATTCAGGCTAGGCAATTGGTTTGGCCTACATGCTTCTTCCAAAGTTCTATTCAACTTTATGAAATAAACAGGCTTTCCATGATGCTTGAATTTTTCTTGAATAACAACATTCAAACTCAAATCGTTTAAAGCAGGCAGAGCAAATGATGAGATATTCAGGCAAAAGAATTTGGCTAAACACTGATGCTCTGAAGTAAGCATTAGTCAAAATGTATAATTTTCCTATTCAAGTGTCTTGAGCAAAGTCATATCTCTAGCAATCCTAATGCTCAGCCATGGAGCAAATAAAAATCACTTCTTGAAGCAGTGTATTCATTGGAATGCTTTACTTAACAATAGGATAAATTATTACTGTTAATATGAAAGTTCATTAATAATTCCCTAATTTTCTCTGCATAGTTGCTTTCTCAATCCTAGGACTCTTAACTTTGTATGTCACTAACTACATAAATCTTCTTTTTAACAAATCTTTATTAAAGTTCAGGCACAAAAGAGGTATAGCCTAATAGCCTAATAACTGAGAAATACTATTAGATATGACTCTTCTCAGATCCCTGTTAGTGAGTCTTTATCGCCTTAGAATGCCTCCCCATTCAGTAGCAGGTCATTGCCTAAAGCACATCTAGTCTCTCAAAATCCAGGCCTCGTTCACATAGTATTCTTAAAATCTTCTGAAGTAATTACAAAATAAGACCCATTTAAAATGCATTAAACCCTAATTTCCTTTAAATCTCTTAATGGGAACAAGGTTACATTCTGTGAGAAGCAGCTTTTTTCAACCTTCATCTGTCTGTTTGAAACAGGTAGTCTCAAAGCCCATACTTTCTTCCTAAAAAAGATTTCAGAGCAAAGGATTCAATTCTTACTCAACCTTCCTCTACTGACTCTGTAAGCAGAGTCTTTGATAACTATTTCATCCAATAATAGAAAACAGCGAGCACCATATGTGGTCTAGTAACAATATGAGGGTTTTGAATGTGCTTACGGTTAAATTATTTATGCTTTTTTTTTTTTTTAAGGAAATTAAAGAAATCTTAGTAAGCAGTACATTGGAATTGCAGGATTTGTAGTCTTGTAGTCTGTAACAAGAACAAACAATATGTATAAAACATATATTGGTAAAGTTTGAAAAATTCAGTCATCATCTGGCTATTTTCTCAACATGAAAATGTCAAAAAACAACTACTTAAAAACATCTTTGGTGTTTGGGTTTCGTAGTTTTATTCCAGATGTTTCATGTATGTAAACACAGTCATGGCATATATAGATATACATAGCAACAGGCCATTTCTTGTAATATGGAGAATTTAACAGGCCATTTGTTGTAATATGGAAAATTCAAATAATATGTAAAAGATTCTAGATTCTACATTATTTTGGTTTCACTGTATTTAAGTTAATGTATGTTTTACCTATATTAAATGTTTTTTATAAACTCTAGGTTTACATTAGAAACTTTGCTAGACATTAATACATTTAAAAATAATTTGTATATATAACATGTGGAAACCTGTCATATTATGACCATTTATCTTATACCAGTTACTGTGGACAAAGATGGCACTATTCTTAACTATACTTAAAGATATTTCCATATCTAGTTTTGGCCTTTTTTGGTCATTCACACAAGAAACATAAGGGTTCTTATAGCACCTTAGCAAGTAGAAGCATTCACTGCATGTTATGTCCAATTCAACAAGTGACACTGTCAGTAACGTTTCTAGCTTCCATTCAGGTATTAGTTTGTGAGATTCTTTTATTCAGGCTAATTCCAACTCTTTGTAGGAAGTTTTCAATTAAAATAATACACTTACTATCCTAATGACTATGCCAAAGGAAAAATGAAAATAAAGCCAGCAACAACATATATGTTGATAGATTTTATGCCTGTGCTCTAGCTGTGTTTTGCCTTTAGAGAATGACTTGTTTAAAACTGTTGAGTTCAGACTTACCTTCCTTCACATGTTGAAAATTTCAAAAACATCTACCTCTACAAATGTATCAGTGATGAGATTTGGCAACTTGGTTGAACTTGGCTAGTGCCCTTCTCACTACCCTTGATATTAAACATTAAGTTTTCACCATTTCCTTTGTTTTTCTGTCTGAGATCAGGTTGAGTTTCAAATTTTTATGCTTAGGTAAACACAGTTATACATTTATACTGTTTTTGTGCCCCAGAACTGATAGCTCCACTTTTAGATGGTCTCCATGAATTATGGAAAAAAGAAGAAATGCTATCTACATACTCTCCTTAGGCTAGCAAACTAATTTAATGGCATCAGTTACATCAAAACGTTTTATTTAAAATTTGTTATGAATTAACTACTTTTTAGAGGTTGACTTAATGTGGACATTTTAATAAGAAAAAACTTTCTACTTTGAAGATCATTAACTAACAATTTTTTATAATAGGTCAGAAAATATTATAATGAATGTTAAAAATCCTAAAATAGAGTAAAAATCCAACCATCAGCTTTCATACAATTAACCATACATATTTCCAATACTTTAATACTTAAAATTTTCTTCTATAATATCAAAATGGGCTTCTTACACATTGTAAACTGATTTACTTAAATGCATTCCAGTAATGAGTTATAAATGAAACTAAACTCAGGACTAAAAAGTTTTGCTTTCTAAAAATGTAGGGAGTGTCCATAAAATAAGTTTTATAGAAATTTAAATATAAATTTAGTGCAGTAATTTCAGTTTACCAGGATTGAAGATTCTTTGCTTTATGAAAGCCTTCATAAATTCATTTTCTTAGTGATTTTTGAAGATAAAAAAGTCATGTATTATTTATAATACATATATCAGTGTGATTTATTAACAAGAAATAGACTGCCGTGCAGAAAAATACTGAAAAAGTACCCATTGTGACTTGCTAACTCTGGGACTGTGTAGCTTAAATTTAGAGTTCTGATAAAATCATTTAAACATAGAATAAAGATATAAGTGTCCTTGGCCTTCTAAGTTAGCAAGAACTTTTGATACATTTTCTAAAATACAATATAGATGATAGCTAAGTTTTATATAAACATAGGTTTTATCATACTTCATTAAGGTGTAGCCCATGGCCAACATAATAGCTACCTTTCATAAAACATGTAAAATATGACAGAGTATTCTCTATGCAATTCACAATAAAGTCTCTAACTTGGGAAAGTTAGAATATGTTTTGATTGTCATATATATAAGGTTATATTTTACCCGGAATTTTCTAGTATGTGTCATTTTAGCTAATGGAGTGGTTTATGCTTTGGTAATAACTGGAGTCAGAAGGTGTTTAATCTGGTTTCTGCAGGCTTGTTAGGAAAGATGTCACGAATATAGTAATAAATGTTCAGTAAATTCATAGAATTTATATTGTTAATAAATAGATGAGCTTTTTAGTAAGTTCATTTGTATTAAAACTGTATGTATGTATGAAATGAAAGTTTCAGTGTTTGTAACCTCTAATAAAATTATCTGGCCTTGTTACTATAATAGTTAATTCAAATAAAACTTTTGAATATTGATGTTTTCATGAATATAGATAAATGTGTATTATAAGCATCAAATAGTAAAATGTTATTTCAAAATACTTAGCTTCATAGATATGATAATATACTTTCACTTAGAGGAGAACTGTTGGAGCCAAGAATTTGGGACATTGTTCTGAAAATAAGAAAATAATCTTAAGGGGGAAAAAAATAGAAACTATAGTCATTAACATCTTTTAAAATTTACACCAGCACATATAAGCAGACTTAGAATAATAAAGGAAACTATTGAAAGCAAAAGAGAAATATATCATATGTTATGGTAAAAGTAATTTTTTATAAATTTCTATTTTGGCAGTCATCTGTTTCAGAATCTAGCTATCAAGAACTAATTCTTCATTTTGAAATAATCATTGATATATTTCAATTAAGGATTCTTATGTAGACTTTTCATCTTTAGGTCTTGGACCTGATTGTGCTACTTCCTCCTCCCACCATACAATGCCTTCAGTATGTACTCACTGATTGGTTGTGGTTTTGATGCTGTGGATGGTGCTGAAGCTCTGGCACAGAGATAAGTTTGAGTCTAGGTTCTCGTACTTCACAAGCTGCATAACCTTAGCCACGTTACTTAATCTCTCTGTGCCTCAGCTTTTCAGTTAAAGACTACTTCACAAAATTAATGGGGAAAGTAAATGAGACAACACAAATAAGGAACATAGAACTTTTGGTTCTCTCCCTTCACCTTCACTTATTCCTGAACCAACAATTTTTAAAAATGGCAAAATTATGGCCGGAGTGTCTCCCTTTTTAATCCATACAGAGGATTTACTAAAGAGATAGTATTATTTGCTGACATTTCTATTCAAAAAGTAAGTTATTTTCACAGAGACATGTATAGAAAAGGTCAAAGTCTTGGTCACAAAACTTTGTCTGCTATAAAACTTGCATTGTTCACACTTAGCAGTGATCCACTTAGTAGTGAGCATTGGACTGAAGTGTTAACATCTAGGGTGAGTTATATTTACTTTTTCATTGCATGGTTTCTCTGGATTCATGAAAGGCAGTTTTCTGTTGGTTTTTTGTTTTGTGGTTTTTCTGCAAACATTTATTTTCAATTTTAGCTTTGGGTCTTTACAGTTTGAGGCTATGTTATTAGGTCATACAAGTTCATAATTCTTATAACTTGTTGGTATTACTCCTTTTATATTCTCACTTTATCTTTAGTAACAATTTTCCCTTCAATATAGTCTACTATAAATATTATACCAGCTTTCCTTTGGTTAACATATGCCTAGTGTTTCTTCATGTCATATCTTCTGTTAGTCTAAGTATATACTTTTTAACTTCATATAACTAACTTTTCACATTTAAACTTGAACAGTGCTGTCTTTTGAGAGAGGTTCATCCTATGATGTTTTATTACAATTACAAATATATTTATATTTATTTCTACCATCTTCTGGGCTTTCTTTTACCAAATTTTTTCATTTTTCTTTGCTCTTTTTTTCTCCTGTCTTCTTTTGGATTGAGTTCAAACATTACATATGGCTTGAAAAAAAACATTCTATTTTTATTTTAATGATAACCTAAAATGTGTAACATACTGGTGAACTCTGTATTTTTTTAATGTATAGATTTTTAATCAATAGACACTACTAAACTAGTTCATATGAAGCCAAGTACTGAAACTATCTCAATGTGTTCCAAAGTAAAAGATATTACCCTTTAAAAAATATTTTAATCAGGAAAGAAAATGTGTAATTGGTCATATTTTTATTGAATGTATTTATTAATAGAACTATGATCCAAACTATAACAATCATAAATTAGCTTTTGAAGGTTTGTCTTCATGTTAAATTCAGACCAGTGATTGTCAGTTAACGAGGGTCAGGGGGTACATGCACAGGCGTAGCCTTAGGAGTGGACTAGCCTAAGGAGGTCAGCACCATTTCACCACACCGTGCACTCAGAGAAGTGGCGTCGTCCATTTCCACAATATTCCTGAAGCTGTCCCTCCAGTTCACCAGTGCGTCTTCCAGGCCTCCGCACACATTTCATCCCCAACTCCTTAATGACTTGAAGGCAGGGCTCACCTCTCCTGGGAGCTAGAATTTTCTTCTTGTAGGTGGCACACTGGTTTCCTGAAACAACCTGACACCGTACATCATCTTGTTCTTCCGTGAGGAAGTGTGTGGACTTTAAAGTCCACAGTGAGATGTACACCAAATGGAGGCTAAGATCAGCTCCCAGCCACGGACGGAACTTCTATACCAGAGTCTCACCTTACTTTGTAAAGATTCAAATGTGGCTGACCCTCCCAATAACTGTTCATGGGAAGAGGCACAGTACAGAGTCTACCATTTCTACAATAGTTGTCAAAACACTGAAAGATCTTGGCAGATCGCTCTTACTAAGTCCCTTTCCTTATCAGGAAAAGGTAAGCAAAACCCGACTGCCTTCATGTGATTTTAAGCAGCCTTTTTAAATGCGGTCAATGATTCCTATGAGATGGCTTCTTTAATTAAGAGGAGCTCTATGGGTTAGCCAGGACTACCTGAACTCAAAGGAAGAACTCATTCATCTCCAGATGGGTGAGTGTTGTACAGGAAAACCGCTTAGGCTGAGCTCCCTTATTCCTTTGACTCAGAAGACACTCTTCTTAAAAAGTTAAAATCCCCACTAATTAACTTGAATTAATTTGGTTCTGGCCCTTCCAGCAATATTAACCTCCAATTTGGTGTATTACTATTGATAAAAGTTAATCAATCCTATCCCAACTTCTGTTAGAGGAAGGGACAGGACTAACAGTGGTGTGCTGAAATGACATATTTGATACTTAGTTTTGCAAGAGGCTTTTGTCTAGAACTGATCCCCCTAACCTGTGCTCTTGGTTACCCTAATCTGTGCGCTAGCTTCCCGAACCAGTAAACCTTGCTGCAAAAATAGACACATGCTTTCAGATCCACTGATATTATTTACTCTGGCAAAGGCCAAGGACCACCAAGGTGCACAGTCCCCTAGACCTCACCAACAGGAACAGTCATTCCAGCTGGGCCAGTGCGGATCAGTGACTGAGCGCCGAACCATGCACCAGGTCACTGGCTCTATTCCCCGTCAGAGCACATGTCCGGGGCTTGATCCCCAGTGTGGGGTGTGCAAAGGCAGCTGATCAGTGTTCCTCTCTCATCAATGTTTTTCTCCCTCTCTAAAAAGTCAATAAAAACATATGAAAAAAGGATGGTTCTATATCCAGTACTCTGGGGCCTTGCCTCCAGGAGGCAATTATAGATTATACAGCTTTATGGACCAAACCGTAGCAGGAAGGCATGGCCTCCCCATCTCTCAAGGTTCCACTAATGCAGGCCAACACTGCAGCTAAGCTCAGTAGGGTGGGGCAGTGAGAGATCCAGGAAACCATCCTTCCATTATGCCCAAGGAGGAAGCTGTTGAATGCTTCTGCATGCTGCCTGTTACTTTATTAGTCATCCTACTTGGAGCCCCACAACCTGACCAACTACTGGCTTTACTTTGGTCTTCGAACTTCCCAAATCTAAAGAGCTATGCTCCATTCACAGGTACAACTGCAAAAAAAAAGAAATTAGCCTGTGCCTCAGGGCCCATATTTCAGCCGAGGCCATCTTGAGTGCTTGATCAACTTAACTGTAAATTTTTCAGGCTCTTCTCAACCCCTATAGTCACCCAGGTCCTTAAGAAAAATGAGGCCTAGTTCCAGAATAACTTGAGATTTCAGTGAAATCAGAAATTGTATCTATTCTTGTTCCTGCCTGTTCTTTTTTATAAATGTATATTTATTGATTTCAAAGAGGAAGGGAGAGGAAGAGATAGAAAAGACAGGATCATTGATTGGCTGCCATCTGTACACTCCACACTGGGAATCAAGCCCTGCGCACGTGCCCTGACTGGGAATCAACCCATGACCTCCTGGTTCATAGGTCGATGCTCAACCATTGAGCCACGCCAGCTGAGCATTCCTGTCTATTCCTGACCTCCATATAGCCACAGATCTCCTGGTTTCAAAGGTGCCTGACCTATGAGTTCACTTGTGGAATAACCCTCTAATATCGAATGGTGCCACTTAACATATACTGACCATTGCCCACAACTTCCTGCATGACTTCATAGACAGGAATGTAGTCTACCAAGTTGATAGTTTATCACTGTAATGGACATCCCGTGAACACCTGATCAGTGCTGTCAGGTGAACCTCCTGCAACACTGTCTCCAAGAATAGCCTACAATGAAAGCTGAGGGCTCAGATTACTTGGGAGGCACTTTTCTGGTCAAGGGACCCAAAGATGCCAGATAAGCTGTTAACAGTTCTTAGATGTCTACAAGTTTAACATCTCCTCCCAAGTAGCTAGGATGCCCTCTCTTGGAAGTGCTATGTCCTTCAGTTTTAAGTTCTACCTCTCCTCAACCTGCCATTCTTACCAATGAAGTGCTGGATCAAACTGAATACATCCAGTACCCAAAGGCTATCTGCTTTACCTCCTACAGAAAATCAAACTGGTTCATCTCCCATATCACCCCTTTCATTCACAGTATCTTGTCTTTTTTAATACCTTCTCCTCTTTGAATCCCTATTTTTTATGCCCTCCAGTTCCACAGATATTCTGGTAGCCAGTTAAAATGCCTGCGCAAGTGACAGACGGCAAAAAGGAACCCCATTAACACCCAGCAAGCAAAGCAAAGGTCCAGTGTATGGACCAGCACTAGGCCACAGGAAAGCTCCATCAAGTGGAAGACACTGTCTCTCCATTCATGACAGGAACTGTGAGACCATTCACGGACACTGCAAAGGCAGAGGTTATCAATGCACTGGTTATAGGTCTCTTTTCCTTCATGTGAATATAACCCATGTCTTTCACTACTCTGCTCCGGCCAGTTCTAGGAGATATACTCGATCCTAGGCCCCAGTAACCTGACCTATGAATCCCAGCAGGTAACTGGAATATGTTATTTGGAAAATCCAGGTCTGAAGGAACATTTGTCAAAACATCCTTCCACTTTAGGATACCTCTAAGCAAACAAATCTCTCAATGGAAACTGGAGCTAAATAGTAGCACACAGAATAAATCTGGAAACCAGCAACCTAATAATTTGCTTCAAATGAGCCCTCTCTGCTTGCTACCAGGCTTAGAATGGATATTTCCAGTTCTCACTTTCAACTTTGGCCTGGCTGTCCAATCAATCACCTGTCAGATAGAATGCTGGTTCACTGTGTGCAGTCCTCGTATAATTAATACCTTAACGTCTTTTCTGTGTTTTTATGGAGCCTTGGAGAGATCCCAGCATCCAGTTTGAGATTCTTGGAGCACTGATCATTCCTCCTTTCACCATCACCTTCAACAAATGCAACAGTACGTATCTGAGTAAGGTACTTACAAACTTTTAAACTTTAATAACAAGTTAAAAGAGCATAAGAAATAATCAGAAAAACTACTTAAAAGTAAATGTATTAACATTTATAGTAACAATTCTACAATTTCTGTATTGTATTAGCGATGTTGACCCAAAAAAAATCATAAGGTAAATTCTGTATGTGAATAAAATGACTAAAAAATATAAATACTGCCTTTTTGAACAACTTGAGATTTTTTAAATCGTACCTCTAAATTTACTGTTATTAAAGTTTAAAACTTTTAACATACCAAGTACCTCAAGAGAGCTTTATAATTTATCATAGTCCAAACAAACATGATATACATATTTAGTATACTGGTATACTAAATATGTAATTAGACTAAATGTCCTTTTTCAGTAGTCTGAAGAAAACTGAGGATTCTTTTTTATGGCTTTCTATAAAACAGCAGTGGTTGCAGTTACCCCTCATTTTAAGAAAAGCAATAAAAATTTTCTTAAATTCTGCAAAATTAGAAAACAGAAAACAAATTCCTTCTAGAGACTGAACCTCCGTCCTAATTCCACATGTGAGACTAGAGCCATCTACTGGTTGGAGTGTAGTGTTACAAAGCACAACTATTGGACTGCTAATATTAAGAGTATAAGGAGTCATGATTTTAAGAACTGAAAATATAAACATGGATGATCATCTAATCTAGGACACTGACTCGTTAAAGGTTAATAAACGAATCTTTTTAACAGGAAACCCAACATATATAACAAAGTAGGGCTTAAAGTTGAGGTAAAGGGCCTCCAACCCCAACTCTGATTCCCGGCGGGCCCAGACAGTGGAACACAAGCCATGAGAGGTAGTCTGGGCAGATAACCGAACTGTGGTTTGGAAGGAGGCACCTTAGAAAGAATGGTCTCAGCAAAGCGGTCTCCTACCCATCTTTCCCCTAGAGACACCGGCATACAAAGGGCAGTGGTTAATGAATGGGCAGAGAAAACAGAGCCAGGGCTGGCACCTGAAAGGTTTTGAACCTCTTTTCACAGGGACATCATCACTTAGGGGCTCATTTGATGCAACACTTAAGAAAACATTAATATGACTTTCCTGAAATGCACAATGACACGTGCTCTTTTACCACAGCCATAAACCACAAGAATTGGGTTCTAGGTCCTATGGACTTTCACCAGACAGGCCCTGGACTGGTCCAGTCGAGGAAACAAGAGCCCAGTTTCCGGTCCCAGCTTTCTCCCTTCAAAAGGGCAGGGATGTCCGTAGAATCGAGGCAAGAAGGCGAGCTCTCCCAGGCCCCTCTCTGTGGCAGAGACTCCCAACCTGGACAGCAGCTTGTCAGCCAGGCTTGGGGTGACAGGCTGCAGCAAAGTTCCAAAGATCCGCAAACATTCCAAGGCCACGTGGAGCACAGTACCGAGCCAGGGAGCATCCACTGGGCTCTCCCAACTCAACTTCCAGGGCGCGTGCCTTTGGACAAAGCCATTGGTCTGCCGGACACAGCTGGACACTGCCTCCAGGGCCTTGTAGATCTGAAAGTCCGCGTAGTTGTCCGCCACCTGCCTGGGCAAGGCGGCCACGGCACTCACCAGGGCATAGTCCTCGGCCCCGGCGCGGGCTGAGGGCCCCGCCAGCCCCGGCTCCCTGGGGAAGCAGGTGGCGCAGAAGGCCGGGTAGGTCCCCGAAGGGTTCATTCTCTGGGCAGTGCATCGGTTCAGGAGGCCTCCCAGCGCATCTGCCAGCTCGGAGTCCAGCAGCTTCACCACCTTCTCCTCATAGTAGTCGCAGTCCCAGTTGGGGACGCCCTGGCGCAGGAGGAAGTAGCGGAAGCCATCCACAGTATAGCGGTCGAGGCAACTGCTGGGGTCCACTACGTTGCCCAAGCTCTTGGACATCTTTTGGCCACGGACGGTCCAATGGGAGTGGACATAGATGCGGTGTGGTGGGCTCAGGCCGGCCCCTAAGAGCAAGGCCGGCCAGTAGATGGCATGGAACTTGAGGATGTCCTTGCCTATGACATGAGAGGTGGTGGGCCACCAGGACTCGAACTCGGCCCCGGGGTAGCCGACCACAGTAAGGTAGTTGACCAGGGCATCCAGCCACACGTAGATGGTCTGCGAATCGTCCCCGGGCACCGGAATGCCCCAGTGCAAGTGGCTGCTCTTGCGAGAGACCGACAGGTCCGGCAGGTCCTCCTCCAGCCACTGCAAGACCTTGCGCTGGAAGGGCTCGGGGGTGATGGCCTGCGGGTTGTCCCGCAGCCAGCGCCGCAGCGGCTCCCGGAACCGGGAGAGCCTGAAGATGTAGTTTTCCTCCTTGGTCCAGCAGACGGGGTGCCCGCTCTCGGCAGACACCGGACACGGGTCCCCCGCCGGCCCGGGCTGCCGGCTGACCTTGGCCTCGGGCAGGAAGCACTCGTCCGAGGCGCAGTACCAACCTTCGTAGAGGCCCTTGTAGAGCAGCCCCCGCGCCCGCAGCGCCGCCCAGAAGTGCTGCACGGCCGCGCGGTGCCGCGCCTCGGTGGTGCGGATGAAGTCGGTGGAGGAGACGCCGGCGTCGCGGAAAAGCCGCCGGAACTGGGCCGAGACGCGATCGCACAGCTCGGCCGGAGGCAGGCCCGCCGCGGCGGCCGCCTGCTGGATCTTCAGGCCGTGCTCGTCCGTCCCGGTGGAGAAGCGCGTGGCGGCGGCGGCGGCGCCGGGAGCCCGCAGGCGGCGGTGGCGGCACAGCGCGTCCGCCAGCAGCGCCGAGTACAGGTGCCCGATGTGCGGCGCCGCGTTCACGTAGAAGATGGGCGTCGTGAAGTAGGCGCGCGCCTCGGGGGCTTCGTCGCGGGCGCCGCGAGGGCCGGAGCTGCAGAGGCGGGGGCGGGAGGGCTCCCGGAGCGAGAGCCCGCGAGCCACGGCGCGTCCGAGCCGCCGCGCAGCACAAACCCGCGGGAAAACCATGGTACCCAACAGCCCAGCCGGCGCGGAGGCGCTCCGCTGCACGTGGGAGGCGCGCATGCGCGGCCTGGCCACCTCCGCTTCCGGGCCCGCCCTCCGGTCGCCCAGGCCACGCCTTCCTGTCGCACAAGCCACGCCCTCCCGTCGCCCAGGCCACGCCTTCCCGTCGCCCAGGACACGCCCACCCCCGCGCCTGTACGGAACCGCCCCGCTCGCTCTCGAACGTCGGACGCCGCGGCTGTGAGCGGCCACAGCGCGAAGGGGGTCAGCTTAGGAGCTGGCTGAGGGAGCTTATGGAAGTGGTAAATTCCTGGCTGCCGTTTGGGGTCGTCATGTCACACTCACGGATCTGTTTCCCTCTAGGCTGAGCTCCCGTGGGCCACAACTTGGTGCTGGGGCATTTCTCCAAACCCCGCCGGGGGCGGCACCGCCGGACACACAGCCCGCCCGCATGGCGCCCGGTCACCGCAGGGCCTGGGGTCCCTAACTCACCTCCCCACACCGGGACACGGCTGGAAGCGGAGGGAGGAAGGGAGTAGTTACCAGAGCGCCTAGGGAAGGATGAGAACTGAGAGGTGCAGGAAATGTAAGGTTCCAGCTGAGAGGTGTGCGACGCAGAAGCAAAACACGGAATCCAGACCATCAAAAGGGGGGAGGTTGTAATCTGCGCTCCCGGGCGAAGCTCGCTGGTCCGAGGGTGGGCCAGGGAAGTTCGCGCCAAAAAGCGGCATAAGCACTTCTTTTATACAGCTGTTCAGGGAGGAGAGGGCGGAGGGCATGAGAGGGGTGGAATTCCTGCCTCGGGCCAGGGGTCTAGGAAGGCGCCAGCTAGCCAGCTATCTTTGTCACCATCCACCTTGCAGATGCTTGCCTGGCTCTGGGCTTCCCCCCTGCCTCAACCTAACAGAAATCTATTGAAATATCTTTAAACACGCTCAGCATTTGTTGAATCAACAACAAAGGTAATTTTGAAATGTGCAAGTTTTTGCCGAGGATGACGTAGGACCAGGGAGGTGGGATGTCTTATGGTAGGGGTGTCGAACTCAATCAGAGAAGGGGCCAAAATCTAAAATCCAGCCTAAATCGTGGGCCGAATGGTTTACTGAACAGTCATAAACTGTCATTGTGATGGAAATGCAGCGGAGTGCAGTGATGACAGCGCGGTGCGGGCCACATTGCAAGGCCTGGTGGGACGGATTTGGCCCGCGGGCCTTGTGTTTGACACATGTGTCTTATGGGGTCACTGTGCACATGAGGAAGAATCAGCCTTCCAGTTTATTCCACAAAGTAGTTACAGTAATTTTCCTAAATGGCCCTGGGTTCCTAGAGCAGTTTTTCCCGTTTTGCTTTAATTAACGGAACTCCAGCTCCATCGGAGGGGAAGCTTTGGGAGGTCAGAACAGGGTTAATGTAAATCCGTGCTTCAGGCATGCTCTCATCTTTGGTCTATGACTAGCCATCTTTTGTTTTCTCTCTCTCTCATTTAAATACTATTGTTATTTAGTGATAAAATGGATGGGACACCTGTGAACCTGCAACTCCACCTTAGAACTAAGAACTAGAAGTGGCTCTCTTACTCAGATCACTGATCATCTGAATGACGCAAATCAAAACGGCAATGAGGTACCACCTCACACCTGTCAGAATGGCTATCATCAACAAATCAACAAACCGGACAAGTGCTGACGAGGATGCGGAAAAAAAAGGAACCCTTCTTCATTGCTGGTGGGAATGCAGCCTGGTGCAGCCACTGTGGAGAACAGTATGGAGTTTCCTCAAAAAACTCCCTTTTGACCCAGTAATCCCACTCCTAGGAATATATCCTAAGAAACTGGAAACACCAATAAGAAAGGATATATGCACCCCTATGGGGTATTTGGCTGAAGTGCTCTATTTGATCCAGCCATTTAAAAAGGGCAAGTGACGGATAGGTAAAACTTAGAACTGCAGGGTATGGACACCCTCCAGAACTAGGAAACAAATCAGGTTCTCCCACAGTTCTTCCCCCGCCCCCTAACTTTCCCATGGAATCTATCTTCAGCATACACATGTGCCTTTTTCCCTATCTTAAAAAAAATTCTCAACCCCTGCTGCTGTTCCATTTCTTTCCTTCCCTTTATAGCAGAACTCCGTGAAACAAATGGCTGTTGGTGCCCATTTGAGTGGTTCAAGTTTTTCCTCTTAGGGACACTAGTGCAACTTTCTCATATATATTTCCTGGTACTGATATGCTAACATTGATCTTGGGTATATACTTAGGGGTGGTATCGCTGGATCATAGAGATGTGAGTGTTCAGTTCTGAAAGATATTGACAAGTTGTTTTCCAACATAGTTGAACAAATCCTCATCCCCATCAGCAACATACCCCTAAGGAGGCCTCTCTAATACTTAGATATTATCTACTTAATTTTTTGCCAAACAAATATAAAATACTACCTTGCTAATTTTCATAGAAGCATTATTCACAATAGCCAAAAAGTAGAATCAACCCAGATGTCTTCCATCTGATGAATAGATCATCAAAGGTAGTATAGTCATCCAATGGAGTATCATTCAGCCATAAAAAAGGAATTGATGCTGATCCGTACCATCACATCGCTAAACCTTTGAAACATTATGCTAAATGAAGGAAACCAGACACAAAAGGCCACATATTGTAGATTCCATTTGTATGAAATATTCAGAATAGACAAATGCATAGAGACAGAAGAAACGAGTTGTCATCATGACATGGGAGAGCATTGGGATGGGGAGTGAATGCTTAAAGATACGGGTTTTCCTCGTAAGGTGATGAGAAAGTTCTGGAGCAAGAGAGTGACGATCATTGTATAATGTAGTAAATGTACTGAATGCCTGAACTGTACACTTTAATTGTAAATTTCATTTTTATTTTATAACAAAATTTTATCTCTCTGTGGTCTTGATTTGCATTTCCTTAAGTAGAAGTGAAATGGAGCCATCTCTTCATATATTTATTAACTATATATATTTCTTTGAAGTGTCATACATATATACTTTTCTATTGGCTTGTCTTTTTCTTTATTTGCAGGAGGCCTTTATGTATTCTTGGTACTGTTCCTTTACTGGTTGATAGTTCACAAATGTCATCTCCTAGACCTATGGTCGGCAAACTGCAACTTGCGAGCCACATGCGGCTCTTTGGCCCTTTGAGTGTGGCTTTTCCACAAAATACCATGGCTTGGGTGAGTCTATTTTGAAGAAGTGGCATTAGAAGAAGTTCAAGTTTAAAAAATTTAGCTCTCAACAGAAATTTCAATTGTTGTCCTGCTGATATTTGGCTCTGTTGACTAATGAATTTGCCCACCACTGAGCTAGACAATGTCTAGTCTCTCCATGTTGAAGAGGCTTAATGAGTCATCAACTATCAAGCAGACTTCTGCAATACTCTCCTGACTCACTGGCCTCCCTCCTTTCCTGCTCCCCTGATGACCACCCTCTTCAAAGCAGCCCATGTGACTCATAGAAAATGCAGACTGACGTGACTTGACTACCTCAAACTCCTCCTTTGATTTTTTTTCATTTGATTATTTGATTCTCCTTTGTTGCCTACAAAATAAAGTCCAAGTTCCCATTGTATTAGAGCTTAGCTCTGTCCTCCCTTACAGCTTAGTCTTCTTTCAAATTTACATTTTTTTCATTTTTAATTGCTTCATGGTTTTCAATTGTATGCCATACTGTTCCATGATTCCTGGCACATACTTCCCACCATTTTTTTTTTTTTTTTTTTTTTTTTGAGAAAGAGAGAAAGAAACGTCGATTTGTTGTTCCACTCATTTATGCATCCATCGTTTGCTTCTTGTATGTGCCCTGACTGGAGATCGAACCTGCAATCTTGACATATCAGGATGACACTCTAACCCAGTGGTCAGCAAACTCATTAGTCAACAGAGCCAAATATCGACAGTACAATTAAAATTTCTTTTGAGAGCCAAATTTTTTAAACTTCTTCTAATGCCCTTCTTCAAAACAGACTCGCCCAGGCCATGGTACTTTGTGGAAGAACCACACTCAAGGAGCCAAAGAGCCGCATGTGGCTCAAGAGCTGCAGTTTGCTGACCACGGCTCTAACCAATTGATCTGCCTGGCCAGGGAGCTTCCCACCTTCCCTTATCTATCTTGTGCATATTCATCCTCCAGGACAGTTCATACGTTATCCTCCAAGCTGAGTTGGAGGCCTCTTCTTGGGTTCTACAGTGTCCTGTGCATGCATTATCTCAGCAGCTACCAAATCAAAATGAAATTGTTGGTCTACCATCCCCATTCAACCATGTTTCTTTAGGGCATGTTTAGCCATCTTGTATACCCAGCCTGCATCCAGTTCAGTGTCTGGAGGGTAGCAGGCACTTAATACAGTGAGTATGTAATAAATAATCTTTAGATGCTGCAATATTTCATTTTTCATCATCCAGGAGCTCACAGTCCAATGTACAGAAGAAAGCATGAAAAATGACAGGCATGAAAGCACTGTGAATAGTCAAACAAGTCATACTGGATCAGAGTCTGCTGTCTTTCCAGCCAGATTTACCCAGAAATTGCTTACAAACTATAGTCATCTTTGAGAATGAAGGACTATGGGATTTTCCTCTGGTAAAACCATTTGTAAGAAGTAAACTACTTAAATTAAGAGGTCATTAAACAACAAGAAAGCCCAATGCATAGAAGAACATATTTGCCAATGATATCAACAATAAGGGTTTAATCTCCAACATTTAAAGGGAACTCATGCAGCTTAACAAAAAGAAGATAAACAACCCAATCAAAAAATGGGCAACTGATCTAAATAGACACTTCTAGAAAGAAGACAGAAGGAAGGCCAAGAGACATATGAAAACCTGCTCAAAGTCCCTAATCATCAGAAAGATGCAAATCAAAACAACAATGTGGTATCATCTCACACCTGTCAGAATAGCTATCATCAGCCGGGACTGGTTTGGCTCAGTGGATAGAGCGTCGGTCTGCGGACTGAAAGGTCCCGAGTTCGATTCCGGTCAAGGGCATGTACCTTGGTTGCGGGCACATCCCCAGTGGGGGTTGTGCATGAGGCAGCTGATCGATGTTTCTTTCTCATCGATGTTTCTAACTCTCTATCCCTCTCTCTTCCTCTCTATGAAAAATCAATAAAATATATTTTAAAAAGAATAGCTATCATCAACAAATCAACAAATGACAAAAAGGAATCCTCCTACACAGCTGGTGGGAATGCAGATTGGTGCAGCCACTGTGGAGATAGTATGGAGTTTCCTCAAAAAACTAAAAATGGAAATCCCATTTGACTCAGTAATTCCACTTCTAGGAATATATCCCAAGAAACTAGAAACACCAATTAGAAAGGATATATACATCCCTATGTTCATAGCAGCACAATTCACCATAGCTAAGATTTGGAAACAGCCTAAATGCCCATCAGCAGATGAATGGGTTAGAAAACTGTGGTACATCTACACAATGGAATACTATGCTGTGGTTAAAAAAAAAAAAAAGGAATTTGCAACAACATGGATATACATGGAGAGCATTATGCTAAGTGAAATAAGCCAGGCAGAGAAAGATAAGTACACATGACCTTACTCATTTGTGGAATGTAATGAACAACATAAACTGATAAACAAAAATATATCCAGAGACAGAGAAACATCAATCAGAATGTCAAACCTCAGGCAAGGTAGGGGATAGTAGGGGTAAGGGGAGAGATCAACCAAAAGACTTGTGTGCATGCATATGAGCCTAACCAATGGGCACAGTCACCAGGGGGGTGGGGGCATGAGTGGGAGGTGGGGGTAATGTGGGAATAAGGACACATATGTAATACCTTAATCAATAAATTTTAAAAAGAAAAGAAAAAATATATAAAATACAGAAAAAAAGTCATAGTGATCTACAAACTATATCAGCCTATGCCCCCGACGCCCCACCTCCCACACCCTACACCCCATACCCCACCTATGCAGTGAGAGTTCACTGCACTCTCCAATGTGACGGAAACAATCTTTTCAGGCTTGTGTACTATAGCATCTGAAATGGGATGGGGGTTATTTAGTAAATGATGGGAGTGGTGTGGTGGCAGAATCCCTTCCTTCCTATTACTACTCTCAACCCTATTTCATAATGGAAGCACATGAATGAATTTATTCTGTGCTATTGGGCCGGCATAGTGCTAGGATGTGAGATAAGATTATCTCATTCAATGTTCATAACAAGCCTATGAAGTCAGTACTATTAATAACTGCGTTTTTATAGGGCGGAAGTTGAAACTCGAAGAGGTCAAGTAACTTGCCCAAGATCGCGTGTGGAGGAGGCCTCAGCAGCGGGACCGGACCCAGGCCGTCCGACTCCAGGGCTCTTGGTCTTGGATGCTTCATGGCCCGGGCCTGTCAATGGGAAAATGCAATGAGCACTCATGACAATCGGTCCGCACACACTGTGCGTGCCTTGTGGCAAATGGTAGTTTGTGAGACTGAAGGAGTGAGTTGTCAGTCTTGTTGGGTGCGGGGTTTTCTTATTACAGATGCTTGGGGACCTGCAGAGCGTTGCTAGTTGAGAATTTTAGTAGAGTATTTTAAACTTTAAGTATGTTGGGAAAACTCATTATCCACATATCTGTCTCCCTTTGCAATTATATAGCCTTGTTATGAAAATACTTCAATATTGTTCTGTTTTCTATTTGGCAGTTTTAATTAGGATATAATCTTTCCAGCATAAAAAGAACCTTCATACCGAAAGAAGTCCTCAAAAGTGCTCGTGTTTATGTATGTTTAAAAAATTTTTATTTTTTTTTTTTTACTTTTCTGCTTTTAGTCTCCAGAAAGTTTCCTCATAAAGCTGACTTCCGTTCTGGAAAAGATTTTTGTTCCCAACATGTTGAGAATCCATTTCTTTCATCCCTTCTCTCTCTCTCTCTCTCTCTCTCTCTCTCTCTCTCTCTCTCTCTCTCTCTCTCTCTCTCTCTCTCTCTCTCTCTCTCTCTCTCCTTCCCCCCCCCCCTTGCCTTCTTGGTAGTCGCAGGAGGAAGGAGGGGGTGGGCACAGGAAAGAGGAGAAAAGGGGGGGGGAAAGAAAGGAGAGAGAGCCGCGCGCCCCTGGGGCTGCGTGTGCCCTCTGCTTGTAAGTGCTTCCATCTGACTCGCACCCGTGCCTCTCTCTCCGCTCGGGACACCTCTCCCCTCGCCCGGCCACCGGGCCAGCCGGAGGAGACAAAGCCCCGGGGTGCAGGGCGGCTGTGACCGACGTGGCATGGAAAGTCTCCGCTAGGCTGGCAGCTGCGGCTCCTCGGGGAGACCAGCCCAGCCTCCGGCCGCAGCGGCTCAGCATGCCGGCGCGGGGCCATGGCTAGGGGAGGTCCCGGGCTCCCTCCTCTGCGCCCAGAGGGTTTCCTCGGGAGCATCCCCGGGGCCGGCGGGACAGGCTCCCCTGCGGGGGCTGCAGCCGCCTGTCCGCAGCCGGAAGGACAGAAGCCGCCGCTGCCCCCGCCCGGCCCCGCACGGTGAGCCCAATCCCGCGCAGAGCTGGCCATGGGGTGCGGGCTCCGGAAGCTGGACGACCCCGAGGACAGCAGCCCCGGGAAAATCTTCTCCACCCTGAAGAGACCGCAAGTGGAAACAAAGGCAGAAGTTGCTTACGAGTACGTGCTGCTGGACTTCAGTCTGCAAGGTACCTCTCCCCGCTGCCGTGCTGGCCCGGGGGCTGCGTCAGGGACAGGGGCGCGGGGGGCTTCTGAGTGTCCGGCTGTTCTGTGCGAAGCGCTCACCATCAGACCGGATAGTCACTCTGACAAGAGTGCTTTGTCTCTTAATCACATAGGGGAAGATTTTTTTTGTTGGCTGCTTTTCTGTAACATGGCTCCTAGGTGCTTTATAAAATTAGGGAAACTGCTTAGAACTATTTTTTCCCCCCATTTTTAAATCCAGCGCATGAAACAGGCTCGGTTTCCAGGCCAAATAACGGGCCTTGGTGACCGTGGGTTTGGAAAGGCGCAGGGAGGGGCTGTGGGCATGTTCCTGGCATCTGGCGGGAGGGTGCCAGCTCCGAGGTGCCCCGTGGAGTGCCCTGTGGTGACGGTGCCAGTCGCTGGTCTTCTGACCAAGCTAGACGGGGAGCGGGGACGCAGTGAGAAGGGAGAAAAGACAGCCTTTCCTGTAGGGCCGTCCCGGTCAGAGCGGCTCCCTGTTCCAGAAAGTTGGGAACAAACAAACACGCCCAGATGGCAGCCCGGGGGAGGGGGAGAGAGGAGGGGAGCGGGGCGGCCGGACCTCACGGGCACTCGGCCTCGCTCCTGTCTGGAGCCCGGGGGTCTGTGCCTCTGCCCCCGGGAACCGGAGGCTCCCGCGGACCGTCTCTCTCACGCGGGACACCAGCCCTGGGCGCCTGCGTCCCGCTGGCCGCTGGGCTTTGCAGACGCCCGTGTTCCCAGCTCCTCTGACAAAGTTCTGCTTTTGATTTAAGGAGCCACGCGTGGTTCCGGTGGGAGGGAGGTCTGTGCTCGGCGTACGGTCCCGTGGGCACTGCCTCCGTGTCTTTCCCACGTCACGGCGGGCCGGGAACAGAGCATCTTTGTGCGGGGCGCAGGCAGCCCGTTCTTCTTTGTCAAAAACCCAGCCGGCAGCCGGCACGCCTTCCCCGGGCACAGCCGCGGCTGCTTTTCCACGGGCCCCTCCCTGCCCACCGAGGCTCCGGCCGCGGAGGGAGGAATGTCCGCGTTCTCCATTTCCCTCTGGACTGGGAAAGTGAACAGTCCGTCGGTTGAGACAAGGGTGAGCAAAGAAGTAACGGACCAGGTGAGCTCTGCCTGTACTTGCCCGGAGACCTCGGCGGAGACAATGTCCGGGACGCGGTGCTGTGTTCTCCCCAGATGTGCCTGGGGCTGGCTTTGTAGGACTCGTTTCTGTAAATCTGTGAGACACACACATGTACTCCCGCCCCTTACACTTCAGCCTCGTCGGTTCACAGACTCCAGGCCGGAGCCATTCTGGGCCTCGCCGGAAGGTTGGCTGTGGGGTCCCCCAGTCACCTGGAGTTCTTTCCTGACTTCCCCCCCACAGGGGCACACACCTCAGGCCGATCTGGTGCCTGCCATTGTCACCCTGAAGGCAGAGAGTTCTGCAGAGTGGTTAGGGCCTCTTGGGTTTGTCGGATCAGGAAGTCCTTCCTCTCTGGGAAAGGAATGTGATTCCTCTTCCACATTGAGGGGGGTGGGGGTGGGGGTGGGGGTGCAGGAGGAACAGTGTGACGCTCACACAGAGGGTACCCATGGGCAGAGTTCGCCAATGCTCACACAGCGCAGGCCGTGTCTCCCAGCGCCCCAGCTCCTGTGGGTCCAGGCGCCCCGTCTCCAGGGTCCCTGTTCTCCCCAAGTAGCCCACATGTTTTGTTTTTGACTTCGACTCAGAAGCCAAACAACATGAGCCCAGCTGCACAAACCACCTTGCTCCCTCTTCTCCGGCCTCCAGCTGCCACTGCAGCGCTCAGAGACAGGGTCAGGGAGGTGGGAGGCTTAGCCCTGCCCCTGGCACGGCAGCTGCCCTGGGGCTCCCGTCAGGGGGGCCGCCCCAGGGCCTGCGCTCTGAGCGATCCTCAGGAAGCACGATGGTCTGTGGCCGCTGTGCGCTCCCGATCAGCCTGCCTCCTGCCTCGTCTCCCTCTGTCTTTCCAAACACAGGCCGCAGACAGAGTGAGTCCCAGCAGGGCGAGCGGAGGACTGTGCAGGGCCCTGTTATGGGGCTGTGATTTCTTGAACAAACTTTTTCTTTTCCATCTCTCTCTCTCTCTCTCTGCCCCCACACTTGGTCTTTATTGTTATTTTTTTGAACCATTATTTACATCTCTGTGGGAGAAATAATGTCATCTTCGTTAAGCAGGCAAGGCCCTAAAGTCCCAGCTCCCAGGCTCGGAATGCGGGCGCTGTCACTCACGCGCTGTGGCAGGTCTGTGAACGTCGCTCTGCCTCAGCCTCCTCGTCTGTAAAGCGGGGCTCTCATGGTGCTGATGGAGATATGCTAAGGCAGCGGTCAGCACACTTGCGGCTCCAGAGCCACATGCAGCTCGCAAGCCGCGGTCTGCCGCTCTGCTGACTAATGAGTTTGCAGACCACTGACCTAGACTCTCGATTCCAATAATTTCAGTCTGTTATTGTTCCTTGTGATTAAGCCCCTATCCCAGTGGTCGGGAAACTCATTAGTCAACAGAGCTGCATGTGGCTCTCAAGTCGCAGTTTGTCAACCACTGTGCTAAGGGTTAAAGGAGATTGTCTACCTGAACGGGCACCTGGCACTTGGGTGAGCACGTAATGCAAAGGTGACTCGTCTAAGTAGTAATGCAAAGGTGACTCGTCTAACTAGTATATCTCCTGATATGCCAAGTCCACCAACTGCACTGGGAAGGTTTCAGTGCACTTTGGCCATAAACTTTCTGGTTCACTGTCTAACCTATATGTGATTGTGTATCAGCATGTGTGAGGATGCATATAGGAGTGTGCTAAATGTACCTTATTAATGAAGAGTTAAATTAACTCTGCAAATTATCCAGAAGGTTAGTTTCCCGCCCTGTCCAATCCTAGAAAACAGCCTAAGTAACAAAGCCTGAGGGGTGTTCCGAGCATGTGCAGCTTTGTGGTAAAAGGAGTTTCTGCAGTACTGACAGCCCACAGGACAGGGCAGCTTCCTCGTCTGAATGTGATTCAGGGGGTTGTGGGGAACATATTAAGTAACGCGTTGCTGGCCTCTAGCTTGCTTCCTTTTTATTAGGACAAGAACTTAGCCTGGTCTTATCAAACGTGGTGACAGCAGTAAATAAATACGATGTATGTCTTCTGTGAAGACGCCCTGACTTGCCAAAGGTGTGATTTCTTGACGCTATGGGGAAGCAATGGCGGTTAAGCTTTGAACAAGTAATTGGTAGACACAGAGGAGTGTTTTCAGAAGATCCCTATGGGATTGCCATAGGGAAAGGTGGGAGGGAAGGAGGGAGAGAGGAAGGAAGGAAGCACAGTGAGGAGACTGCTTGCAGTGGTCAAGGTCAATCAGCACAGACCTGCGTGTGAGGGGCGGCAATAGGGTGGGAGGCAAGGGGCCAGTGTCACTGACAGTGGGAAGGAGGGGTGCAGCCTGAGGCTGGAAGATATGAAGGGACAAAGAGACTGAGGAAGCCAGGATGACTTCCCGTTCAAGCCTGAGTCACCGTGGGAATAACGGTGCCTCTTACGGTAGGAGGGGCGTCCCAAGGAGTCGCAGGCGGTGAAAGGGCCCTTCCGTTACAGGCGTGTTGCATGGGGGTGGCCGAGGAATGTACTAGAGGCATGCAGGCCACAGAAACAGTAAGGAGAGCACCCCCCTGACTGGAGGGCCCTTTAAAGAAGTGCCACCTCGTCAGAGACTTACAGGATGAGTGGGGTTTAGGCAAGAGTTTGTGTCCAGAATATATAACTATAACTACAAACGGTTCCAGAAAGGAAAGATAAACAACCCAATAGAAAATGGCCAAGGAATGTGGGCAGGTGGTCCATAAAACAGAGAGTCCGAATGGTCAACGGATACGCGAAACTGTGCTTGGCCTTGTTTTCTTTTTTGTTTGTTTTGTTTGTTTGTTTTTTAATTTTACTGATTTTTTACAGAGAGGAAGGGAGAGGGATAGAGAGTTAGAAACATCGATGAGAGAGAAACATCAACGAGCTGCCTCGTGCACACTCCTTACTGGGGATGTGCCTGAAACCAAGGTACATGCCCTTGACGGGAATTGAACCTGGGACTTTTTACGCTCTATCCGCTGAGCCAAACCAGCCAGGGCTCAACCTTGTTAATACTCAGAAAAATGCACGTGAAAGCCCCAGTGAGAGAGCACTCCACAGCATTCAAAATGACTGAACTGTAAAGACTGCTACCTGCAGGTGTTGGTAAACCAGGGCAGCCATGTCGGAAACGCTTTGGCTTTACCTAGTTCACTGAGCACACACCCAACAGAAACAGGGGCCTGTGTGCACCCTGAGGCACACCCAAGAACGTTCATGGAAGCGCCCTTTGTAACAACTCAAGTGTGAGCAACTCAGAAACCCCAGAACAAGAGGCAGGAAATGTACACCATAGGAGACTCACACGATGGAGCACCGCCCTGCGGGAGCCGGTGAACATTGTCTGCAAAGGCCAAGACAGTAAGTCTTGTGGGCTTTGCAAGCCACATGGGCTTGGTCACACCACGCATCTCGGGCCTTGTTGTGCAGCTGTAGCACAAGCAACCGAGCAGGCCGTGGGGAGTTCTCTGCCCACCTCCACTGTGCTGCCCCGGCGAGGAGCGAACCACTTACACAGGCGACTGTATACCAGGTGCATCTCAGAACCATCACGCCTAGTGGAGGTAGACAGACACAAAAGCACACCCCGTGTGATTTCATGTCTGTAAAGCTCAGGAGATTAGCAGAACTGAGCTATAGTGGTCCAGGCCGCATACTTAGATAGGCAACTGGAAAGAAGAGCAAGGAAGGATGACTATCCGAGTACAGGGAGCACAGGCAGGGAGGGGGGTTGTTGTTGGAAAGGGTGAAATGGGGAACGTCTGGAGTGCCCTGTTTTCTGGTTTTTGAATGGATGGTGGTGGCCCAGGTATTGGCAGTTTTAAGTATGTTTTGTGCATTTTTTTGGTGTGGTACATATCTACCCCCACCCAAAATTTTTTAAAGGTTATAAAAAAGACTATGGCCGAAACCAGTTTGGCTCAGTAGATGGAGCGTCGGCCTGCGGACTGAAAGGTCCCAGGTTCGATTCCCGTCAAGGGCATGTACCTTGGTTGTGGGCACATCCCCAGTGGGGGTTGTGCAGGAGGCGGCCGATTGATGTCTCTTTCTCACAATTTGGGACCGCTGGCTCCTAACCATTCACCTACCTGCCCACTCACCTGATTGCCCCTAAATACTCTATCTGCCTGCCTCATCACCCCTAACCACCTGCATGCCTGCCTGATCACCCTAATCATTCACCTGCCTGCCTGATTGCCCCTAACTGCTTGCCTGACTGCCTGATTGCCCCTAACTGCTTGCCTGCCTGCCTAATGGCCCCTAACTGCCTCTGCCTCACCCCCACCACCACGGCTTCATCCAGAAGGTCGTCTGGAAGGACATCCGGAAGGTCCTTTGGCTGTCTGGTAATTAGCATGTTACGCTGTTTTTTATTAGATTCCCTAAGTACTTACCATAATGCTCATATCTATGCTGAGTGCTATTTATCAGATGACACGGGCCCCAAGCAGATGTTTGTTAAGATATGTTTCGAATGCCTGTTGAACTCCTTAAACGCCTGTGCATGTTGGCTGCTGCACTGCCCCCTCCTCTGGGACAGCGACCAGGTCCAGAGATCAGGGAGAGCACTGGGCTGACAAGCGCTCTGACTTGAACCCGGGACTCCGGAGAGGGCATGTCCCCCAGCCCTGAGCCCTCGATTTCTGGGGTTTCCTTCGAAGCAATGCCACTGGTGGAGACTGGCTGAGACGGTACAGGACCCAACAGTGACTCCCCAGGAGTCCACCGAGAAGCCAGGCGAGCGGGGCCCCCGCCCCCAGCCCCCCAGGCCATTCTCTGTCTGTGCTGCGTCCTCTCCCAAATGCACCCAGATCTCACTCCAAGAAGGAGCTGATTCCACCCAGCAGAGCTCCCCCTCACTCCTTGTCACCTCATCTGCAAAGGGGGGTTTTCCTTGTAGCATCATTCACTGGGACATGTCAAGTGCGGCCTGAAGCTAGAGCTTTCTGACGTGAGTGTGACCTTGAACTCTCCCGAGCTGCACTCTCACTAGGCTCTTGACCACTTCACTTTTTTTTTTTTAATATATTTTATTGATTTTTCACAGAGAGGAAGAGAGAGGGATAGAGAATTAGAAACATCTATGAGAGAGAATCATCAATCAGCTGCCTCTTGCACACCCCCCACTGGGGATGTGCCAGCAACCAAGGTACATGCCCTTGACCAGAATGGAACCTGGGACCTTTCAGTCCGCAGGCCGACACTCTATCCACTGAGCCAAACCGGTCTCGGCGACCACTTCACTTTTTAAAAATTATTTCTTTAATTACAGTTGGCATTCAAAAAAAAAAAAAAGTATTTTTTTTACTGAATTTATCGGGGTGACATCGGTAAATAAAATTATACAGAAATCCACCATCCAGGTTTCAGGGGCGCAGTTCTGGGACACATCATCTGTGTGTTGTATTGTGTGTTCTCCTCCCGAAGTCATCTCCTTCCCTCACCGTGTATCCCCCACACCCTCTCTCCCACTTTTATGACCAGAAGAGTAACAGTTCCACAGCCCTGCCTGCGCGTCCTTCCCCTGCCATCTCTCTCCTCGAAGGCCTAGGTCACCTGTCCAGTTGTCCCTGACTGTGCTGGCCTGGCTTTTCTCATTCCCACTGGCTAACCGTGATAGCTTTCCCGCTGTTCTGCAGTCACGTCACCTCCCCATTCCCCTCAGGAACCGTATTTCCAGCCTGCCCTGTGACCGAAGAAAACAGGGGGCATGGGGAGGGAGAGAAGGGAGGTTCCTCGTCCTTAAGGACCCCTCAGGCTACCAGGAGAGAGAGAGAGAGAGAGAGAGAGACACGCAGACCGAAGGGGAGCAAAAGGGGAGTGAGACCACAGCTCAGAGGAGCAGCCGGCTGAGGCTCAGGCGCAGGGAAGGAAGTGTGGGCCAGTGCCGGGCCTGGGAACCAGCCGAGCAGGAAGGGGGGGTGGAGAGGGGAAGGGAGGTGCGGCGTGGAGCTGAGCACAGGCGGAGGCCGGACGGTGGGGAGTCTTTCGTGTCATGCACATGCATTTCCACTTTCTACATAAGCCATGTGATGCCCTACACACGGAACTCTTCTTTAAAGCTCTGTGTACAGTTCTAAAAAGTTTAGGTTAAGGTTTGTCTCCTAGTCTCAACAGTTTGTCCTGTTCCATCGCTTTCCAGTTCCTTTGTTTGGAAATCGGGGTTGGGAATAAAAATACTGGAAAACGGTGAAACCCGGTGACTCACAGAGCGATGGCCGCACGGCAGGCAGAACTGGGTCACTTCACAATGAAAGCCAGCCGCCTCCTACTCACAGTGACGAGCAGATCCGTTCCCACCCCGGAGAGGATGGGCCTCTGAGGAAGTGGGTCCATCCTGGTCCCATGGCTGTGCCATGGAGCGCTGGCCTCTCGTGTGAGAAGCTGGCATGGACACCCGCCGAGGGTGGACTTCTGTCCCGGGCCTGGACGTCCACGTGCGAGGAGGGGATTTCCCCTGGGCCCTCCTCCCCGTCTGCTCCTCGGCCTCCTTCCTGTCCCAGGCCAGCGGCAGCGGGTTTTGCTGGGGGAGGCCCGCCGCCAGCACTGCCTGTGTCCACCCCTGGGACGGATTCCAGGTGTTCTCTTGCTCAAGCAGGATTGAAACGGCAGGTCTGCTTCTAGATGTGAGTTCCCGATCGATCGTTCTCTGGAAAGTGGGAAATGCCGCTCAGAGAGCTGTCTGTAGGTTAATGCGGCCGGAGCACAAGAGCGCGGTCCCGGGGAGCACCCCTTTCCGGGACTGACGGCCGTGCGGACGGCACCTGGGGCTCCCACAGACCCGCCCCCTTCCGAGCGGGGCTGGGTGGCATTTCACTTTTACATGTGGTTTTCCTGAGCACTTAGAGTTATCACTTTCTGCAAAGAGCCTCTGGATTCCTTTACTTTTTCAATTCCTTTACTCAACCATTTGTGTAAGTGCCGTAAGAAACCATATGTTTAGCTTCCCAGAGGCAACAAAACGCGGTGGGTTAGCCCTGGTCCGGGGGCCCAGCCAGTTGGAGCATCGTACACTGAAAGGTCGCGGGTTCAATTCCTGGTCAGGGCACGAGCCTAGATTTTGAGTTCCTTCCCCAGTCAGGGCATGTATGGGAGGCAGCTGATCTCTCTCTCTCTCTCTCTCTCTCTCTCTCTCTTTTATTTATTTTTATTAAATTATTATCTGTGTACATATTTTAACATTGCCCCCGCTCTCCCCTCCCCTCCCCTCCCCTCCCCTCCCTCCCTCCCCTCCCTCCCCTCCCCTCCCCTCCCCTCCCCTCCCCTCCCTCCCCTCCCCTCTCCTCTCCTCTCTGTAAAATCAGTAAAAACATACCCTCAGGTGAAGATTAGAACACAAAGTGAACAGGGTGCTTTAGAAATGTAACTGGATGTGACAATTATTGCTTAACAAATACTATCTTAATTTTAGATTTGTGTGACTTTTATGCTTAAGAATTATGCATCTCATCTTGTTCAGAATCATAAAAACAGTTGGCTCTTCAACTTAGTATTGTTTCTCTTGTGTTTATATCTTTAATATCTATTAATGGAAATATAATCAAATGAAATCCTAAGAAATAAAGTTACTTAATTGGAAAACAAAAACAAAAAGAGGTAAGGCATTATATTTTTACCTGAAGACATACTGATGCCCTGTTCCTCAGTGGTTAGAGCATCAGCCTTTGGACCAAAGGGCCTCAGGTTTGATTCCTAGTCAACGGCATGTACCTTGGTTGCAGGCTCCATCCCTGGCCCCCAGGTTGGGGTGCATGTGGGAGGCAACCAATCAAGGTGTCTCTCTCACATTGGTGTTTCTCTCTCTCTCTCTCCCTCCACTCTCAAAAAATCAATGGAAAAAATATCCTCTGGCCAAAACTGGTTTGGCTCAGTGGATAAAGCGTCGGCCTGCAGACTGAAAGATCCGAGGTTCGATTCTGGTCAAGGGCATGTACCTTGGTTGCCGTCACAATCCCCAGTAGTGGGTGTGCAGGAGGCAGCTGATCGATGACTCTCTCTCATCAATGTTTCTAACTCTCTATCTCTCTCCCTTCCTCTCTGTACAAAATCAATAAAATATATTTTAAAAAAAAAAAAAAAAAAAAAAAAAAAAAGACATAGTGGTAATAATCCCATGTCTACCAGCTCATAAAGTTACTGTTGCTTTTTTTCTGAAATAAATTTAGAAAATATATGTTTCCTACTCATTAGTATTATCACACATAGATAGAAATCATATATGATTCAATCTTATGGGTGTTCACATTTCTCCCTGCATTTGCTATTTCAGCGTCACCGAACCCGGAAGTCGTCAGGATCCATTCCCTCCCAGACATAGTGACGAGGGTGGAGGAGTACTATCGGAAAGGCTACGTCGTCGGGGCGATCCACCCCGTCCTGCAGCCGGTGCGCCAGCGGAGGCACCTGCCCGCCAGCCACCTGTACCGGGTGGTGCTGTGGCGCCTGAAGCTCAGGTGAGCTGCTGCCCACGGAGGCGGGCGCACTGCTAACGGGCCGTTTTCTTTGGCAAAAAGAACAGAAAGTCTGAGCAGCCCGATGGAAATGAGGATCAGCATGGGGCTTGGGTTTCAGGCACGTTTCCAGTGGTTAGCCGGGTGGGGGAAGGAAGCTTACGTTTCCTCCCTACAAGGCCTCCCTGGGTCGGGAGCCTGCAGACTAACAGGTCCCAGGTGAGGAAGCCCAGACGAAGGGAAGGGAAGCCGCCTGGAGACGCATGGGGGAGCTCACAGGGTAGCGCGGCTCCAATCCTCCAGGGCTGAGAGCACGCCTGGACCGGGTCTGCTCCCTCGGAGCATTTTTAACTGCCCGGGTTGTTCTATTACAGGGGCACAGACACCGTCTCTGCCTGCTGAAACCGTTCTTCCCAAGGCCTACATGCCACGTTCTTACAAACAGGATAGAGTCTTATTGTTTATATATATATAAATACCAGAGGCCCGGTGCACAAATTCGTGCATGGCTGGGGTCCCTAGTCCTGGCTGGTGACTGCTGCCCATTGGGGCCATCTAAACCCAGTCCCAATCAGGGCTGGCTGCCTGCCTGTGGGAAGGGATCGCAGAAGGTTAGCCAGCTGCAGGAGGTTGGCTGTGGGAGTGCACTGGCCACCAGGGGGCAGCTCCTGCATTGAGTGTCTGCCCCTTGGAAGTCAGTGTGCGTCATACCGACTGGTCAACTGGTTGTTCGGTTGCTTACGCTTTTATATATATATAGATTGATTTCAGAAAGGAAGGGAAGGGGAGAGAGAGAAAACATCAATGATGAGCGAATCATTGATCAGCTGCCTCCTACGCGCCCCACACTGGGGATTGAGCTCACGACCCAGGCATGTGCCCTGACCAGGAATTCTGGTTCATAGGTCAACACTCCACCACTGAGCCACACCAGCTGGGCTTGTCAGCTTTTTTGTAAAAAAAAAAAAAAGAAAGCTAGGTAAAAGCCATTTATTTTAGTTTCATTTCTAACTTTTTGAAATAGTTACTTTTCCAAACAATACTGCAACCATTTTTTGCCAGACTAGCTTGTAAGTTTGAGAGTTTTCAAAGACTGTTGCTCCTTCCGGTGCTGAGAATAACCAGACCCATTTTCTTTGGTTCCCATTTCATTTTTTTAAGCCGCTCTTCAACTATGTCAAACCCATCTCCAAATCAAGGTAACACCTGTGTTTTCTCTTTCTAGTAACAGACTCATAACCAACCACCTTTACTCTGAAAGGGCTAAGCAGAGAAGGAAAAAATGAAATAAGAGGGGAAACAGGAAAGTTGAAGAAAGTGAACATTTTAAAAATGTTCTAGGTTTGCTTTTAAGGGACATGTCCTCCCTGAGTTAACTGCCCACTGACCCGTGTGCGAGGGGGGGCATGCAGGCGGCAGCCTCGTTGGCATTCCCAGATAAACATGCCACCTGTCACACAGTAGGAGCACATTTCCTACTTACAAACCTTACTAACCATGCATACAGTATTTTTTCTCGTTAGCATTGCTTAAAATAGACTCAGTAGTGCCCTGACAAGGCCAGGACTAAGGAAAGAGTAAAACTCAGAGAAGAAGAAAAAAAAAACATGGGACAATATTGATCTGCATTTGAATAAGGTTTTCACTTGGGCTTTTGTATATGAGATATACCAGTCACCCAAAATCACTTCTCAGAACGTTTGTTAAAACAACAGACATGAAATTTTTCTGCTACATTAAATTGGACATTACTGTAACAGAGATTTCAATTAAGGAAATTTAAATGAATCAAGTGACTGTGTTTTTGGAAGTTAATAGAGATTTACATTGAAATTTGAATAAGTGAAAGCGACAGTGTTTTTCTGGTATTTTTGCCCAAGAAGATAACCGTTAGGCTTGAAATGACAAAACAAAGAAATGATTGCTTTGACCTTACTTGTTGCTCACATCTTGTCATGTGAGCAAATCAACTTAAACTAAGCAATCAGCTGCCAGCGTCCGACCCTGAACCTTTCTCTGTTGCAGCCCGAAGCTCTCTGCAGTGACCAGCGGACAGAGACGCCCCCGGCTGGTGATTGAGGAATGTCCTCTGACGTACGAGACGCAAGCAAACGACGTAGCAAAAGAACTGATAGAAAAGGTACTAAATGTACACATTGTCTTCGTGGGATATTGAGAAATCCTTGGTATTTCTTCTCCATCAATTTCCTTTCTTGTTTGAAAAAGAACAGGGAAGCCCTAACCGGTTTGGCTCAGTGGACGGAGCGTCGGCCTGCGGACTCAAGGATCCCAGGTTCGATTCCGGTCAAGGGCATGTACCTTGGTTGTGGGCACATCCCCAGTAAGGGGTGTGCAGGAGGCAGCTGATCGATGTTTCTAACTCTGTCCCTCTCTCTTCCTCTCTGTAAAAAATCAATAAAATATATATTTTTTACAAGAACAGGGAAATAATAGGTGACTTATTCTACCAGAATTTAAAATATATTGAAGTTGCCAAATTGTGCAGAGTAAAAAAACATATTACACTTTTTCATGTATAAAAACAGACATAGAGGCCAATGAAACAGAATGGAAATGTCAGGAATAAACTTATACACACAGAAGTTCCATTACAAACCTGAAGAAATAAAAGGGGAAGCAACCATGACTTAGAGCCACGGGAACGTGGGCAACTGTTCTGTAGGCAACACATGCCACAGGTTTCCAGTGAGACAAAGGGGTCATTGTTAAGTAAAAAATATGAAGGGAAATGAAAGAGTAGGCATAGTCAATTATAAATAGATTGAGGACTTTGAGTTTTGTCTATAGATGTAGTAAATACTAGGAAAACTAAGCTTAGAACTAAAGAATTCAGACAAACTCTGCAACAAGTGTCCTCTAGGAACCTGGTTTCAGAATCGATATGCAGGGAATAAGATGCATCCGAGCGATGTCCAGTCTTGAATAGACACACAGGATCCATCAACAGTGGCTACAAAAGGAGATAAGTCACAAAGGCAATTGGCCAAAGGGTCAGCTTGACAGATTTTTTTTAAATATATTTTATTGATATTTTACAGAGAGGAAGGGAGAGGGAGAGAGAGAAACATCAATGAGAGAGAAACATCGATCAGCTGCCTCCTGCACACCCCCCACTGGGGATGTGCCCAAAACCATGGTACATGCCCTTGACCAGAATGGAACCTGGGATCCTTCAGCCCGCAGGCTGATGCTCTATCCATGGAGCCAAACTGGTTAGGGCCTAACCAGTCATGTTTAATGTGAATGTAAAAGCTGAGAAGAACCGCCACTTTAGGATTCACCGAGGAGTTACGTGGAGAGTATGAACTCCAGTGTAGGGTGAGCTTTAAGAAAAATCCATAGATTGCACCTGGCATTGGGACAACTTAGCACGGTGTTCGTGAATATTAGTTTGGTAATAAAAATTATAAATCCTGTTTTATTTTGTGACTCAATAATTTCCTCTGTAGGAATCTATTCCAAGAGATTCATGGGGAAGGGGAAAAGTCATTTCCATACAAAAGTACGTTAACAAACAGCGAATAAGAGGCCAAATTCCCAATAACCGGCAAGCTGAGAAGGAGGCAGTGGCCCATCAATGCAATGGAATAGTTATGGTTACTGAGCGTGGAAACTATATTCACCGTCAGTCTATACCAGTGGTCGGCAAACTGCAGCTCCGTTGACAAATGAGTTTGCTGACCGCTGACCTAGACTCTCGATTCCAATAATTTACATGCTGCTGTTGTTCCTTGTGTTTAAGCCCCTATACAGTATAACCTACTTGAAACTTAAAAATGAAACACTATGTAGGTTGATTAAAATCAAGGAAAAAACTTACAAGTATCCTAAACTGATGGGGTTTTACTCAAGTTTTCTTTTGTGTTGCATTGGCATACTTGGAAGATTTTAGCTTTTATTTAAATGAATAGAAACTAAGACATTTCCTTTCAAGGAAGAAATGGTGAGACTCACTCACGTTCCCATGGCTGTTCCCGCTGAGGGTGACGGCGTGCACGGCCAGCTGTGGCCTGACCACAGCCCGTCACCGCCCGCTGACGTCCCTTCTGTGCAAGGTCATCGGCGTCAGTAAGGCTCTCCAGAGCGGGCTGGAGACTGGGCTTTTACAAACAATGTGCACTTACTGTGTACTGCTACCATTCTGGGAGCTTCTTTTTTCTGGGGACAAATCTACTCCAGAACGTTTCTTTCGAAAACAAAAATGTGACGGCTAATTTAGTCTTAATGGATCACCGTCAGAGCTCTTGTTTTTGCCTCTGACTTCCTGGAGACGGTTCAAGACCCGCTTACACAGGAAAGCACTGTTATTCCAGACATCAGGGGCGGGTTGTTCCAGAAGGAGAGGCGCTCCAGGAAGCACGCCTGGGACACGGAGCGCCGCCCGTGTGCGCACAGGAGCCAGGGGTGGACGCCAGGCGTGTGAATAGTTGGTTGTTGAACAGCTAGGTTTTAAGGCATTTGAACATTATATCAATGTCTGCTCCGTTTTTAAAGGTAGGTTCACAAGTGTTTTTGCCCAGGATTTTTAAATATATTTTATTGATTTTGTACAGAGAGGAAGGAGAGAGTTAGAGAGTTAGAAACATCGATGAGAGTCATCGATCAGCTGCCTCTTGCACACCCCCTACTGGGGATATGCCCGCAACCAAGGTACATGCCCTTGACCGGAATCGAACCCGGGACCTTTCAGTCCGCAGGCCGACGCTCTATCCACTGAGCCAAACCGGTCCCGGCTTGTCCAGGATTTTTAAATAAAAATAACATTGGAAAATATCAATCTTCCAACTTAAAAAAAAATGGGGGGAAAACAAAAACAATTAACAGAGTCTGTTTGTTACCAGACTTTTCCAGATGAAACTTTCTAATAATAATTAAAAAAAAAAAAAAAGGTTTCTTCGCTTTTTCACCCAAATCGACATGTAAGACTAGGGAAAGCACCGGCAGTGAGTGGCCATTCCCCTGGCACCTGGTGTAGGACAGCCTGGGATTTTATCTAGGCTTCGAGCACTGTTACCCGCCGGTGCTAACGTGCAGGACTAAGTCAGTGGTGTTGTGTCCTCATCGTCCTTTGTCCGAGCTCGCACACCCGCACATCCTGCTCCGCCGTCTTCTCTTCGGCGGAGCAACAGGACAGGCACCCCCTCTAGTGGGCACTGCCCTCTGGGCTCGCCCCCTCCTTCCTGCCATTTTGTTTCTCACTCTAGACGCTCAGAGTTGCAACCTTCATCATGACATCATGACTTCTCCTTCCCCTCCCAGGTAACATGTAAAACCATTCATGCAGCCCTAGCTGGTTTGGCTCATGGACTGAGTGTCGGCCTGCAGACTGAAGGGTCCCCAGTTGGATTCCAGTCAAAGGCGCATGCCCACAAGCCTCAGTAGGGGGCATGCAGGAGGCAGCCAATCAGTGATTCCCTCTCATCATTGATGTTTCTGTCTCTCTCTCCCTCTCCCTTCCTCTCTGAAATCAATAAATCCTATCCAATAAAAGGCAATATGCAAATTAACCGTCACTCCATCACAAACACGGCAGTGCCCACAGCCACAAGATGGCGACGCCCAGTCCTTTCAGCCCCACCAGAGTTCCCCAGGCCCTGAGGGGTGGCTGCTGAGAGCGGCCATTCTTTCCCCGACAGAGGAAGCTAATCGTGATATTGGCCCAGGCAGGCGGCCGTGGCATCAGGGTACAAGCAGACGGGGCGTGCGTGTGGGGTCTATGCATTATGTCCACACATCGGTCAAGGATCTGCCTGTTAGCATTCTTCTTTACCCACATCAAACAACGAACTGTCAAATGTTATTTTTTAACGACTGCATACCTTTTTGCTTTTTAGTTAATGTCTTTTGTATTCATTCAGATGTGTTTGGTAATGTTATTTTCGAGGATTTCTTGGAATGGCTTTTCATTTTGCCTCAACTAGAGAGCCCATTGGTTAAAAGGTCTGCAGAAATCATGCTATAGAATTCCTAGTTCTTCCCAAATAGTAACCTTTTAAAGAAAAACAGGACTCCTGCTTTCGTTCTTTCTAACTTGTCTGAACTGTTTGAGGAAGTCACAGTAATAGTGTCACAGGTTGCTGGTCACCAGCAGATTCCTTGTTCTAGTGCAGTGGTCGGCAAACTCATTAGTCAACAGCACAACGATTGACATTTCTCTTGAGAGCCAAATGTTTTAAAATTTTCTTCTAACGCCACTTCTTCAAAATAGACTCACCCAGGCCGCGGTATTTTGTGGAAGAGCCACAGTCAAGGGGCCAAAGAGCCACATGTGGCTTTCGCGCCGCAGTTTGCCGACCACGGTTCTAATGGATTTCCTCAACGCACCTAAAGGCTAATTGGCAATCAGTGGACATGAAATTCCTGTGTTGTTCCACCGTCTCTTTTGAAACCTCAGGTCAATGAAGCTTCCAAGCGAGGAAGGAGGTTTGTGGGGCTCCTCGCCCAGCACTCTGCGCCCCTCTGCAACGGGACGGCCCTCCACGGAGACGGGGAGCCCGCCCTGCCCGGGCGCCACTCCCCCGCGGAGAACGGGCGACGCTGGAGCGAAGGCCCCCTCGGCGGGCAGCCCTGGGAGAGCGGGGCGGAGGCGGAAGCCCACCCGGACGGCGGGCCATGCCAGCGGGAGCCCCCCGGCAGCCCCGGGGCCACCGCCCCAGCTACAGGAGAAGGTAACAGGCACAATGAGGAGGAACAGCCGCTGTGCGGTTAAACCTGGCAGAGTACGTGGTTGGTTTCTGTTGGTTTCTGTTGTTCTGTATCACCCACCTAAGGTTATTTTTTCCATTGATTTTGTTTTGTATTTATTTTTTTATTTTTTCAAATATATTTTATTGATTATTTACAGAGAGGAAGATAGAGGGACAGGGAGTTAGAAACATCGATGAGAGAGAAACATCGATCAGCCGCCTCTTGCACACCCCCTACTGGGGATGTGCCTGCAACCAAGCCAACATGCCCTTGACCGGAATGGAACCTGGGACCCTTCAGTCTGCAGGCTGACGCTCTATCCACTGAGCCAAACTGGTTTTGGCTGATTTTGTTTTTGAGAGAGAGAGAGGGAGGGAGAGAGAGAGAGAGAAACACTGATGTGAGAGAGACACCTCGATTAATTGCCTCTCACATGTGCCCCACCCAGGACCAGAGATCGAACTCACAACCCTGCAGTGCGAGGGCCAGTACTCCAACCACTGAGCCATACTGCCCTGTACTACAAAGTATATGTGTGTGTTTTTAATATATTTCACTGATTTTTTACAAGAGGAAGGGAAAGAGATAGTTAGAAACATAGATGAGAGAGAAACATCAACCAGCTGCCTCCTGCACACCCCCTACTGGGGATGTGCCCACAACCCAGGTACACACCCTTGACTGGAATCGAACCCGGGACCTTGAGTCCACAGGCCGACGCCTACCCACTGAGCCAAACGGGTTAGGGCTCAAAGTACTTTTTTTAGGCAAAGTAAGTTTCTAAAGTTATGGGGACTAGATAAACGAGTATAAACTCGTCTTATTCTTTTAAATTATTACAGTCAGAAGTAAAGTAGGACAATTTTCCAACAGCCATCTCTGGGTGGTCTGACAGCCACCCGCATAGGACACTTTGTGTTCAAAACTGCTTTCTAGATAGTCCCTCGCCAGCTCCCTGTGAAGCGAGCTGTGCCTGTGAGTGGAGAGAGTGATTCTCTAAGGAGGCTGCTCCGGCTGGTGTGTGTCCCTGCGAGAATGTCCGTTCAGGCCTCTCCCGTTGCGTGGACGGTGTTCGCCCTTGAAGTTCATTCCCTCCTTTGATCACCTTATAGAATATGAAAATGGCCTGACATGGTGAAACAATTACTGTAACAGCAGTGCCCGCATCCTAAAATATCTTTAAACGGTCCTTTTATTGCTCTCAGGCAACTGGCAAGTCTTTTGGAGGAACTGAGCGTAATTTACTCATGTGCTTGGACTGTTTGGCATTTTCTGAGACCTTGCCAGGCATGTTTTAAAAAGCACTAATAGAGCCCTGGCCAGTGTGGCTCCGCAGATAGAGCGACAGCCTGCAGACCAAAGGGTCCCGGGTTCGATTCCGATCAAGGACATGTACCTTGGTTGCAGGCTCCGACCTGGCTCGGGGCCCTGGTCTGTGTGTGCAGAAGACAACCAATCGATGTGTTTCTCTCTTGTCGATCTTTCTGTCTTTCCCTCTCTCTTCCACTCTCTCTAAAAGATCAATGAAAAAACATTAACCAAAAATAAATAAATGAATAAAAAGAAAAGGCACTAGGAAAGAAAATCAAAGACTGTGTATAACCTTAGAGTTAGGATATGCAGTGGTTGGCAAACTGCGGCTCGTGAGCTGCGGTTTACCGCTCTGTTGACTAATGAGTTTGCCGACCACTGTCTTAGAGAATCTGGTGAAATTCATGAGACTCAACCCAGAAAAATGCACACAACACACATGCCCAAGTACTTGTGTCTCTACCGCCAGTGGTTTAGACTTTCTAAAACACAATCACGGATGGGGGTCCGTCAGCCCCCCAAATTAAGAATTTGCCAACTTACAGTAAAGAATAAGACATGACCCAGCAATTCCATGTCTAGGTATGTGTTCTAGGGCGGCTCTCACACGGGTCCAAGGCGACATGGGTAATCATTGTAGTAACAAAAGTTTGGAAGCAGTGTACATGTCCATCAGTAGAGAACAGTAGACTGGAATACTATGTAAACTAAATGACTAAGATCTGTAAAGTATTAACTATATTTCAAAAGCATAATATTGAGCAAGAAAATCAATTTAAAGATTGCCATATATAGCATGATGCCATTTTTAGAAGTTTTTTTTTTCATATCATCTGTAGGTATATAAAACTATATTAAACGAATAAAAGCTTGCATACGAGAGATAAACACCAAGTTCATTATAGTAGCTATTTCTGGAGAATAGGATAAGAGAAGATTACATAGTATATGTAATCTCAACTATATCTGTTTCTCAACGCCTTAAAAAAAAAGTCTGAAGCAAACACGGCTTCACTTGAAACATGGTTAAGATTTGAAAAAAGTGAGTGATAGCTAATTTTGTTATTCTCAGTGCTTGTTCTGTGCTTAAAATAGCTCATGATTAATTAAAGAAGAAAAAAACCAACTTAAGAATCTTTTCAGTGAAATTATAGCTCTTCCTTCTGTCTTCCTTCCGAATGCCTTTCCTCAGATAACAAGTTGTATATCGTGTTCAACGTGTTTGATGACGATGCCCCCGGCTGGGCCTACCAGGAGGGCGCCCTGTCCATGAAAGTCGCGAGGAAAGGGCCCGTCATCAGCACGCTCGATGCCGATTGGCTGGAGCTAACGGCGTTCTATTATAAGCAAGGCTTGTCTCTGATCGACTCCTTTGTGTGCTGGGAGACACCGAAAGGTAAGTTCTCAGTGATGACACGTCCGTATCTTTAAAAGTTGTCCTGACGTAAGAGTGGGTGGAAATGTGTTTGCCTCTTGAATTCTGTGGCCGGAAGGACAGATGCTGTTCCTGAGGAAATAGATCCCAGCCCTCACTCCGCTCTGTAGCTTCCAGGTAACAGCTTACCCAGCCTGGTGGTAGAATTTAACGTGATGTTTGCTGTTGGGTTGTAACTGTCAGGACTAGACAGGCCCGTGTGTGATGGACGAGTAGGACTTTCCAAATGCAATGTACTCCAACAACCCAGTCGGGGCTTAATATGGCATTTGAGGACACTATCCAAATGATGACACTGCCTACCTGATTCTTTCTATACTTTGTCTTGAAAAGTAACTTTTGCTTCAGAAAATGATATTGATCTTAGGTTCATTTCTGCCTTCCCCCATCTTTCATCTGTGTCCAGCCTTCCTCTTTTAGTTATAAAGGAATCTGTAATCATCCATCTACATCACAAAAACAACAAAGAAACAAACAAAACTCCAAAAATGACCTTGTAGGGAAAGTGTTTTAAAAAGAGATTAGAGCTAAAAGAAAAGAAAAATAGATATGAAGGAAGCTGGAAACATGGAAGGATAGAAGCCATGAAAACCAGAACAGGGCCTGACCCCGGTGGTTCAGTGGTTGAGTGTCGACCCTGCACCAGGAGGTCACGGTTCAATTCCTGGTCAAGGCACATGCCCGGGTAGTGATCCCCAGCAGGGGGGTGTGCAGGAGGCAGCGATCAATGTTGATGTTTCTCTCTCATCAATGTTTCTCTCTCTCTCTCCCTCTTCCTTCCTCTCTCTCTAAAATCAATAAAAACATTTTTTTAAATGAAAAACAGAATAATTGGGGACCCTAACTCAATGAGGTTAGAGAAAAGAATGAAGAAGTAAATGAGATCTCCATATACCTTATTATCATTAAATCCGTGTAGTGACAACGTCACTAATACAACTAAAGATTTTGGATGAATATTTTGAATTAGCAAGAGTTGTATGTGCCAGTGGAGCCTTCTAACCAGCAACCAAGATGAAGGCCGAGCCCACGGCAGCACCGGAAATGTGGCCGCTGGCAGAGCGCTGGGCACAGCAGCTGCTCAAGGAAGAGGTTCTGGAATTTTTTGATTCTTGGAAACTTCTTCCAAGCGGATCCAATAGGAAGAGCTTGGGCTCTCAGATCAGACAGGCCAGGTGTAAATCCCATCTTCTCTCCTCGTTAGCTGAGCGATGCTCACTCCTCATAAGCTGTGAGTTCTGGAGAAGTTTGTTGAGCTCAGGAGCCCCGTTTCCTCAAAGGGGGATAAACATAGTCCTCCTTTAACCCATAGAAACAGACCAGCGGGAAGGCTCCCAGAAGGCAGTGGGGAGGGGGGATGGTCACTATCACTGGGATGAGTTTGCGGGGGACAGATGGTCACTAGAATGGGGGGACAGTCACACGGTAAGACATAAACATGTCCAGTTGCTATATTGCATACCCGAAGCCTCTGTAACCCGTATCAGACTGTATACCGACTGTACTCAGATCAGTTCATTCGCTGTGAGAATCCCATAGGCTACAGCATGTGCCCAGAGGAACACACCCCCCCTCACACACACACACACACACACACAGCGTCCGCCTGCCCTCAGAGTTCAGGTCTGAGGCTCATTTTCTTCCCGGCACTGGTTCTGTGCAGACACAGTGCTCTTGGCGTGGACCTCCTGTTTGGGGGGCGGTCATGCTTCATATTTCTCTCCCACCCTCCCTCCCCCTCCCTCTACCTTCTTCCCTCCAAAGAGTCTGAGTTGGAGCCATTTCAGATTGTGGGTTGCTGCAGGCAAAACGAAAAAGACTCCTTTCACTCCTCTCCAGGCCTTGCCCATGAAATAAAATTAGCCACAGCAGTTGCCAGCTCAGCTCGAGGCTGGGAGGGCTTTTGTTCTGAGAGCTCCGGGCTATTTAGAGATCCTGGATCCTGGGGGTGGGGTGGGGAGGGGGTGGGAAGGGGGGGACTCTCCTTGGCAGCTGGATGTCTCAGAACATTTTTTTCCACCACAGCCCCCCCCCCGCCCAGCCCCTGGGTGTGTCAGCCTGGCTGGGAGCAGCAGGGGGTGGTGACCCAGGGCCAGGGCCTGTGTGGCTCTGGAGGAGGGAGCAGGGCTGGCTGGTGGCTTTGTTGGGGGGATAGGGAAGCCCTAGGACAGGCCACTTTTCCTCCGTCCCCTCCTCCCTCTCCCAGGACACTGCCAGGAGTCAGCCCGCCACCGGAAGGAGGTCCTCAGCCGGCCCCGCACACTCCCGTGGGCGCCCGGGGGTGACACCCCGACTGACCCAGGAGTGCCAGCCCCTGCGCCAGCACAGACGCTCGGTCCTCGGGAGCAGTGGGCGGCAAACTGCGGCTCTGCTGACTAATGAGTGTGCCGACCTCTGGGATAGGGGCTTAATCACAAGGAACAACAGCAGCCTGAAATTGTTAGAATCGAGAGTCTCGGTCAGTGGTCGGCAAACTCATTAGTCAGCAGAGCCCAGTTTGCCGACCACTGCTCTGAGCATAGCGGCTCCGCAGGCAGCCTCTGTGGGATGAGACGGCAGCTTTGGCAGCTTTGCCCGCTGCTCAGACACACACATGCACACGCACTCACACATACTCATACACATTCACAAACTCACATTCACACACCCATACACATTCACACACACTCATGCTCACTCACACAGTCACACACACACACACTCACTCTCACACACTCACACATTCACCCACACACACACACAAACACTCACACACCCATACACATTCACACACACTCATGCTCACTCACATAGTCACACACTCTCTCACACACTCACACATTCACACACTCACATTCACACACACACTCACACATTCACACACTCACATTCACACACACACTCACACATACTCACACACATTCACACACACACACGCTCATGCTCACTCACACACACAGTCACACACAGTCACACACACTCACACTCACTTCACCAGGCCATGGCCTCAGAGCACAGCCTGCTCCCGGCGGAAGCCCCGCCCGCACGGCACCATGTCACCGCCCGTCGGTGGATCGTTGGCCTCGTGGTAGCAGTGCCATCATCGCCTGTGGACATGCTCGAGTGGAACGGGGGGATGTGTCAGGACGAGGAGGGGGGTAAAGACCTGCCACGTGCACTTACTCACGTCACATGTATGTGTGTGCCGGCCCCGCACTTACTTTCCTAACGGGGCGAGTGCGGCGATGCGGCCGCAGGGGTGGGGTGAGCGTGACGGCAGCGCGGCTGAGGCTGCAGGAGTCTGTGCCCACCGCGGACACGGAGGGGGGCCGGGGGCCCGACGTGGACGGCTGGGGGGAGAGGAGCCGGGAGGCCCGTGGAGGAGAGAAGGGCGCCCACGGGTGGGAGAGGAGCACGGCCCCTCCACGCAGTCTCACCACAGCCAATGCCCGAGGGCGGACGGCGCCCTCCTGTGTGCCCGCCTGTTCTCAGCGGTTCCCACTCACTAGCTCGGGTCACTCCCACGGCGGCCCTGAGCTAGGTCTGCTTGCTCCCCTTTACCGGTGAGGAAACTGAGGCTCAGTGCTACACGGGTGCCCCTCACACGGCTGGAAGGGGGCACCAGAGTGGAGCGGATGCTCTTAGGCAGTTTGCCATCCGGTCGGGACTTTTATTCCAATTATTCCTTAGCCAGGTGAAGGGGGGTCTGGCCTGAAAGGGCCTCTCTGGCCTCGTCCTGCGAAGTGGGTCACAGAGGGGGGCGGGAGGGGGCAGCCGCTGCCATGACCAGGGAGCTGGCGGTGGGGGAGGGCAGAGACCGGCTGGCATTCCCTCTGGAGACAGAGCTTCTGAGGAAACACATCTCCCGTCCAGGCCCCCTCCCTCAGTTAATGCCGATGGTGCCACGTGGGCCCTTTGGAGACTGACGTGGCACCTTCCCGTCCAGCTGGAGGTCACACTGACCTCCAACCGGAGTGAACTTGGCAGATCACCTGTCCAGACACGTAACTTCCCTGGGCACCCTTCAAGCGTGTGCTCTCCAGCCAGGGCCTGGGGGTGTGGCCTGTGCCAGGGCCCAGGGGGTGTGGCCTGTGCCAGGGCCGGGGTGTGTGGCCTGTGCCAGGGCCCAGGGGGTGTGGCCTGTGCCAGGACCGGGGGGTGTGGCCTGTGCCAGGGCCGGGGGGTGTGGCCTGTGCCAGGGCCCAGGGGGTGTGGCCTGTGCCAGGGCCCAGGGGGTGTGGCCTGTGCCAGGGCCCTGGGGGGTGTGGCCTGTGCCAGTGCCCAGGGGGTGTGGCCTGTGCCAGGGCCCAGGGGGTGTGGCCTGTGCCAGGACCGGGGGGTGTGGCCTGTGCCAGGGCCCAGGGGGTGTGGCCTGTGCCAGGGACCAGGGGGTGTGGCCTGTGCCAGTGCCCAGGGGGTGTGGCCTGTGCCAGGGCCCAGGGGGTGTGGCCTGTGCCAGGGCCGGGGGGTGTGGCCTGTGCCAGGGCCTCTGGGGAGTGTGGCCTGTGCCAGGGCCCGGGGGGGGTGGCCTGTGCCAGGGCCGGGGGGTGTGGCCTGTGCCAGGGCCGGGGAGTGTGGCCTGTGCCAGGGACCAGGGGGTGTGGCCTGTGCCAGGGCCGGGGAGTGTGGCCTGTGCCAGGGCCGGGGAGTGTGGCCTGTGCCAGGGCCCAGGGGGTGTGGCCTGTGCCAGGGCCCAGGGGGTGTGGCCTGTGCCAGGGCCCAGGGGGTGTGGCCTGTGCCAGGGCCCAGGGGGTGTGGCCTGTGCCAGGGCCGGGGGGTGTGGCCTGTGCCAGGGCCGGGGGGTGTGGCCTGTGCCAGGGCCCAGGGGGTGTGGCCTGTGCCAGGGCCCGGGGGGGGGCGGGGGGGGGCCCTGTGCCAGGCGCACAGAGCTCACAGACGAACCTCTCCGAGGGTGACGCTCACTCAGGAGGGCAGAGGGCCCGTTTCCTTACATCACGGGGACGCACTGGAGAGGGCGCCAGGTTTGCACGCACCAGAGCTGCGCCTGCAGACCATCCTTCATCGATACACTTCCCTTTCCCGCGGGGGCATTGGCTTTTAAAAGGTTTTCTGTGGGTTTTTGAGAAGTGGTGGGTCGGTGCTGGGTACCTTTTCCACCTTAGGCCCCAGAGGAAAGGGGAATGTGGAGGGCACACGGCCCAAACGGGGACAGCTGCTCGGCGGAGGCACACCTGTTCGCCATCCCCTCTCTCCAACTGCACATCCTGGGGGCCCTGGCATCAGAACAGGAAAGCAGAGGCAGAGCCACAAAAACCCACGGCCCTCACGTCACAGAGTCCCCAAGGAGACCGGTTACCATAACTACAGTTATCGAAGTATATCATTGTTTTTAAAATTCACAAGCCCATTCTAACTAAAGGACTTAGGACATAGCCATTTTTTATGGTGGTTAGCGATGCCCTGAACTTACAATCAGAAAGAGACTTAGCCGGTTTGGCTCAGTGGATAGAGCGTTGGCCTGGGGACTGAACAGTCCCAGGTTCGATTCTGGTCAAGGGCACATGCCTGGGTTGTGGGATCCATCTCCAGTAGGGGGTGTGCAAGAGGCAGCCAATCAGGGATTCTCTCTCATCATTGATGTTTCTAGCTCTCTTTCCTCCCTTCCTCTCTGAAATCAATTAAAATATATATATATATATATATATATATATATATATATTTATTTATTTATTATTTATTTATTTATTTTTTATTTTTTTTAAGAAAGAAAGAGACTTGATTCTTCTGGTCTCTTTGGTGTGACAATGGTCAGGTACATTTAAAAGGAAATAGGGTGTCTGCTGTCCTCAGAAAATCATTTCCAACGAGTACATTACTCTGTCCTGGACGCCACTGAGAACAGCATAAACGCTACGTAATGGTCTGTCTGTCTGTCTTAACTGTCGGTGATGATGACAGCACAATGATTTCCGCTTGAGGTGGATAAGCCTGTCCATAAACACTAAGACCACAAATTCCATGGAAAGCACCCTGGCCGAGCTCGTATTTAAGCTTAGCAGAGCCCTGAAATCTTCGCAGGCCCGTGCTCCTGGAACAACCGGCAGCCGGGCCAACATGGATGTGCCATCCGCCCTGTGAAAGCCAGAGTGTTCAACCCACATGTGACCGTGGGAAAACTGGAGACAAAGGAACACCATAACGGCAGCTCAGCGTGGCCAGATGGTCACTGGGAGCCGTTCAAGAGAAGGTCCGAGAGGCCCCCCCCGGAAACTCCCTGCCCGCAGGCGACCTCTCCACAATGCCTTCTGTTCGGGATCTTCCTGTCGCCATTCTTTTCTTTTTAAGCGTCACTGAAGTGAAGCATTGTTCCTCGTTTGTATTTTTGAGGAAATCTTGCCTCATATTCCTGTTCCCCTCCCACCCGTACATGTCAGGGGTTAACAGTGTTGATGCTGTTTCTCTCAGGAGTAGAACTGACGTGCAGACGGCACACAGACCAGAGACCGCCAGGTGGGGTGCCGTGTCTTCCCAGGCGCTCCTTGGGCTCAGGAAACCGCCTCTCCGCGCAGGGTGTCCATCTTGTTTTGGTTATTGCCCTTTTCGTGTTTACAGCTGGGTTTTAACTCGCTGACGTGTAACCCTGTCTTGACCTTGGCAACAAAGATTTAACCTTCAGAGAGGAGGAGGGTGTTGCAAGGGATCTGTTTGTCTTTCTGCTTCCTACGAGGATTTTTTTTTTTTTAAGGGTTGAGACGCTCTTAAGAAACACGTCAGCTCTAACCGGTTTGGCTCGGTGGATAGAGCGTCAGCCTGCGGACTCAAGGGCCCCAGGTTCGATTCTGGTCAAGAGCATGTCCCTCGGTTGCGGGCACATCCCCAGTAGAGTGTGCAGGAGGCAGCTGATCGATGTTTCTCTCTCCTGGATGTTTCTAACTCTCTGTCCCTCTCCCTTCCTCTCTGTAAAAAAAAAAAAATCAATAAAATATATATTTTAAAAACACTTTGTATTTGCAACTCTTCTAACTGCACCCTCCTCCCCGCAGGGGACCACGTGCCGAAAGCGCTGGACGGGTTCTTCGTGTTCGAGGAGGAGGGCTCCGGGCTGCCGGGGGCCGGCCGCGCCGGGAAGGACGCCATTGTGGTGGAGCAGTGGACCGTCATCGAGGTAAAGGGCCGTGGCTGACCGTCCGGCTTTATTTAGTTTTCTATTTTTTAATATATATATTTTATTGATATTTTTTTTTGTTTTTTTTGTTTTTTTACAGAGAGGAAGAGAGAGGCATAGAGAGTTAGAAACATCAATGGGAGAGAATCATCAATCAGCTGCCTCCTGCACGCCCCCTGCTGGGGATGTGCCCGCAACCAAGGTACATGCCCCCGACCGGAATCGAACCTGGGACCTTTCAGTCCGCAGACCAGCGCTCCATCCACTGAGCCAAACCGGTTTCGGCCTATGATTTGTTGACTATATTTTTATCGATCTCAGAGAGGAAGGGAGAGGGAGAAACATCAGTGACGCACACCCCACACTGGGAATCGAGCCCACGCCCTGGGCATGTGCCCTGCCTGGGAATCGAACCGTGACCTCCTGGGTCCTAGGTGGACGCTCCACCTCGAAGCCAGGCCGGCCGGGCCAGCTTTCTGTTACGTTAACGGCTTCACCGTCACGCGGTGAGCCCCTCCCGCTGTCGGTGCAGCCTCCGACGCAGGAGCGAACCGCTCTCCCAGGGGAGCAGTGCTGCGCCCGCGCCCGCCTTGTGATAAGACAGCAAAACCACGACCCGAGCAAGAATGGCAGTGTGGCCCCACAGGCCGGCCTGGACCCAAACAGCGTCCCCTGAGGCTCCACACAATGCCCGCACCTGGTCTGACGGGAACAGATGCCCATGAGAGCTGGCGTTTGTCTCCAGCAACCAACGGGCCACTGTCAAAGCAAAGGTGCCCGAAGGGTGCTCCCCGTCAGCAGCCGAACCTCCATCGCCGCCCTCCGAACCGGAGAGGGACAGGCTGCCACAGGAGGAGAGGCCACCCGAGGGGGACAGGCCGCCGAGGGGGACAGGCCGCCGAGGGGGACAGGCCGCCGAGGGGGACAGGCCGCCGAGGGGACAGGCCGCCGAGGGGACAGGCCACCCGAGGGGACAGGCCGCCGAGGGGACAGGCCGCCGAGGGGGACAGGCCGCCGAGGGGACAGGCCGCCGAGGGGGACAGGCCGCCGAGGGGGACAGGCCGCCGAGGGGGACAGGCCGCCAAGGGGACAGGCTGCCGAGGGGACAGGCCGCCGAGGGGACAGGCCACCCGAGGGGACAGGCCGCCGAGGGGACAGGCCGCCGAGGGGACAGGCCGCCAAGGGGGACAGGCCGCCGAGGGGGACAGGCCACCCGAGGGGACAGGCCGCCGAGGGGACAGGCCGCCGAGGGGGACAGGCCGCCAAGGGGACAGGCCGCCGAGGGGGACAGGCCGCCGAGGGGGACACATTGTGTGCGGCCTCGGCCCTCGGCCCTCGCTGGCAGGCTCTTTCGTGGACGAGCCAGCCTTTCTGGCCTCTCCGAGGGCGGAGACAGAGTCCCTGTTTCCAGGAAGCCAGAAATCACTGTGAGAGGAGGGGCAGGATTGGGGGGCAGAGCTAAAGCGCCCAGTAAAATTCATTCCAGTTTTAAGCTCAAAATAAATGAAAGCCAGTTGCAAGCCCCTCTCACCGTTCACTCCGGCTCATCTCTCCGCTCCGGTCCTGGGCCCAGGCACGTGTTTCTGAGCGCGAGGCCTGCCCGTTACCGGAATGCAAACCACCTGGGAGCTCAGTGCAAACGCAGGTTCCGCCCTGACTGGTTTGGCTCAGTGGCTAGAGCATCGGCCTGCGGACTGAAGGGTCCCAGGTTCGATTCCGGTCAAGGGCACGTACCTTGGTTGCGGGCACATCCCCAGTGGGGGGTGTGCAGGAGGCAGCTGATCGATGTTTCTCTCTCATCGATGTTTCTAACTCTCTATCCTTCTCCCTTCCTCTCTGTAAAAAATCAATAAAATATTTTAAAAGAAAGAAAGAAAGGTGCCCACTCTCACCCCCATTAGTGTTTGAGGCCAGACCAGGCCCCGGGGATGGGCCCAGGAAAGCCCAGGTTCTGGGGAGCAGCCGGAGACCCTGTCAGCCCCCACCCCCACCCCAGTGTCTCCACTGGGCCAGGGTTCGAGGCAGCGGGAAGCCGGCACCAGCGAAAGTGAGCTTGCTGGAGGGGGCGCCCCTCAGAACCCCACGCCCGTGCCTGGCTCTCCGGGTGCTGCCAGCCTGGGCCTGAGCTCTCTCTCCCCCCGCAGGGCTGCGAGATCAAGACGGACTACGCACCCCTGCTGCACACGCTGGCCGAGTTCGGGTGGCTCCTGACCAGCGTGCTGCCCACTCCGATCCTGAGACAGGACAGGTAACGCCGTCTCCTCCCGCACCCCCTTCTCCTCTAAGTCAGAGCTCCGTGGCGCTAACTCTGCTGAAGCAACAACCCTCTGTAATGCCCCAAGGCAGCCCTGGCTTCTCACCTCCTCTCAGGGCCTCGCCAGGTGTGTGCCAGCAGCTCCGCCTCCTCCCCAGGGCTGGCGAGGACAGGCGAGGGCAGGCCGGCCTGGCACCTGACGGGAAGGCCACACTGCCCTTTTCCTGCTCAGGGTGCCGGTGGGTCCTTGCCCAGAGTGAGCGCTGAGTGGATATACGCCTGCAGACAGAGAAGCACAGGCCACACGGTGGGGCCCCTGGGCCTGCCCCTCTGCTCTGCCCGTATAACGCTGCCCTCACCCAGCACCCAGCTGGGGCCAGGCCTGGGGGAGGCGGCGTCCTGCCTCCACCCATGCCGCAGTGGGATGGGCTCGCTCCCCCCTGGGCACGGGCTTGTTCGCTGTTCCCACGGAAACAAGTACCTCCTTAGAAAGTGAGAACCACCTGCCATCCCTTCACCGATACCAACTGGTCCTTTTCTCCTTTTCCTGCTTTTCCCCATCTCCTTTCTGGGAAGGAAGAAAATGAATTGTAGTCTTTTTTTTTTGAGAGAGAGAGAGAGAGAGAGAGAGAGAGAGAGAGAGAGAGAGAGAGAGGGAGAGAGAGAGGGAGGAGGGAGGGAGAGAGAGAGAGAGAGAGAGGGACCTGTTGTGTCTTCTGTGTAAAGCGCTTTCCTGTCCTGGGCTCAGAGGCGTGCCCTCTGCCCTATTTGGCACCTGGGACGTGACTGAGGGCGGCTGGCCTGCGAGGCCAGTGGCTCCCAGCAGGGGCAGCACTGCACCTGGGCTGGGCTGGCTGGGCTGGCCTGTGTGGCTGAGGGAGGCAGCTCCCTCCCCTCCCAGTCTCACCCCGCCTCCGGCGTCTCTGGTGTTCCCAGTTTAGCAGCTTCCCCGGGTCCCAGGTCCCCCCCACTTGAGAGGCTTTTGATTGACATGGCTTTATAACACAGCCACCCCTGCGCAGGTGAGGGGAGGGATAGAGGCGGATACAGCCTGAACCGGCTCAGGCTTTGAAAGGGGGATTAGGAGGAATCAGAGCAATCCCCTGCTTTTCTTCTCGGGGCTCTGTGGGTGACGGCTCCCACGTTACTCCCCATCTTTTCACAAAGCTGGGACGGCCCTGTCAGATCACAGTACGGGCGGTAATCTCAGGATTCTGCCTTCAAACCAAGCACCCTGAGTCACCGGGAGCACTCCCAGTGCACAGACAGGAGCTGGTGAGGCTTGCACCCCTCACGTGGCCAGGCCCGGGCGACTTAGACTGGTCAGAGAGGGACCAGGCCCGAGGAGGCACTCCTGTGTGGCATCTGGTGAACCGAGTAAACTGACAACGGGGAGACAGACTCGGGGGGACAGGGAGCACACTGCCCGCTGTCAGAGGGGAGCGGAGGGGGCTGGGAGAGAAGAGTGAAGGATTAAGCAGAGGAAAAAAAGACTCACGGACACAGACAGAGGTGTGGTGAATGCCAGGGGGAGGGGGCGGGGAGATATCATGGTGACGGAAGGGGGCCGGACTTGGGTGGTGACCACACAGTACAGCGTACAGATGATGAGCTGTGGAATTGTGCACCTGAAACCTGTGTCATCTCATTAACCAATGCCGCCCCGGTACGTTCCACACACAAATGAAAAGCGAAGTGAGTGAAAAGGTGTGCACCTGCCTGCAGAGTCTGCCCTGGAGGGGCGTGCAGCGGGGTGAGACGTGACCCTGGGCCTGCGCTCGGGCTGGGCCGGGTCAGGCTTCTGTACTGTGGGGTATGGCACCGTCACCAGCCAAGGGCAGGGGGTACTTCCATCTGTACGTTCCACAGTCGTATTAAAATAAGGGAGCGTAGAGCGCAGGGGGGTTGCAGAGCAGGGTGAAAACAGGTAAAGGAATTCAATAACAAAAATACGAGACGGATAACAGTCTGGCGATCGAGGTGCATGGGGTGAGGGAGGCAGGAGTAGTCAAGGAGGGGGAATAGATGGGAAGGAAAGAAACTTGATTTTGGGTGCCGAGTGCACGATGCAGTGTGCAGATGGTGTTTCATTGAATCTGTGTGGTTTTATTAGCCAAAGTCACCCCAATAAATTCAATTTTAAAAAGTTAGTTTATAAAAAGTAAACAAACAAGAGAGCGTGTAGACTGCCAAAGTCAGATGGAACCCTCGGTGGTACCGCGGTTAAAAGGCAGCACCCCCAGAGGGCAGGGCCCAGTGAGGACTCTGCCGATGACCGGTGACCCCGATAGGAGGCGGCAGGAAAACGTATTTAAGCGTAACCGCCCTCATGCAACAAGGGACGCCCCCCCAGGGCCAACTGCTCCCCCGAGTGCCTGGAGCATTTCGCAACCTCATCCTGCTGTGCTCCTTTGTGTGTAAGCGGCTGCAGGGCAGACAACATAGGATGAAGGTAAAGGCTCACTGGGATCTGATCGGGGAGATTATTGCTGAAACCTGTTTGTCCTCGGCGTCTTGGTTCCCGTTCCCACACGCTGGCCCCGTGAGGGTCACATGCGGGCAGGTCTCCGCTGCCCGGGGCGCAGACAGTCCTGACCGTTGGCCGTGTCATCTTTCCACAAAGAAAAATGCTGCCCCCAGTTCCACCTGGCCGGGGCGGACCAGAGAGCCTGAAAGAGTTGTCTCTGAAACTATAGGAGGGGTCCAGGCTTCGAGCTTAACGAATCTCTCTTCTTTTTGGTGCCCTGATGTGGAGGGGGATCATACCCACCCCCTGACGTAAGGGGACAACTCTATCCAACTGATCTCTCGGGCCAGAGCTAAACAAATCTCACGGTAATCACAGTATCACCAGGAGCGAGCTCTCTGACACTAATTCTTTTTCTTTTTTCTCTTATTTATGTATTTATTTATTTATTTTAATATATTTTATTGATTTTTTACAGAGAGGAAGGGAGAGGGAGAGAGAGTTAGAAACGTCGATGAGAGAGAAACATCGACCAGCTGCCTCCTGCACAACCCTTACCGGGGATGTGCCTGCAACCAATGTACATGCCCCTGACCGGAATCGAACCTGGGACCTTTCAGTCCGCAGACCGATGCTCTACCACTGAGCCAAACCGGTTTCGGCTGTTTATTTATTTTTATTGATCTCAGGGAGGAAGGGAGAGGGAGAGAGACAGAAACATTAATGATGAGGAAGAATCATCCACCTTCTGCATGCCCCCTATTGGGGATTGAGCCCACAACCCGGGTACATGACCTTGACCAGAATAGAACCCAGGACCTTCAGTCCACAGGCTGATGTTCTACCCACTGAGCCATACCAGCGAGGGCGGGACCTAGTTCTTTAGCAGAACCAAAGCCCCTGGGGCGTTGAAACCCTGGGCCAGGATAACCCAGCTTGTCCTGCATCATGGGGTTCCAGCGGACGCCCACAGCACAGCTCACGCTGCAGGAAACCAGCCCTGAGGCTCACAGGCCCGCAGAAGGAGGAGCGGTGATTAACGACACTGTGAAGATGTACACATGCTCACTCCCAGAAAGACCGATGCCTGTCACCACCGAGAATACCCCACGCTGGGCTGCCAGTTGCGAGTGTCCTCCCCCCACGTCCTGTGTGGTTCAGGGTTCGAGCTCTGGAGGAGACCGCACGCCAATGAAAGAGCTGAGACAAGAAAACATTAATTTGGGAATATTGGGGGCCAGGCGGGAGCCAGCTCAAGAGGAAGGACTCCGCTTTGCTCCGCCTTGCGATCCCTTTCATGCAGGTTTGGGGTCCACCCGTAGCCCTTAGGCAGGCAATTGCAGTAACAGCTCGATGATGGCCAGTCAACGAGGATTTACAAGAGACAAAAGGTGGAAGTTGCTTCCGCTCCCTTTGTCTCCACCGGGCAGTGGGTGCACAGCTCTGAGTCTTGTCAGAGCCTCCTGGCTGACAGCCACTCGCTGTCCGCCTCTCTGCTGGTGAGGCCATGGGCGGCTCTCACACCATCCCTCCTGGGCCGCCCGCCTGTGCAAACACCAGGGAAAGGCTCTCCCTCAGGTAGCTTGGCCTCAGGTGCAATCGTTAAACCATTTCACCTTCCCCTTCTCGGCTAACACCTAAGCCCTCCCTGAAAGGCCTATTCCTGAGGCGTTTTCCCCTTCCTTCTTTAATAACTCCTGCATATCCGTTACCAGATTGCAGGAAGGCACTGTCTCGGGTTTCCAGGTGAAGGGTGTCACTTCCCTGTCCTCGGCAATATCACCCCACCAGCGGTCCAAGCTGGTTACCATGGAGACCTCAGGGTGGTCATCTGATATCACATTGTTCCAAGACGATTGTTGTCCGCCCACCCGGAGAATTTGCCAGAACCCCTTCTTAATCGTTATGAATCAGGAGGTCACGGTTTGATTCCCGGTCAGAGCACATGAGCAGATGCCCGGATGGTGGGCTTGGTCCCCAGTGTGGTGCGTGCAGGAGGCAGCGGACCAATGATTCTCCCTCATCCCTGACATTTCTCTCTCTCTCTCTTCCTCTCTGAAATCAATTTTTTTAAAAAAAATTTTTTTTAAGAAAGAATGCTAGAATCCAGGGACATTTCATTGAGAATATAAAATTCTGCTCCTTGTATGGTGACCAGACATCCCACTTTTGGCGGGACAGTCCCGATTTTTTTTTTAAATATATTTTATTGACTTTATACAGAGAGGAAGAGAGAGGGATAGAGAGCTAGAAATGTCGATGAGAGAGAAACATCGACCAGCTGCCTCCCGCACACACCCCCACTGGGGATGTGCCCGCAACCAAGGTACATGCCCTTGACCGGAATCGAACCCAGGACCCCTCAGTCCGCAGGCCGACGCTCTATCCACTGAGCCAAACCGGTCCCAGCGACAGTCCCGATTTTTAACAATTTGTCCTGCATCCTGTGGCATTTTTTTTTTAAAAAGTCCCGATTTTTGAATCAAACATTTTTGAATAACAAATTGTTAAAAATCGGGACGTCTGGTCACCTTACCTAAGGGCAAGGTATTAATAACAAGAGGGGAAACTGTCCGTTCACTGTGAGGTCAGACCCCACTCTCAGAGCAGCGAAGGCCCTGGCGGGTCTGAGTGCAGGCGGGAGCAGGCGGGAGGGCAGGCCGGGGTTCACTCGCGCACCTCCCCGCCCTCTCGGATTGAAGTTCGGACGCTGTGTAACCTCTGTGCCCTGCCCTCGCGCCGCCTCGGCGGGAGCAGCGCTGATAAGGCCGTGCTTTGTACAATAGCCCCTTTGTCCGCTCTGCACGGGCAGCAGTCACTCCTCCCATTGAGCTTCCCGGTGACCGTTGTCCCGGGGGGAGGGCTGGAGGGGCCGAGGCGGCCGTCCCCTGGGTGGCTTCCCACACACACACACCTGGGACCAGGGCGGGGCCTCAGGGCACAGGACTTCCCGGCCACTCACACCGCCAACGACAAAGCGGCAAGCTAACGGTTCAGCTCTTAACAAGTAAACGCTGCTTTCCCATCTCATTTCCAAGTGGCAATCACTAAACCACGGCAATTCGTGAATGCACACGGTGACGCAAAACTGATGGGAAAATCCTGTCCCCGCTCCCTCCGGTCTGAGGGAGGCGGGAGCCTAGCGGACAGCTTCCCGTGTGCGGGTTTATGTCCACCAGCCCCTCTGACACCAGCTCACTGACAGTCACCCTGGTCCTCACGCTTCCATCTCCTGTACCAGTGAACAGCATGCTTTCCCGCTTCAACCCGAATGTTTGCGGAGTGCCTGGTGTGTACAGGCGATGTCCTACCCGCTCTAGCCACAGACCCCGGCTTTCGGGAACTCACCTGCTTGGGAGGAAGCACAGTCACAGATAACTGGTGCAGAACAGACAGACCCTGAGCCTGCAATGGGGTCCACACCAAGGGGACGGGCCCGAGGGGTGAGCGAGAGGATCTTGGGCATCACAGCGGCTGTGGTCCTTCAGAAGGCCACAGTGCAGCCAGAGGGGCAGCCCGTCTCAGGTGTTAGCACTCAATGGGGGAGCGGAGGGAAGAGGTTAAGGAGGGAACGTGGTTAAGGCCGAGGGTGAGGAGGGAAGCAGGTGTGTGACGCCTGTGGTGTCGGATTGTGAGAGAGCAGAGCTTCCCAGGCAGGCTCACAGAGAGGGTTCTAGGGGCGGGTGGGGCTGGTGGGCAGTGGCCGCCCGGACCCCGCAGGGAAGGCTCTGAGAGCAGAAGGCGGTGCCAGTTAGCGATGCCCGAAAGCACCAGAGGTGGGAGGTGGAAATATGAACAGCCACCGACACTTCCTCCCTCTGACAACCTGATGCAACACGCACCAGGAGGATTAGTCAAGAATAGTGAGCACATGCCGAAACCGGTTTGGCTCAGTGGTAGAGCGTCGGTCTGCGGACTGAAAGGTCCCGGGTTCGATTCCGGTCAGGGGCATATACCTGGGTTGCGGGCACATCCCCGGAGGCGGGGGCAAGAGGCAGCTGGTCGATGTTTCTCTCTCATTGACGTTTCTAGCTCCCTTCCTCTCTGTAAAAAAATCAATAAAAAAAAAAAAAAAAAAAAAAAAAAAAGGAATAGTGAGCACAGACAGCCCTGGTTGGGCCTCAATGGGTAGAGCATCATCCCAGATGCCAACGCCAGGTTGTGGGTTTGAGCCCCTACATACAAGAGTAGACCCATGAATGCATAAATGAGTGGAACAAGTCCATCTCCCTCCCCCCTCACCTTCCTCTCTCTCTCTCAAAGCAATTAAAAAGGAAGTACAAGGAAATGAATTATTGAAGACCTCTCCTAACTTAAAACTCAAAAAATTCAAGACTGGATGCGTGTGTGTGTGTGTGTGTGTGTGTGTGTGTGTGAGAGAGAGACAGAGAGAGAGAGAGAGAGAGAGAGAGAGAGAGAGAGAGAGAGAGAGAGAGAGAGAGAGAGAGAGAGAGAGAGAGAGAGAGAGAGAGAGAAATAACCTCACTCCTCGAGTGAGGATTTTAAAGGAGGAGGAGGAAGAGGAGGAGGAGGAGGAGGAGGACAAGGGGAAGAGGGAGGAGGAGGTGGAGGAGGAAGAGAAGGAAGTCTCCCAAGACCACTTTGGCGGAAGAGTTGCTTGTTTCTCAAAATTCAGCAGAATCACTAAGTGTGGAGCACTCGATGGTGTGGAGCCAGAGCTTCAATGTTGCTTTTGTTTTCCCGAAAAAAAGAGCAAATAGTGAGGTTTTGGTTTTGGTTTTGGTTTTTTGCATAATAAAAGTCGTAACTGAGCAACATTAGCTGCAGACTCCTTCCCCTAAAGCCATGGAGACTGGGAATACACTTCAGAGAAACCCAGGCCCCGGAGCCTTTGGCACAGGGACTCACTGAGAGGGCAGCTGACTGAGGGGAATACTGAGTAGCTCCCACAAAGGAGCATCTGGGAAGAAAACCAGCTCCAGCGCCAGCCCCTCCACTGGGAATCTACGACGGCAAGTTCCTCCCGCGGCCCAAGGTCGCCTTTCTTAAAAGGCAGATTTGACAATGCAAACAAAATTTTTAGTTAAACATTCTCCACCTAATAATCCCGCTTCTGAGAATTTACTTCAATATTTCCTTGAGTCATAAGACTAGGAAGACAAGACATCTTTCTATGGCAGCATTATTTATAATATTATTTATAATTAGCAGGAAACTGGAAACAACCTAATTTTTCAATAATAAAGGAAGAGAGTACATTTCAGTGTCTGAAGTCTTTGAGACACAGCTGCTAAGAATCTGGTCAAGTGCACAAACAAGGGAAGGGTGTTACATGCAGAGCACAGAACACAGAAATGGAAATATGCGACGGTTACAGACACGCAGCACATGTGTGGGAAGGACCAGAAGGGGACATAGAGGTGAAAGTAATGATGTTAGCATGTGAGGTTACACGTTCTCAACATTCACATTTTCTTTTGTAATGACCATATTCTGTTTTGTTTTGTTTTAATCCTCACCCCAGGATATTTCCCCACTGATTTTTAGAGAGGCAGGAAGAGCCCTATAGCCACCTTGGCTCAGTGGATAGAGCGTCTGCCTGTGGACTGAAGGGTCCCAGGTTCGATTCCGCCAAGGGCACATGCCTGGATTGTGTTTTGCAAACATCTCATCATTGATGTTTCTATCTCTCTCCTTCTCCTTTCCTCTCTGAAGTCTATAAAGAAATACTTTTTTTTTTTAAAGAGAGGAAGGTAAAGAGAGAGGTATAGAGAGATAGAAACATTGATGAGACAGAAACATCATCCATTGGCTGCCTCCTGCACACCCCCTACTGGGGATCAAGCCCTAAAATCTCCCCCTTAGACCCTTCGGATGGAGGACCCAGTGCCGCATCCCGGGAGCTCGCCAGCCCCTCCCTCCCGCTGCCCAGGCAGGCCACACAAGCGTCCTCACTCCCAAGCTCCTGGCCCCTTCCTTTCCCGCTGTAACTGGTTCCTAAACTCATCTTCCAGGAATTCCTTTTTACACCTCCGTGATTAACCAAATATATGTTCTCTTACAGTAAAAAAAAAAAAAGGAATTACTAATCCACAGAGACTAATGCTGTTGTTTTAATTCGCAGCGAAGGGAATTTGGCTACAAAGCAGGTGGTGTTTCTTCAGAGACCCGCTATGTGGAATTCGGCGGCTCAGACCCCAGAAGTGAGTAATACGGTGCTGGACAGGCTGGCTATCACACTGGAGCCGAGGTCGGCAAACTCATTAGTCAACAGGGCCAAATATCAACAGGACAACGATTGACCTTGCTTTGGAGAGCCAAATTTTTTAAACTTCTTCAACATAGACTCACCCAGGCCGTGGTATTTTGTGGAAGAGCCACACTCAAGGGGCCAAAGAGCCACAGGTGGCTCACGAGCCGCAGTTTGCCGACCACGGCCCTAGAGCATTTAGTCCTGACACTCATTTCATGCCAAATGGGGAGCAGGGGTGGGAAGCGTGGGGTTGGTATGGAAACAGTCTTCTCGCCCGAGGCGTGCGGGTGCAGGCTGCCCGCCCTGAGCCGGTCCCCGGGCCTGGGAGGCCACTCAGAACGGGCACGGGGGCAGCAGGACCGCTTTGAGCTGAAGGCCACCAAGCAGCCTCCTTCCTGACGGGAGCAGGTGTTGTGTCCTCAGGCAGGCGTGGCGTGGCCCTGCGCGGGCTCCCTCTCCCTCCCTCTCCCTCTCCCTCCCCGCACCAGGACCAGGAGGGGGCAGTCGCCGGAGGTGGCCTGTCCCCAGGGACCGCACTGACGAGTCTGCATACACAAGCTCCCTCAGTCACCCTCTCCCTCCACCCCATGTCTTAGAGATGTTTCCAGGATAGTAGCAGACCTACACAGGCGCCCTGGCTGGGTGCTCAGTGGATAGAGCCTCAGACTGAAGGGTCCCGGGTTCAATTCCCGATAAAGACTCAAGCCCAGGTTTTGGGCTCAATCCCTAGTGGGGGGCGTGCAGGAGGCAGCCAATCAATGATTCTCTCTTATCATTGATGTTTCCCTCTCCCTTCCTCTCTAAAATCTAATATATATATTAGAAAAAGAAGTTATAAAAAAGGAATATTGTGCTCAGTGGAAAGGAAAGCTGCACACCCATGTGCAAACTCTAATATGTAGCTCTTTTTTTTCCCCTCCCTCTTTCATTCGAATACGTAGCTCTTTAGAGAAGAAAACAGTGACACGCACCACATTCTAACAGCCGTTTCTCTGCCAGATGGGGCTGTGGGTGGGTATTGCTCTTTCCTCTGGTTCTACCAGGTCTTTCACACCGAACGTGCATTTTGTAAGATGCCCGGGAGTTTTCATTTGGGAACACACAGATGGTTAACTCGCCTCCTGTGTCTGGCAGGTGTGGGTGAGGTGAGTGTGGGAGGAATAAGGTGAAACGCTGGGCCTCTAGTTCGAGGCCAGCCATGCCCCGACCTTGGGCAAACCCCGCCTTCTTTCTCTGTCGAGTGAGGGATTCGAGGAGGGGGCTCTCCAAGGCCAGCCAGGCTGCAGACTCCTGCACGCTCAGTCCTCAGGCCCTGCAGTTGGATGGACTGGAAGAGCTATTATTGCCCGGGGAGGGAGGGTGGGTGGGTGGGGGAGGCACCATCTCTGCTGAAGATGTGTTTAGTAAGAGTCACGGGGGCGGGGGGATCTGAAATTGTTTTTAGAGTTCCCGTGGAAGGATTGGTCATCTTCAGGTACCAGGCCTTTCCATGTGGTGGCCGTTTGCTGAATACTTACCTGAGAGAGAACGGCCAGGAACAGCGCATGGCTACAATATTCCCGTTTTCACCAAGAAAGCCCGCGCTGGTGTGAGGGCCGGCCTCTGCTGGCCAGGACACAATCGGGAATCTGTTGCAGAGTCACCTCCTGCTCTACTGAGGAGGCAGGAAGGGCCCGGCAGCCAAGTGCTCAGGCCCTCCGCCCTCCCGTCTGTATTCATTCATCAGAGTCGGGAGGGCACTGGGGATGAATGGGCGCTTTGTGCACATGGGAAAGGGCGCCGGCAGCCGCGCCTGAGAAAGGAGCCCGTCTGGCAGGGCCCGTCGGCACTGCCTGCAGCCCAGAGGCTGGCTCCTGGCCGGCCGGAGTCCCCGCGCCAGGAGAACAGGCCATGCCAGACCCTGTGCCAGCTCCACTCTGCATTGAACGCGGTGCACTTGGTGAATGAGAAGGAAAGGAAGAGGGTTTGCCATCCAGTGTTTGCATTGGATGAATTCATGGCGGAGGGGGGGTGGGAGGATGCCAGCACCTCCCAACTGCCTCGGATTCCGGGATTCGGGACGGGAAGCCGGGCCTTTCTGTGGGAAGCGGGCCCAGGGTGGGCTCGTTCCCCTGAACTTGCCTGAGGGACCCAGGGACAAGTTCAGCTTCCTGCACAAACCGGCCCCTGGACAGCCGTTGCGTTCCATGGGAGCCCACAAAACCTGCTTTCAGGAAGCTGTTTGTGTATTTGCCTTGAAAACCAGTAAAAACACTTGTGTAGTTTACACACTACAGTTCAACAGACTTATGGGTTAGCCAACTTTTGCAAGACTAGCCTAGGCATCGGACTTGCAGGGTTTGTGTGTTTTCTCTTACATTTAAGAAAACATAATCCTAGTTCCCAAATAACATATGAGTGAACTTTCAGCAAATGCCTTCTTTGTCCACTGGGAAATCGCTGTGCTTTTTCAGTGTGTCCCTTTTTTCCTGGTGGATGTGGGCTCGGTTAGCTGGAGTGCCTTTCTGGTCCTGGGTTGACTCCTGGTCAGGGCACATACATTAGACAACTGATGGATATTTCTCTCTCACATCAATGTTTCTCTCGTGCACCCTCTCCCTTCCTCTCTCTCTCTAAAAAAGAAAATAAATAATTTTTTTATTGTTTTTTTTACGGAGAGGAAGGGAGAGGGAGAGAGTTAGAAACGTCAACGAGAGAGAAACATCGGCCAGCTGCCTCTTGCACACCCCCCACCAGGGATGTGCCCACAGCCAATGTACATGCCCTTGACCGGAATCGAACCTGGGACCTTTCAGTCCACAGACCGACGCTCTACCACTGAGCCAGACCGGCTTCGGCTAAATAAATATCTTTTAAAATGTATCCCTTTTAGTTTTCTTTTTACTTTTTATTTTAAATATTTTTATTGATTTCAGAGAGGAAGGGAGGAGAGCGATAGAAACATCAATGATGAGAGAGAATCATTGATCGGCTGCCTACTGCACACCCCTACTGGGGATCACGTCCACAGCCCAGGCACATGCCCTGACTGGGAATCAAACCACAACCTCCTGGTTCATGTGTCAGCGCTCAACCACTGAGCCACACTGGCTGGGCAGCTAGAACACTTTTTCTATAGTTAGGCCCCCGATTAACACCGAGAAGAAAAATGGCACCTTTCTTGTATCGACCCTTTGCTCCCCGAGGTGTGATCTCAACAGGCTTCTCTCTTCGGAAGTGTCTTGGGGGCCCAGACTTGTCGGCCGACAGCTGAGGTGCCAGTGATGAGAATAACGTGCCTGGAAGCCATCCAGGGGTGTGGGACAGAGGGGGTGGGGCAGGGGGACAGAAAGGGCTGAACTGGTCCTGGGATAAGCAGGGCCCTGATGAGAAGCAGGGAAAGGACGTTTGGGCGGAGGGCGCGGGCGGCAGGCAGTGGGACAAGGAGCACTGTCTTTCTAACCCCCGCGGTCCGTCTGTGTTCCAGAGGAAGGCCAGCCGGCACGTGAAAGGCGAGGACAGGCACAAAGCCGGCAGCAGGAGCATCGGCCTGGACACGGCCACGTCCCAGCCCGCAGAGCAGGGCGCCCCGCCCGGGGGCATCGCCGCTCCTCCCCGGGCGCCCTGGGTGCAGGGGCCCGCGCTGCCGGGGCTGGGCCTCCTGCGGGACCTGGACGACGGGCCGCTGGACCAGGAGGACGGGGTCACGCAGGTCACCTGTATGTGACAGGCCGCCACCCACACAGCGGCCACGGCTCTCGCGTGCCTGTCTGCATGTGAGTGACAGGCGGGTTGTCCCAGGCCCGGCTCCTCCTGACCGTGTGCCCGTGGGCTCAGCCCCCCAGACGGGAAGGATAATCAGCACGTTCATACATGTAGAGGCATTTCACACTGCTCCCAGCTAAAGCGCCCGTGTGCACAGGCGCCATAGGTCACTAACGGAGACCCCACGTCACTGCTCACGAATGGACAAGGTGGACTCTCGATGTCACACCAGCAAGAAGACTGGCGGTCCCGGCCAGCACGGTGCCCGATGGAAGGGTCTCAGAGAGTTGGTCCTAGGGACACCGACCAGCAATGCCCGCCCTGCACGGCGCTCACGGGCTAACGAACGGACCGCCTGGATATGACTATGGACCAGCCGTGGTGTGTGTACAGAGCAAACCTTCCTGGCTAAAATGTTCTTTGGAAAAAAAGTCCTCTTGGTTGTCGTTGCTTTCAAAGGGTCGGCATGTTCCCGCCCTGGGCTAACCCATTGAGCTTTAATGGTGTGCTTCCTAATAGACGAGAGAGAGAGAGAGAGAGAGAGAGAGAGAGAGAGAGAGAGAGAGAGAGAGAGAGAGAGGGAGGGAGGGAGGGAGGGAGGGAGGGAGGGAGGGAGGGAGGGAGGGAGAGAGAGAGGAAGGGGGGGGGGGGGCCAGCATCCCTCACCACTCAGTGTGGAAAGAGCCCAACCTCAACCTTTAAAAACCTAGCGGACAGGCAGAGCGGATGTGGTTTCCTTTATGTTGGGAACAGTGGGAAACGGGAGACATCACTGTGAGTGGGAATGGCTGCTTCACACTGGCCCGAAGTGCACGACCTTCTATTTCACCGGCGCCAGGAGCAGGGGAAACCCAGGGCCCGGCACCCGGGAGGAGTGAAGCCGCCCAGAGCAGCGGGGGGCCTGGTGGACCAGCGGCTCCCTCCCCCGCTTCGTGCTCTGCTCAGGGGGTGCCTGTGCCTCGCCCCGATTCAGCAGGAAAAGATGGAAAGTCTACAGAACGCAGGCTCCACTTTTCTCCATGGAAACTAGCTTTGAAACGTGGGCACCTTCCAGGGAAGGACAGCTGGCTTTGCCATTGACGGATTCAACGTATTCTATATTTTTATTAGTGTTGGTGTTGACATTAGATCACTGAATAAATGTCATTTTATTGAACACCAGTGTTTACAGTGTGCTTTATACATTCCTGTATTGTGTGTTATCACGCATCTAGTGTGACTAACGAGTCCCTTCTCTGTGAACTGTGGGCAGGACTGGCACAGTGTCACCCACCTGTACCGTGTGCGGAAGCCTCGCCTGTGTAGGTATAAAAGCACTTAAGAATGTTCTGCTCAGAATTATTCTGTGGAAACAGCTAGCCACAATCTTTGCAGAAATATTTTTGTTCGGTTTTTAGGTGAGCCTAAGCTCCATAGCCAAGAGTTGAATTTTTGGTAAAGACAAGCTTGATCTCTGAGCCAGGGCACACCAGGAGCTGGTGACGGGACACAGAAAAGGGACTCAGAACCACCAGACAGCTCCTCCGGGCCAGGTGCCCGAGGCAGACTCCGGTGCCACCTGCCCACCAGACAGCTCCTCCGGGCCAGGTGCCCGAGGGGCTTCCAGCATCAAAGGCAGGACTAGGCATTTGTACTTGACTAAGGAATGCTGAGGCACACACCAGTCACCTTACACTTGATTCGATTTGTGCAAGTTTACTTTCTTTGTGCAGTTTGCTTTTAACATTTATTAAAAAACATTTTGCCCTGCCAAAACTGGTTTGGCTCAGTAGGTAGAGCGTCGGCCTGCGGACTGAAAGGTCCCAGGTTCGATTCCAATCAAGGGCATGTACCTTGGTTGCAGGCACATCTCCTGTAGGGAGTGTGCAGGAGGCAGCTGATTGATGTCTTTAACTCTCTATCCATCTCCCTTCCTCTCTGTAAAAAAAAATCAATAAAATATATATATTTTTTTAAATCTGAAGAAAAATGCCGAAACCGGTTTGGCTCAGTGGATAGAGCGTCGGCCTGCGGACTGAAGGGTCCCGGGTTTGATTCCAGTCAAGGGCATGTACCTTGGTTGCAGGCACATCCCCAGTGGGGGGTGTGCAAGGGACAGCTGATCAATGATTCTCTCTCATCAATGTTTCTAACTCTCTATCCCTCTTCCTCTCTGTAAAAAATCAATAAAATATATTTTTTTAAAATAAAAATCTGAAGGGAAAAAAAAGTTTTGCCCTAACTGATAGAACACTGGCCTGCAGACTGAAGGGTCCCAGCTTCAATTCCGGTTAAGGGCATATGCCCGGGTTGCAGGCTCCATCCCCAGTAGTGGGCATGCAGGAGGCAGCAGATCAATGATTCTCATCATTGATATTTTGATATTTCTATCTCTCCCTCTTCCTTCCTCTCTGAAATCAATAAAAATAAACAAAATAAAAAAATGTTTTATTAGAATAAACTTGTCATACCCTTAAAATCTATTGCTTAAGCATTCATTCTAACAATTACCCTTAAGTGACATGGCACATTCGTATTATAGTGAATAATGGCCAAGTGGTTCTAGAGTTCATATAGCTTTAGTCTATTCTTTTAAGAAAAGGTAACAAAACTTGGACTCTGTGCCCAGGAAGTCGAATGTGACTAACCTTATCATTACCTGAACTTTTACTACTTGTGAGTCAGGATGAAAAAGACTCCGATCCTAGAGGTGGAGGGGGGGGAAGTTCAGCCGTGTCCCTTGGTACAGCGGCTGTGGCACTGCTGTCTTGGGGTTCGGTAACTCCCTGCTAGTTCCATCCCATTTGGACTGAACGTCACCCTCTTCTCTCTCATGGACATGAACACCGAATCCCCCGGAACTCACCATGAGCTGAGGACCAGTTCTGTACATGTCACCGCAGTTCTCTTACAGTCTTGCACACCCACACAGCAGGAGGCAGAGCTGTAGTCCATTGAGTCACTGGCTCTTCTCAATATACCTTCACCTGTGGACGGGCAGGGAGCCCTCGGGCCTCTTTACACAGACATGAACCCCACTCGTGGGACCTCCATCCAGAGGACCCCCTCCTGGACACCATTGCACTGGGGATCAGGATGTGGACACAGGCCTTTCTGAGGGATACATTTTGTGTATAGCAACTGTTCAGGCGCTCGGGGGCCCTCCTGGGGTGATAGAAATTTCCTATACCTTTATTTGGTTGAAAATAACACAAGTGCATACAATTGTCAAAACTCATTGGATTGTACACTTACTATAGGGACATTTTACTATGTGTACATTGTAATATATAGTATATCGGGAGAGGAAAAGGGAGAGAGAGAGGGGAGAGAAGAAGAAGAGGAGAAGGAAAGGGAGAAGGAGAGGAACAGAGGGAGAGGGAGAGAGAGGGAAGTATCATTATATTTCACATCATTGATGTTTCTATCTCTCCCTCTCTCTCTGAAATAAAAATATATTTGAATAATATTTCATCTGGAATGTATTTTGGAATGAGAAATGAATTGCTTTCATTTTAATTTCTCTCCTTTTGTAACCCCCAAAAAAAGTATGTCAGAATTCCACTTTTTAACACTTCCAGCTTCCCAGACAGTTGCAGCCTGACATTCTGTTTCTCCCTTCCTTCCCATCTCATCATGTAGAATTACTCTGACCCAAGTTAAAATGAATGTGATTCATTCCTCACTCCAAAATACATTCCAGATGAAATATTTTTAAATATATTTATTTCAGAGAGAGGGAGAGATACAGACATTAATGATGTGAAAGCATCATTGATTGGCTGCCTCCTGCACAACCTACACTGGGGATCGAGCCCACAACCCAGGCATGTGCCCTTGACCAGAACTGAACCTGGGACCCTTCAGTTCACAGGCTGACGCTCTATCCTAGGGGTGTTGAACTCAATCAGAGAAGGGGCCAAAATCTAAAATCCAGCCTAAATCGAGGGCCGAATGGTTTACTGAACAGTCATAAACTGTCATTGTGATGGAAACGCAGCGGAGTGCAGTGATGACAGTGCGGTGCGGGCCACATTTGTGCTGGCGGGATGGATTTGGCCCGCGGGCCTTGTGTTTGACACATGTGCTCTAACCACTGAGCCAAATCAGCTAGGGCTCAGATGAAATATTTAAATGTAAACAACAAAACTATAAAATAGTCAAGTAATGTATGAACAAATATTTAGATAATTCAAACCACAGAAGCCACAACAGACTGCCTAAATACTAAGGCTAAACTTAAAAACTTCTACACAGAAAAACTCTCCATAAACAACCTCAAAACGTACACAAAAACTGAAATCAAGAAACGATCACATGATGAAGGGCTAATATTCTAAGGACTCAGAGATGTTAACATAAAGCAATATACAGCCAAGGAGGAAAAACTGCAAGTGATATAAGTAGTTTGTTTAAAAAAAAAAAAAAAACAATCAAATAAACACAAGAGTTCAACTCAATATGAAAACTGCAAAAGAAAAAGAGCCCAGTGGCTCACTGGTTGAGTGACCCCCTATGAGCCAGGTCACTGCCAGGGCACATGCCCAGGTTGCAGGCTTGATCCCCAGTAGGGGGTGTGCAGGAGGAAGCTGATCAATGATTCTCTCATCATTGATGTTTCTTTCCTTCCTCTCTGAAATAAAAAAATTTTAAAAAAATTTTGTAATGTTTTATATTTAATATGAAATGGGGTTACATTTTAATCTTCTGTGGGTGGAATCTCGGGCCTACAAAGCCCTTAAAATTATCTGATTTTAAGATATCAGGATACCTTGGAGGCGGGGGAAGGGAGACAGACATGTAACACTTCCAATAATGGATTACTGGGGGAAAGACCTCAGGGCAGTCAGAGCAGATGGCTCAGGTCCCGCAGGGGAGCAATGGCTGTCAGGGCTGAGATGAGGGTGGATGGTCCTTACTAGTAGGGCTGGGTGTCACAGGCATTGGGAGAGTCGGGAACTCACAGATGAAAGTCTTCTCCAGCGGGTGGAGGACATTTGCATCAAGAGAAATCTATGCCTGTGAATGGCCCTCCGCCTGCCCCCCTCCACCATCACATTTCCAGGCCGCCACGTCTGAGTGACGATTTTCACTTCTGAGTCACAAATTCTAAGGTTCTGGTGAGCCCTGGAATCTTGCAAATCTTGCAAACAAGGGGAGTCTGAGGAGTGGCTGAGGACCTGAGGCCACGGCTTTGCAGAACCTTGACAGCCAGAAAGATACACTCGAGAGGGCCTGCTTCTGACACTTCAAACTGTGTCCTCTCCCTACATTTCAGAAATGTGACACCAACCAGTAGGGTCATATTCCATTTATTATTATCCTGTTAAACCTGTTTCACTCTCTACTGTTGGGTTCTTCCCACAGTGACTGCACTATGTCTGGGCACTGGTATTTAATTAAAATAACAAGGACTGCCCTAACCAGTTTGGCTCAGTGGATAGAGCGTCAGCCTGCAGACTGAAGGGTTCCAAGTTCGATTCCAGTCAAGGGCATGTACCTTGGTTGTGGGCACATATCTAGTAGGGGGTGTGCAGGAGGCAGCGGATTGGTGTTTCTCTCTAACCCTCTCCCTTCCTCTCTGTAAAAATCAATGTGTTTTTTAAAAGCACAAAACAATGACTTAGTCTCTAGCCTTGCTCTAAAAGTTGGCATCTTATTCAGAATTAGTGAAACCCACTCATTTACCCCATGATCCTCTAACAGCTAACAAGCTCATTTGCATTCATCATATATTTCCCCTGCTCCAAGCAATACTTGAAAAGTGCCTCTCTAATTCCCTCAAATCACGTTATTTTATCTTAACCATTAGCACATCCATATAAAATGCAGAATTTAACTGTGCAAATAAAATTATAAGAAGCCTTCAGACAAAAGGGTGTCATTGTTTAGTGATTAGTGTCAGCAAAGTACACAGGGAACAATCATTAGTTCTATTACAATAAATTTGGGCATCAGTCAGTAAATGTGTTTAAACAATAGCAGAGTCCTTACTAACAATGTAATCATGGATTTTTAGTGTTATTCTGATTGTTTAAAATATATACTTATTGATTTCAGAGAGGAAGGGGAGGGAGAGAGAGAAATATCAAAGATGAGAATCATTGATTGGCTGTCTCCAGCATGCTCCCTACTGGGGAGTGAGCCCTGCAACCTGGGCATGTACCCTTGACTGGAATCGAACCCGGGATCTTTCAGATAGAGCAGGCTGATGCTCTAACCACTGAGCCAAACCAGGTAGGGCTTATTTTGATTTTTAAAAAGTGTTCACTTATTAAGAATTTAATTGAGGAACTGTTCTAGAAATGCAAAACTGACCTCAAATCAGAGAAAATATATACACACAAAACTATGATACTTACAGGAACATAATTAAATTAGCTACCTTCCCAAATATGATAGGAGAAAACTGATTTGACTAGTCAAAATAACTTTATACAAAAAAATTTTTTTTTTTTTAACTTTTGGCTCTATATTGGATAATCCAAACAAAAAGTGGAGCTTAACTTCATTACACGAAACCGAGTTTTCTATTCCCCTCTTTTTAAAACGCTTACTTTATAAGTCAATGGTTTGCAGGGCCAATGATTTTTTCACTACGTCTTAGGTACATACATGTATATTTTCCAAAGTCTGTAGACAGTATGAAGGAAAAATAGTGACCGTTCCATTCAGATTTGCCCAGTACATCAAGTCAGCTTCACACACAGTGAGTCTGAGTACAAAGATGTCAGTGAGTACAAAAGCAAGACGACAAATGATGTTAACCACCCAACCCCTTTTTATGATTGACTCCAAACACAGCACAGGGGAGATGGAATGAGTAATTTAAAAAAAACATATTTTATTTCCCCAAGAGCACTAAGCTGTTTTATTCAAAGTGTGTTTCAAAACACTCAGCCAGATTGCCAACCCAGCCACTGCAACAGAAATCCACTGAGACACCATCTAGAGAGAACAGCTACATTGCTGCATATAATTTATTAACTTAGTAGTTTAGTCTCTCAATGTTTAGCAAGTTTGTGTAAAAATTAATATCCCTGTAGGTTTATAGTGACATTAATATAAATGTATAATTTCACTGTGATGTAAAAGGATAGTTGTGGATGTGGTAAAAGAATGACTGGCTACGAGGACAGAGCTGCTCCAAATCAAACACACAGGCAGCTCGGAAAGGCATCCATACATACACACCCTCAGAATGCTACTATTCCCGTTTCAGCGGTACATACTTGTCTCCTTATATGATATAAAATATGTCCTCAAATTTGAAAAAAATAAACCAAGATGAATACATTTTCATCTTCATTTCAAAACGATCATTTTAAATAACAAGTTCCCCACGCTTAACTCTGTTCAAGAGATGGATTTATACATTTTCTTCACTACATGTACAATTTTTTTAGCCTATCATAGTGCCTCATTACAACCAGTTTAGCAATTAAACTCCAGTGCCTTATTAAAAACTGCATTCAGTTTAAGACTGTAAAATTTACAGTTGAATCCTTAAGACACTGAATTATTACAAAGTCTAAAATATGTAATACCATTCATCAGCACCCCTGGAACCTGTAAATTCTTGCAAAAAAAATTACATGTGTATATAATTCAAACATAAACTTTGTAGGTAAAGGTCATAAAATAAATACTACAGTATTTTTCAACTCAATTTAAATGCTGCCTTGATGATGGTTAGATAAAAAGAATAATATTGCTAACAGAGAGAATCAAAGTAGTTTTAAAACTTTCCTAAGTAGTTAGAACAATTTAGCAAAACAAAGATAAGCAAGAGCCTATGCAGATACATTTCTCCTGTAGTGTAATTGCTAATTATGAGGTATAGTCTGTAAGCAATTAATACAACATAAATAGATATAAGCTACCACTAGCTCAGTCTGGTGAAAAGCTTTTCCGCCATGTAGTTGGGGAGGGAGTGAAGGGAAATGAGAAGGGAAGGACAGGGTAGGTTTGCAGTGGGAACATCATTTATGCACTTACTATTATCACCATCTTGTATGTAACAGTCCACTATCACAAAAAGTAAATCTTCTCCAAGTACATGGTCTAGAATTTACTTTATGTAGTATTAAGATTATTTCAGTATTACTAATGCTTCATTTGATTTATATTTGGACATATACATAATCATATATGTATATCAAAAACTATAAACAGAATTTTAAAACACTTTTAGCTAATTTTTGAAAAGTTAATAGTTAAGACTAAACTATGTGCTACAGAATTTTCTAGACTAACTAAACTCGGGGGTAAAACCAAAGGAAAACATTACTATTTCTTTAGTAAATGGCTTGTGCGAAACCTCAAGCTCACTCATCTTTTTATAGATGGGTTTATTTGATGAGGATTGTGATCCAATGATTGTTTAGCAGCAATTTTACCAAACTGTAAATTCTTTTATTAACAGGCATTATAAACAGATAATACTAATCTTATTTAAAAACCATGAGTGCCACACCAGTGAATATACAGCTCATGAATAACTTAAAAAGTATTTCCCATTTTAAAAGGCAACACTCAGCATACAAAAACCTACCCTAAACAAAGAGGCTATAATATGGATACATGATTGATGTGTCTAAAATGGTATATATACAGTACATAATTAATGTTAATTATGTGATCAGTACAATTTTCTTCTATATGATTCCCTTCATGCTTCACTTTCCCCAGAAACTGAATTCTGAACTTCCTCTTCTAAAATTGGTACAATCAGGTTATCCTTGGACATCAAATTATATTTCATCACAAATTTAGTAAACCGATGACACAAAAATGTTTCGTTCTGTAGAGAAGAAGAAAAAATGTTATTTTAATTTACTACCCAAACCAAACAAATGAGACATAATATCAGTATACATTATTGTCATCATTCTGGTAAGAATGCATCAGGACAATGAGTAAAACATACTTACTTCATATTCATCAAATATCTGCCGATGATGAAAATAAGCATGTGAAAATATTCTGTAAATCCTACGACATACTGATCCTAGTTTTGCTACAGATGATTCCTTTATGCTAACCCTAGAAACAGAAATCACAGATTCATAGAGCTTGACAGATCTTATGAAAAATATACAGTATTCCAATCTCCTAAATTCACAAATGTGTAAACAGACACCTAGGGGAAAGGTCAACGTACTAATAAGTGGCCAGGAAAGGACTAGAACCCCTGTTCACTCCTCAGCCAGGGCTCCTCCTATGCACCCACAGTGCCCGAGAAATTTAGTATCATGGCTTGGAAACGTTGTAGTTTAACGCAATTAAAACAAATCCCTGACAAGTCAAAACTTACTAAAACATACACATATGACATTAACAGTTTGTCCTGTAGAAATGATTAAAACTGCTAAAAGGAATTATTGTTTTATTCCATAGACTTGATTCTTCTTTTTGATAAATAAAAACTGCCTGCATATTTTGGATATTCTTTTTTTTTTTTTTTTAATGTATTTGGATACTGAGACAAAACCCACTATTTGTTAAATATTTTATCTGAGCTCTTTAGAGTTAATGATATTTGGGGGAAATAAAATTTCCAAATCGATCCATCTGCTAACAAATATCTTAATAGAATAAAAGACCAGTCACAAACCTCACCAATAATGTAAGACAGTATACACAGGCTTCTTCCCAGACCTTATTTGATGAGGACTGTAAAGGCAAGGACAAGGAATCCTTCAAAAACAAGCAGTCGCCGAAACCGGTTTGGCTCAGTGGTAGAGCGTCGGCCTGCGGACTGAAAAGTCCCAGGTTCATATTCCGGTCAAGGGCATGTACCTTGGTTGTGGACACATCCCCGGTGGGGGGCATGCAAGAGGCAGCTGATCGATGACTCTCTCTCATTGATGTTTCTAACTCTCTACTCTGTATCTCTCTCCCTTCCTCTCTGTAAAAAAAAAAAAAATCAATAAAATATATTAAAAAAAAAAAAAAAAAAAATCAAGCAGTCCAGCCGAAACCCGTTTGGCTCAATGGATAGAGCATCGGCTTGGGGACTGAAAGGTCCCGGGTTCGATTCCAGTCAAGGGCATGTACCTAGGTTGCGGGCATATCCCCAGTAGGGGGTGAGCAAGAGGCAGCTGATCGATGACTCTCTCTCATCGATGTTTCTAACTCTCTATCTCTCTCCCTTCCTCTCTGTACAAAATCAATAAAATATATTTTAAAACAAACAAACAAAACAAAACAAAAAAAAACCAAGCAGTCCAGCTAAGAAAAGTCTGCTCCTGAGGCATGCTAAGAGGCTGACCATCACAGAGATTCCAGGAAGTAAGTGTGCAAACATCTAAACTCTAAAGTGTCAGAGAGAGAGCCCTGGACAAGGACACAGCCAACGGGACTACCCTTGCTGAACTGGGCTGTGAGCTTTGGGAACTAAGTCCTGCTACCTTTAGTTTAACTATAACCATAATTTCAAAACCTGAGTAAAAGACAAAGCTTAAAGAAGACAATGCATTAACCAGGAACCTAGTTTCAATTTTAAAAACAACGATCTTTTAAATCAAATCCAAAAAGTTTAATGCCATGTTTAAAAGTTTGTTTACCTGCTGGGAAAATATTTATTGCTATTCAGAAGACATGCAGCACCATCAAGTGTGTGTCTAGTATAGTCTATAGCAGGACACTATAAAAGAAAGGACATAAAAATGCATCAACAAAGAGCTCTGCCACTTAGTTTAAGTGTACTTATTACATGTGTGTCTTATTCCGAAAACTTAATATATCCTAAAAAAGAATTGCCTTATAATATCAGAATAACTAAAATTCAGTATTACATCAATAAATAAGACTACTATTGCCGAGACCGGTTTGGCTCAATGGATAGAGTGTCGGCTTGGGGACTGAAGGGTCCCGGGTTTGATTCCGGTCAAGGGCATGTACCTTGGTTGCAGGCATATCCCCAGTAGGGGGTGTGCAAGAGGCAGCTGATTGATGACTCTCTCTCATCGATGTTTCTAACTCTCTGTCTCTCTCCCTTCCTCTCTGTACAAAATCAATAAAATATATATATTAAAAAAAAAAAAAAAAAGACTACTATCCCCATGACTCTGGAAGATACATGAATCAATCTAATTTCTCACTTCTAACCCTGGAAAGAACACCTGATTAGCTCATTAACCTCTGACTTTACAAATGAGGAGACAGAAGCTGGTCAGTTTGCAGAGTCTGCACAGGCTTCTTCCAAGTCTTAAAATTATCTGTGGGCAGATAATGTTACTGAGCCAAATAAGAAATCTTTCAAAACAAGCAGCCAGTTCAGAAAAAAATCACAGAGATTTACTAGCGAGTAAGCAAGCATGGAAATATCCCAGCTCTATAGCCTAAGATGGAGAGCCCTGGAGAACAGTGCCCAGCAGCAGGGACTATTAGTGACTGATGGCCAGCGACTCAGGCAAGATCAGACAGTTAGGCAGGACTCAAAAACACGTTTATAGTAGGAATACACTGACCCCTCCGGCCACTGACTTACACTTTACCAAGAAGCCTCCTTCTCTCACAAATACCTCGCGAGATCACAGCCTTCTAACATCCTAGAAGCATTCTTTTATTATTTGTCTGGCATCCTATTATCCTAGCAGCTTTCTAAAGAATTTTCTCCTTAACCTCCTTTGAAATTTAACATGAAATTTATATCTTTACATTTTAATAAATCTGTCTTATCCTATTTCACTTATCAGAAACAACGAAACCTATTGTCTCATGGCAAATCAGCAAACCGACTAAAGAAAAATTAAAACTGCAAAGTAATCTCACTCAGTTCTTTTGAAGGCAGACAGGGAGAAAGATTAAAGGAAAGGAGCAGAGAATGAACCAGGAATCCACTTGAAGGAAAAAAATGAACTGGATTTAAAAATGTAAATTAGTAACTTATAAAAACTTATAAAAAAATAGCTTATTACACTGTGATGGTAAATACATAAAGATTATCAAAACAAAAACAAAAAAAACACATAAGTATTACATGGCCTCACTCATATGTGGACTCTAATGAACAAAATAAATTCAGACACAGAAGCATCGAACAGAATGTGGAATCTCAGAGGGAAGGTGTGTGTGAGTAGGTGGGAAAAGATCAACCAAAGAATTTGTATGCATAACCCATGGACACAGACAATAGCATGGGGAAGGCCTGGGCAAAGGGTGTATCAAAGGATCTTGGGTTTGATTTCCGGTCAGGGGCAGATACTTGGGTCCCAGGTTTCAATCCCTGCCCAGGTTCAGGTAAGATGTTTCTCTCTTTCCCCCATCCCTCTCTAACTTCCACTCTCTAAAATACAATGGAGCCCTAACTGGTTTGGTTCAGTGGATAAAGCCTCGATCTGCAGACTGAAGGGTCCCAGGTTCGAATCCAGTCAAGGGCATGTAACTTGGTTGCGGGCACATCCTCAGTGGGGGGTGTGCAAGAGGCAGCTGATCAATGTTCCTAACTCTCTCTCCCTCTCCCTTCCTCTCTGTAAAAAAAAAAAAATCAATAAAATATATTTTAAATAAATAAATAAATAACAATGGAAAAAATATCCCCTGGTGAGCTGAAACTGGTTTGGCTCAGTGGACAGAGCGTCGGCCTGCAGACTGAAAGGTCCCAGGTTCGATTCCAGTCAAGGGCATGTACCTTGGTTGCGGGCATGTCCCCAGTAGGGGGTGTGCAAGAGGCAGCTGATAGATGATTTTCTCTCACCGATGTTTCTTAACTCTCTAGCCCTCTCTCTTCCTCTCTGTAAAATATCAATAAAATATATTAAAAAAAAAAAAAAAAAAATATATATATATATATATATATATATATATATATATATATATATATATATATATATCTCCCTGGTGACAACTAAAAAATGGTGGTAAAATATATAGAACACAATATTTGCCGTTGTAACTATTTTAAATGCATAGTTGGTGTCATTAATTACATTCAGTGTCATGCAACCGACACCATTGTTTCTAACCAAAGGCTTTTCATCATCCCCAACAGAAACTCTATACCATCAATCAATACCTTCCCATGCTCCTCACCCTCTGATCCCTGGTAACCTCTCTAATCTACTTTTTGTCTCTATAAATTTGCCCTTTCAAGGTATTTCATATACCGTATTTTTCGGACCATAAGACGCACTTTTTTCCCCCCAGAAGTGGGGGGGAAAAGTCCCTGCATCTTATGGTCCAAATATAGCCTACACATATACTTTAAAAAAAAGTTTTTTTACTTGCCCGGCTCTGTGTGGTCTCTGTGTGCTTGCCCGGCTCTAAAATGGTTCTAAATGCTGCTGTTTACTTTACAGGGTTGATTACATGTGTTTATGACTGTGATATTGGGTTTTAATGCACATAAAATATTTTAGGACACTATTTGTTTCAGAATCTTTTTTTCTTCATTTCCCTTCTCTAAAAACTGGTGCATCTTATGGTCCGGAGCATCTTATGGTCCGAAAAATACGGTAAGTAGAATCATAAAATAGCTGTTTCTTTGTGTCTGGCTTATTTGGCTCAGTAACATGTCCTCAAGGTTCATTCATGCTGTAGCATATATCTGAACTTCATTCCTTTTCATGGCTAAAAAATATTCCATTGTATGTATATACCACAATCTGTTTATCCATTTTCCATGTAACTGCCCAATTATGAAAAATGATACTAATTATAAGAAATTCTGCCCTAGCTGGTTTGGCTCAGAGGATAGAGTGTCAGCCTTCGGACTGAAGGATCCCGGGTTTAATTCCAGTCAAGGGCACATGCCCAGATTGCAGGCTCAATCCCTACTAAGGAGCATGAAGGAGACAGCCAATCAATGATTCTCTCTCATCACTGATGTTTCTATCTCTCTCTCCTTCTCCCCTCCTCTCTGAAATCAATAAAAATAAGTTTAAAGTGCTCGCTTTGGCAGCATATATACTAAAATAAATTTTTAAAAAAGAAATTCTAAAACAGCACTGTGGCAATAACTTTGTAGCAAAGAACAGGAAACCAACTAGCAAAAGAAAGGGTGAACGAAAGCCCCTAAACAGTTGTCTACACAGTCATACAAATTTAGGTTACGGCATTTTATTAGCCATTCTGCTTTATGAATTCTCACCTCTTTTGGAGTTTTATGAGCTGCACAAAGAAAAATCCACTGCTCAGTCGCTGTCATCTGAGTACATGTGTCTGGATGGCATTCACTCTGTTAAAATGTTACATTTCTTAATATGTAAAGCAATTAAAAAGTTTATCATTGGGGTTACTACATTTGCATGTACAATTCTAATTAGAAATCTTAGATAAGCCTTTTAAGCACATTAAGTTATAAAATTAGAGGGGGAAATGAGAACTTTCTATTATAACTTTAACTTGAAAATGTTACCTGAAGTTTGACAGCAAGTCCATTGAGCTCAAGACAGAATTGCCTAAAAATTCAAATATATAAATGAAAAGTCTTATGTACTTTCCACATTGTATTTAGAACATTAATTTAAAATACAGTGCTCTACCAGTACCATCCATCCTCCCTCATCAACAACATATGAATTTATATGGCACATTTCCTACAAAGACATACAGATTAATAAACAAAATTCAAAACAAATGATCATAAATAAGGTCAATATCAGAGTTCAAGAACTAGATCACTCTTAACACTGAAAATTGATACAATTTTACTGAGAAGTATTTTAGAAAAATTTACCAGAGCACTTAGAAAATGTCTATTTTTTTTACTAAGTCATTCTAAGAACTAATTCTAATTAAATAATCAGAATAATATGCAGATATATGTACAGAGATGTTCACGAAAATCATATACATAAAAGAACTTTTTTTAACATTCTAAATTAGCAACTGAAGAGTAATAAAATGTTGGCAAAGGACATATATTTATACTCACAGTAAGATTCCAGTTACGTATAAAATTATATGCATTTATATATCCATATGCAAACAGATATACAAAAATGACTACACTTTTTATACTACGTATTTTACAAGTTTTATTATGACTACACACGTCTTTGTAAAACCTTCAATCATAACATAGAAGAACATCTTCCATAATTCCACTACCTCTTTCGAAAAGATAATTATCTTTTATAGCAAATTTGATTTTATATATAGTAATGATTTTAAATATATTCATATACACAATTTTGTATCTTGCTTTTTTGTCACTGAACAGATAATGGTCATTTTTTTCATGACATTTTTTCCTTCTAAAATTTCCAAATTGAGCCCTGGCTGGTTTGGCTCAGTGGATAGAGCATCAGCCTGCGGATTGAAGGGTCCCAGGTTCAATTCCGGTCAGGGCACATGTCTGGACTGGGGGCTTGATCCCCACTGGGGGATGTGCAGGAGTCAGCCAATCAATGATTCTCTCTCATCATTGATGTTTCTATCTCTCTTTAACTCTCCCTTCTTCTCTGAAATCAATAAATATGTATTTTAAATAAATAAATAAATACATAAATACATAAATAATAAATACATAAAAATTTCCAAATTGAGAATTTTAAGCCTAGAACAATTCTTGGAACGTTGTTAAGTGCTCAAAAAATATTTTATGACACAAAAATAACTTACTTTATTAACTGTCAAAATACTAAATGTTTCCTCTAAAAATTCTAACAAATTAGTTACTCACTGCTGTGTTTCCCCATCAAACAAAATATAGACAACTTGCCTGCAACATCAATTTTAAAAAATACCTCATCTACAAATTGAGGCACTCATCACAGAAAATGTGCCTAAGTTACTGGAAAAAAGTCAAACTACATTTATTATGTTTAAATCAACTCAAAAGTAACAAACCCCGATGAACATACATCCATATTTAACCTATCAACTCATCTCAACTCACATTTATATTAGAAAGTTGATAAGTTTAAGAAACCATCTAGTAACATCAGGATATAGCTGCTTCTAAAGTTAACTCTAGTTAACTAGTCCTTCACTCATCTTCAATTTTCTCATTCAAAGGATATTATGAAAAGCTCCAAAACTCCTTATTGCAGGATTACAATTAATCTATATTTTCCAAAGGGAAGACTAAAGTTCACAGTAGTTAATAGGTAACTCATCAAATACCAAGCCTATACCAGGAGCTTGACATGATCCTCTAGAGCAGTGGTTCTCAACCTTTGTAATGCCACGACCCTTTAATATAGTTCATGTTGTGGTGACCCCCAACCACAAAATTATTATTGTTGTTGTTGTTGTTATTATTATTAATTAATAATAATTAATTTTAAAATTATTAAATTGCCAAAACCGGTTTGGCTCAGTGGATAGAGCGTTGGCCTGCTGACTGAAAGGTCCCAAGTTCGATTCCAGTCAAGGGCATGTACCTTGGTTGTGGGCACATCCCCAGTAGGAGGTGTGCAAGAGGCATCTGATCGATGATTCTCTCATCGATGTTTCTAACTCTCTATCCCTCTCTCTTCCTCTCTGTAAAAAATCAATAAAATATTTTTTAAAAATAAAAATAAAAATTATTAAATTATGTAATACAGTTATGAAGTAGCAACGAAAATAATTTTATGGCTAGGGGTCACCACAACATGAGGAACTGTATTAAAGGGTCGTGGCATTAGAAAGGTTGATAACCACTGCTCTAGAGAGAGATAGTTATTCATGAGTAGGTAAATGGAAATAATGCATTTGTGATTAAAGGATATGATTATGGAAAACTGTGTAAAAACATAACACCCAAATCCATAAATGTAAAAAATAATCAGTAAATATCAAAATCGAAAAAGTTTTATAACACTAAAAATATAAAAGCTTTAGAATTTGCTCTTTGTTTTGCAATTAATAATGCTTTTATTTATAATTCATAATTAACATTAAAGTTTATTTTTTACTGATAAGTACTATTATTATATCATAATATCATAAAGACTTACCTTAAATGTTCATACTTCCATACACCTTCATCTTGGCCTTCAGGTGGTTCAAGAATTTTGTCAATATTGGAACAATCTGCTCTTATGTTCTGTTGAATATACTATAAACAAAGAAGTTCTTATAGTTAATTAAAATATTATACTATTGTACATGGAAAATTTTATAATAAACATGTATAATTTTTTAACATATAAAAACTGTTTGCCCTAACCAGTTTGGCTCAGTGGATAGAGTGTCAGCCTGAGGACTGAAAAGTTACAGGTACGATTCCAGTCAAGGCATGTACCTTGGTTGCAGGCACATCCCCAGTACAGGGTGTGCAAGAGGGAGCTGATCGACGTTTCTCACTCTGTATTCCACTCCCTTCCTCTCTGTAAAAAATCAATAAAATATATATATGGCTCAGTGGTTGAGCATCGACCTATGAACCAGGAGGTCATAGTTCAATTCCCGGTCAGGGCACATACCCAGGTTTTGGCCTCAATCCCCAGTAGGGAGTGTGCAGGAGGCATGGTTTTCTTTCTTTCCCTCTCTCTCTCCCCTCTTCCTTTCTCTCTCTAAAAATCAATGAAAAATGTTTTTTAAAAGTAAATAATCCCATAGAGCTGGTTATGAACTCCTGGGTGCAATCCTGATGTGTGCACAGTGCGTGCATGGACTTATCATAATTAATATCTGACAGACTTTGAGAACTGAGCTAATGGATATACCTAGGCTGACAACAGGTTGGTGCGCATACACACACAACAGATGTAAAAGGTTTTGAAAACTAAAGTGACATTGGAACCTCAGTTCAGTTGGAACTTGCAACCAGTATCTAACAAAGTCAAATGCCTGCTGTAACAAAAAACATCACATTCTCCGATGGGTTAAATAAGACCAGAGTGTAACATAATATTAAAAATGTCCAGGATATAATCCAGAATTTGTTGGCATACAAATACAATGAAATCTCAATTATCATGGGGAAAAACGAGCACAAGACACCAATGATAAGATGACACAGATATTGGAAATTACCTGACAAAGACTTTAAAGCAGCTATTTAAAAACTGCTTGAATATAAAACTACAAACACTTGAAATAAAAATATCAATAAAGAAAAATAAAAAGAGCCAAATGGAAATTTTATTTTTCTTTAATTTTACTGCTATAGTGATTTTTAATTCTTTTTTAAAAATATATTTTTATTTATTTCAGAGAAGAAGGGAGAGGGAGAGAGACAGAAACATCAATGATGAAAAAGAATCACTGATTGGCCGCCTCCTACACGTCCCACACTGGCACTGAGCCCGTAACCAGGCACACGCCCCGCCCAGGAATCAAACTGTGACCTCCTGGTTTACAGTTTGACTCTCAACCCCTAAGCAACACGGACTGAGTGCCAAATGGAAATTTTAGAACTGGAAAACATAACCACCAAAGTAAAACACTCACTGAACTCAATAGCAGAATGGAGATGACACAATAAAGAATCAATAAACTTATAGATAAATAGGTATTATCCAATCAGAACAACAGAAATGAAAATGAATAAAAATAATAAACAAAGCCTTAAGAACTTGAAAGACAATAACAAAAGACTTAATAGTCATGTCACCATCACCCCACAAAAAGAAAAAGCATGTGGTGCTAATAAATATATCTGAATTAATAATGGCTAAAAAGTTTCCAAGTTAGAAAAAGACAAAAACTACAAATTCAAGAAGGTGAATAGGCTAATCAGGAGTGATTGTTTAATGGGTACAAAGTTTCAGTTGGACAAGATGAAAAATTCTCAAGATAGATGGAGGTGGTAATGACTGTATAAAATGTGAATGTACTTAACACCACAAAACTGTACACTTAAAATGGGAAAAAGTGGTGAATTTTATATCTTATCAAAAAAAGTGAATTTTATATTTTATCAAAAAAATATAAAATAAAAATTTTAATAAAAATTTTTTTATTAAAAAAAAAAAGCAGAGTGAATGCCAAACAGGAAAACCCAGAGTCTGGCCAGCGTATTTCAGTGGTTGAGCTTTGACCTATGAACCAGGAGATCTCGGTTCAATTCCCACTCAGGGCACATGCCTAGATTGCAGGTTTGATCCCCAGTAGGGGGCGTGCAGGAGGCAGCCCATCAATAATTATCTCTCTTCATTGATGTTTCTAACTCCCTCTCCCTTCCTCTCTCTGAAATTAATTAAAAACATTTTTTAAAAAAGAAAGAAAACCCGAGACGCAAAACGCAGGGCCTACCGCGGGAGTGCCAGAGAGGCAGCGAATTCCGTTTGGAAGTATCTTTGAGCTCGCTTGGACACCATGAGCAAAGCTCACCCTCCCAAGTTAAAAAAATTTATGGATAAGAAGTTATCATTGGAATTAAATGGTGGCAGACATGTCCAAGGAATATTACGGGAATTTGATCCCTTTATGAACCTTGATAGATGAATGTTTGGAGACGGCAACTGGTGGGCAACAAAACAATACTGGAATGTGGTAATACGAGGAAATAGTATCATCATGTTAGAAGCCTTGGAAGAATGGCTGTAGTTACCAGAGAAATCAACTGCTTCCACATGTCCCCTCTCCACAGCACCTGTTTGACTACAATATAAAAATAGAGTCCTGTCCATTTTCACATTGAACTTTTGTTAAATAAACTTTTGTATTAATCAGCCAAAACCGGTTGAGGGTTCAATTCCCAGCAGGGGCACATATAAGAGGCAACCAATCAATGTTTCTCCCTCACCCGCACTTCTCTCTCTAAAATCAATAAACCTATCTTCTGGTAAGGATTTTAAAAAATGGTTAAAAAAAAAAAAAAAGTAAAGCTTAGGTACATGTTCGCAAGGGTTCAGTCATCAAATCAATGTGCTATTTCTATTTAATGTTATTCTAATTTAGTATTCAATTTTGAATTAAGTTCACTGTAAAATCAAATTTGGTACACTAATATAGTACAGATTAACATATTTTAAGACATTAAAATATATTTAAGTTTGATTATAGTTTAATATGCCATCTTGCCCACCATCCAGAACTGAAATATCATTGCTGACATGTACACATAAGGAACTGTTTGACATTGAAATTGGATCTCAAAAGAACTGGTGGCCCAGAAAGAAACTTTCTACAGACTGATTCATATGCCTTTCAGCGTAACGATTATTGCTTGTCTCATTTTTTATTCTTATAAGTATATTTCCAGTAGGAGATGATCTCACTCATCTAGGGGAAATGGTGAACAACATAGACTGATGAACAAGAACAAACTCAGAGATAAGGAGCTATGAGTCAGACTGTTGGACCTCAGAGGGAGGGTGGGGATAAAAGGCAGAGATCAACCAAAGGACTTATGTGCATACATATGAGCCTAACCAGTGGTTGAGGACAACAGGAGAATGGGGGCATGAGTGTGTGTGGGGAGGAATTAGAATGGGGGGTTGAGGACAAATATGTGATAACTTAATCAATAAAGAAATTTTAAAAATATATATGCCATCTTAAAACAAAATGAAGGTTGATAAAAAGTTTTAAATGGCCATTCATTAATTCCATGGATTCTGGTTTATGCTAAAAGAAATAGGAATGAGGAGAAACCAAGATGCCGGCATAGGTAAATACTTAAACTGCTGCTTTGCACAACAATTTCAAAACTACAACTAAAAGACAAAACGGACACCATCCAGAACCACAGGAAGGCTGGCTGAGTGGAAATTCTACAACTAGAAAGAAAGAGAAAAACACACTGAGACTCAGAGGAGCTACAAAAGGCAGAGGTACGAAGGCGTGCATGTGGCGAGGACTGGCAACTGAGTACACAGCTGGTTTTCTCAACTGGGAGGGAGACAAAAGCTCCCGACTGCTCAACTCCAGTTCCAGGTGACACTCTGGGGACCCAGACTCATTTGGAGAGAAAATGAACTGTCTGGCAGCGGGCAAAACTCGAGGGCAGCTTTCTCTCAGAGGTGCTTGCAGCAATTACTGCAGGACAATGAGAACCGAGGGCCTCTTAGAGCAGGGCTGACGGGAAGCCATTGCTGTCTGCTCTGCCCTGAGACTCCACCTCATTCAAGCTGAGCACAGAAGCTTTTGCAAGTCTTGTCTCATAAGGGTATCTTCAGCACAAAAGTTCTCCCAGCACAGACACAGCTGATTATCACAGCCAATTGGCCTGGAGGGCAATTCCTCCCAGTGATACCAAAAACAATCAAGGCTTAACTACAAGACTGCACACAGCCCACAAAGGGATGCACCAAGAGTATCCACCTCAGGTAACTGGGGAGGCAGAGTCCTTATAGGACACCTACCACACGAAGCCACTCTACCAACACAGGGAAGCAGCCAAAATGAAAGAAATGGAGGAAAGTAAATAAAAAAATAAAGTGGAAGAAAGCAAACGACTGGATATAGAGTTCAAAATCACAGTTATAAAGTTTTTCAAGAATGTTCTAGAAAAGGCCCTTGAGGATATGAAAAAGGACCAACTAGAAATTAAGCATACACTGACTGAAATAAAAAATAATATACAGAGATCCAACAGCAGACTAGAGGATCACAAGAATCAAGTCAAAGATTTGAAATAAAAAGAAGTAAAAAACATCAACCAAAAAAGCAAAAAGAAAAAAGAATCCAAAAAGTTGAAGATAGTGTAAGGAGCCTCTGGAACAACTTCAAGCATATCAACATCTGAATTATGAGGGTGCCAGAAGAAGAGGGAAAGATACAGAAAACCTTTTTGAAGAAATAATGACAGAAAACTTACCCCATCTGGTGAAAGATAGACCTACAAGTCCAGGAAGCTCAGAGAACACCAAACAAAAGGAATCCAAAGAGGACCACACCAAGACACATCATAATTAAAATGCCAAGAGGAAAAGACAAAGAGAGAATATTAAAAGCAGCAAGAGAAAAACAGTTAGTTACCTACAAAAAGAAACCATGCAGGCCATACGGGAGTGGCAAGAAATATTCAAAGTGATGAATAGCAAGAATCTACAATCAAGATTACTCTACCCAACAAAGCTATCATTCAGAATTGAAGGGCAAATAAAGAGTTTCACAGATAAGAAAAAGCTAAAGTACAATAGTTCGTCACCGCCAAACCAGTATTATATGAACTGCTGAAAGGTATTCTTTTAGAAGAGGAAGAAGAAAAAGGTAAAGATAAAAATTATGAACAAATACATATTTATCAATAAGTGAATCTAAATATCAAGTGAATAAAAAACTGATGAACATCAACACCAAACCAGAATTATATGAATTGCTAAAGGGGGTTCTTTCAGAAGAGAAAGTAAATAAAGATAAAAATTATGAACAACAGCCGGGACCGGTTTGGCTCAGTGGATAGAGCGTCGGCTTGGGGACTGAGGGGTCCCGGGTTCGATTCCGGTCAAGGGCATGTACCTTGGTTGTGGGCACATCCCCAGTGGGGGATGTGCAGGAGGCAGCTGATCGATGACTCTCTCTCATCAATGTTTCTAACTTGCTATCTCTCTCCCTTCCTCTCTGTACAAAATCAATAAAATATATTTTTTTTTTAAAATTATGAACAACAAATACGTAACTATCAACAAGTGAATCTAAAAACCAAGGAAATTAAAAAAAAAATCTGATGAACAATATTAACTGTTGAATATAATAGAATCAGAGGTATGGAAGGTGAGTGAACTGACGATTCTTGGGGAAAAGGGGAGAAGGGGATGTGGGAAGAGACTGAACATAAACTGTGCACCTATGGATGAGGACAATGGGGAGTGGGGAAAGGGCAGAGGGTTGGGTGGGAACCTGGTGGAGGAGAGCAATGGTGGCGGGGGGGGGGAAGGAACATTTGTAATAATATGAACAATAAAAATTTATTTTAAAAAAATTACAAAAACAAAACAAAAAAACAACAACTGATGAACAGAATAAACTGGTGAGTATAATAGAATCAGGGGCATAGAAAGGGAGTGGACTGACAATTCTAGAGGGAAAGGAATGTGAGGGGTGCAGGAAGAGACTGGACAAAAATCTATGGATAAGGACAATGCGGAGAGGAGGGGAATGGGAGAGGAAGGGCAAAGGGTGTGGGTGGGAACCAAGTGGATTTGGAGCTATGGGGGGAAAAAGAGGAACAACTGTAATAATCTGCACAATAAAGATTTATTTAAAAAAATAAATAAATAAAAGACAGGAATACTTAACTATACCAAGGAAGGTCAAATGCCTAGTTTATTGGTGTTACAAACGAAACTATTGTTATTACCTGCTGCACAGCTAGTGTACTGTCCATTTCATCAAAGGATTCATCAGGCCAATTATAGAAATCCTATAAAAAAAATTTATGGTTAAAACACAAGATGCAACACCATTATGATTAACTTCAATTCTTAATAAAAATCCAAAGTTATACTAGAGGAGAGGAAAAGTGCTCATATTGTAAGCATTGTAGTTATCCTATATAATAAAAGCCTAGAGACCATAATGGCAGAAAGACGAGAATGATCGTTTGACCAGTCACTATGAAGTGCACTGACCACCTCTTGGTCCCTCCCCCTGGCCCACAGGCTCCTATTGCCCGATGGCAAATGGGGACCTGGGGGTGTGTGGCAGGAGACGCGGGCAGCACCAAGCCAAGACCCCCACCACACCAGTCACCCTACACACAGAGGGCAACCCATACCGGGGTTGGGCCGGCAAGTGGGTGAGAACACCGACTCTTGGTCCTTTCTCCCCCCGCCAGCAGGCTCCAACCGCCCAATGGTGAACGGGGAACCAGGGTGGGTGGTGGCAGGCGGCGGGACAGGCAAGTAGGCGGAAAGGCAGACCTCTTGGTCCTACCACCTGGCCGGCAGGCTCTGATCGCCTGATGGCAAACGGGGACCCGGGGGGTGGATAGGGGGGATGCTGGCAGAGCCAGGTCAAGGCCCCCACTTCACCAGTCACCCCACACACAGAGGACGACCCGTGGGAGAGACAGGATCACAAGGGGGCGGGACCAGCCTACCTCTCGGTCCCTTGCCCCCGGCTATCAGGTTCCAAACACCCGATGGCAAACTGGGAAGCTGGGTGAGTGGTGGTAGGGGGCAGGGCCAGCTGCTGGGGAAGATGGCCCTAATCGTGGGCTAGGCCTAGGGACAGTACCCACGCACGTCTTTTGTGCACCGAGCTTCTACTCTATAATAATCTATAATAATAAAAGCGAAACATGCAAATCAACCGAACTACCAAATAGCAGAATGACCATCTGGACGACCACACTATGGCACCCACTGGTGCCAAGGCGGGTGCAGTGTGATTGGTCGGGGGCCTGGGCATCGCCCCATGACCACCCTGCAGAGGGAGGCCAATCAGCGGGCTGCAGCTGGTGGGTGGGGCCTCCTTCTCTAGGGCGCAATAGATTACCCGAAAGAGGGAGGCCCAGGCTACACGGTGGCAGTGCTGCGGCAAGTGAGTGGGGCATACCTCTTTGGGAGCATCGATTGAGGGGCTCCTGGACTGTGAGAAGGCACAGGCCAGGCTGAGAGACGCACCCTCCGCTCCCCAAGTGCACGATTTCATGCACCAGACCTCTGGTCAATAAATAAGTTAAAGAAATCTTACTCGAGGTTTTTAAGTGAGCACCAAGATTATATTTAATTGAACTACAAGTTATATTTTTCAACCACAAATCCCTCAATATGGCTCCCATAAACCTTATATGTATCACTTAAGGAGATAAGTACCACTTTTTATATATATATATAAATATATATATATATATATATATATATATATATATGTGTGTGTGTGTGTGTGTGTGTGTGTGTGTGTATATATATATATAATTGATTTTACACAGAGAGGAATTGAGAGGGACAGAGAGTTAGAAACGTCGATGAGAGAGAAACACTGACCAGCTGCCTCCCCCACACTCCCCACTGGGGATGTGCCCACAACCAAGGTACATGCCCTTGACCGGAATCGAACCCAGGACCTTTCGGTCTACAGGCCAACACTCTATCCACTGAGCCAAACCGGTCCCGGCAAAGTACCACTTTTTTGTTTACAGTGGTTAAATATCTTCTCAAAAAGTTACACTTAAAAGTCTTGCCAGCTCAGCTTGTAGCTCAGTTGTAGGCTCCATTCCTGGACCCAACCAATAACCGTCTCTCTCCACATTGATGTTTCTCTCCCCCACCCCCTCCGCCCCACTCGCTTCCATGCTCTCTAAAAATCAATGGGAAAATGTCCTTGGGTGAGGATTAATAAAAGTAAATAAAAATAAAAAAATCTCAGGGCACCATAAAACTGATTAGTTTTTACCTAGAGAATAGCTAGTATTAGTAGCACAAGTGTTATTTTATTTTAAACAGGCATTATAAATTATTATTCCAATTCTAAGGATGTTTTAAATATCTAAACAGCCCTAGCAGGTTTGGTTGGCCTGTGGACCAAAGGGTCCCGGGTTCGAGTTCAATCAAGGGCACATGCCCGGGTTATGGGTTTGATCCCCAGTGTGGGATGTGCAGGAGGCACCCAATCAATGATTCTCTCTCATCACTGATGTTTCTATCTCTCTCTTCCTCTCCCTTCCTCTCTAAAATCAATAAAAATATATTAAAAAAAATAAAAATAAATATCTAATCAAAATATGAGCCCCATCAAAAATATCCCTTCTCATAAGGGGGATATTTTTGTGGATCATCTTGCATTGGTTCTGAATTCCTCTATAAATAATTCAGTTCATAAACATTTCCCTAAATGATTAAGAACCTTTCCAATTGATTTTTCAGCAAAATTTACCTATGTATCCTTTGTAGGTAGCACAATGCCTAATACATAGTAGATATGCAATAAATGTCTCTGAGGTAAAAATAGGGGAGAAAGTAGTTGTAAACAAATTATCTATACCCTATAGATAAACATGGGTATCAACCAATATAGATAAGTCTCCAAACACTTTGAGCAAAAATTGGAGCAAATTCAAGAATAAAGTGTTATTCTTTATTCATGATACCACAAGAAAAAAGTTTAAGAAAGTCTAAAGCATATTTATGGATATAATGCATATATAATAGAAGTATAAAGAAAAAGGATGGTCCCAGTATTGGTTGGGAGGAGTGGGTATGTAATGTAATACATAGATTTTCAACTATATTAGTAATGTTTTCGTTCTGAAGGTAGGTGATTGGTATATCTTTTTAAGTGTCTTAGACTGTTCACTTTTTAAAATAGTTTCCCTATATTCGCCGGGACCGGTTTGGCTCAATGGATAGAGCGTCGGCTTGGGGACTGAAGGGTCCTGGGTTCGATTCCGGTCGGGGGCATGTGCCTTGGTTGTGGGCACATCCCTGGTGGCGGGTGTGCAGGAGGCAGCTGATCGATGACTCTCTTCGATGTTTCTAATTCTCTGCCTCTCTCCCTTCCTCTCTGTACAAAATCAATAAAATATATTTAAAAAAAAAAATAGTTTCCCTATATTAATGAAAATGAACTAACTTTATTTTTAAATGTTATGAAATTTTAGAAAACTTTCTGGAAATTATTCCAGGATGTCTTTTCCTAGACATCATCTAAATAGTATTAAAGATTAATTTTAAAATTCTTCCTATAATTTATACTCAAAAAATATTTCTATCAATACACTCTGCATATATTTGCCTTTATAATTTTTAATTTGTATAACATTTGTTATTAAAATATTAGAAAACAGTTAATTGGGAATTAAATATTCTGCTTCATCACACCTGTGATATACTTTAAACACTGAAAGGAGGAATCAAATATCCGGATTAATGAATGTTCTCATCTAATTCAGTCAATAAACTTTTATTGAAAACCAACTATGTGCCAATTCTTTTAAAAAGTAGGAAGATACCCCACTACTCAGATAGCTCTAAATAAGTCATCTTGGAATAGACTCATTTCACTGAAGGAAATTAGTGTGACAAGCCAGCACGCTGTGTAAGCAGTCTTTTTTTTTTTTTTTTTTTAACCCTAATCTTTTCTGCCACATTTTATTTAACAACCTTGATCTATGACAACAAGGAAAAAGCAAAAGAGCTTTCTTATATGTGACTTACTCATAGCAGACAGATGTTATTATTGTACATTAATTTAAAATATATTATTTTCTTTCTTTTCAAACTTCGTAACTTTTGAGTAAATACAAATGGATGACAATGATCAGAATGTGAGTTCACTTCGTTTTGTTTTTTTAATACAAAATATAAAAGATGATCATTTAATAAAAGAAAAAAAAACAATGTTTCCACAGAATAAGAAGTAAAGATATCTAAGAGAGTATCTGTAGGTAAAGAAAGTTTGGAAAGGGTAAAAAGCCTAAATAAAAATGTCCAGTAGTATGACAACGAAACTGCCAGGGCAATTGACAGCTTAATGTGACTCTAATAAGGACTTTCAGACCAAATTCTCTAAAAGTCAATCCTAGAAGCAGCTTGTTTAAAGAGAAAAAGTTACCGGTGCACTAAGAATGCAAAGCTATGGAACCCTCAGCAAATACAGTGGATTCTCGGGGCTTCGGTTTTCGTATCTGTAACATGCATCTGGGCAGGTGTCTGGATCTCAAGGATTCCTTCGAAAGGACTCCCTTTCCCAAAATTCTGTGAAGATACTGAAAGCTATTCTCTGGCATATGATCACGGCTCTGTGGGCTTCTGTTTTTTGTTTTGTTGTTTTCACTTGTACCACTTTTTCTTTAAAATTCCATTTTAACACACCTCTTCTCACTTCAGAGCATCTACTCAAGAGCAAGCCATTTCAGCTGGGAGATTCGTCAAATGAAGCCTATTTGATTTTTTTTTAAAAGAAGGTGAGGCATCCCTCTTTTGAAAATCCCAAGAACCAATACCTAAATAAGCACCGACTCACCCAACTATTGCCCTGCTGAAAGCGAGTAAGATGATCATCAGTTCACATTCCTGTGCTTCACAAATAACAACAAGGAAATTCACAAGGAATGGTCGCAGTCTGAGGATGAGAACTTGCTGGACCAGAGAACAGCTGCAGAGAGAGGTCGCCAAAGGCAAACAGCAGGAGGAGGCGCGGAGTCAGGATCACCGCCCGGATCCGGCTACACCAGCTGGACCGGGAAGCCGGGCAGGAACGTCACCCGCCAGGTAGGACCTGGTAGTGGCCAGGTAGGACCTAGACGCTAGACACCTGGTAGGACCGCCAGGTAGGTCCATACACCAGGTAGGACCATGCACCAGGTAGGTCCATACACCAGGTAGGACCATGCACCAGGTAGGACCTGGACCCCAGGACGAGGAAGGCTGCGTGCACACGCCCGCCCTCCCTGGCAGCCCCGACCCTCCCGGAAGCCCA